TCTGCAAATGTGTTTCATGCCAACATTTTTCATGACAATTTCTATATGTGAAACCATAAGTTTCTTTATGTGTCAATAGATGTCTGTAGTCTCTTTATTTGTCTATATGTGTCTATATGTTTCCATGAATGTATTTATTCATCAATAGGTGTCTGTGTGTTTTTTTTGCACATGTGCGTCTATAAGTGCCCCTATATGTGCCTATATGTGTCCCAGAGTTTCTTTATCTGTAAATAGGTGTCTGTAAAGTCTTCTTCAGTTTCTTTTTGCACATGTGCTTCTATAAGTGCCCCTATGTGTCTATATGTGTGCATGTAGTTTCTTTATTTGTCAGTAGATGTTTGTAAAGTCTTCTAGTGTGTCTTTTTGCACATGTGCGTCTATAAGTGCCCCTATGTGTCTATATGTGTGCATGTAGTTTCTTTATTTGTCAGTAGATGTTTGTAAAGTATTCTTATAATGACATAGAGACACTTATGGAGACATAGAGACACTTATGGAGACATAGAGACACATATGAACACATATAGGCACTTATTAGACACACAGATACATAAAGACACTTATAGTAACATAGGGATACTTTTATAGTAACATAGGACACTCATGGAGACATAGAGGCACATGTGGACACATATAGGCACTTATAGACACACAGACACATAAAGACACTTACAGTAACATAGAGACACTTATAGAGACATAGAGACACTTATGGACACTTAGAGACACTTGTGGACACAGAGACACTTATGGACACACATACACATGAGGACACTCAAGGAAACGTTGCAAACACATATAGACACATAAATACACTTGTGGACACACACACACACATACAATTATATAAAAGCTCTTGTGGACCTACTCACACATAAAGGCACTCATGAGCACATAAAAATATAGAGACACACACATGGACAATATATATATATCGAGGCTGAAGCAATGTGCAAAATACACAACATGGTTGAAACAAGGGTGAACGTCCCTGTGATTTGATCCTATTAATGTGACCCTCGTGCTAATTAGCGTGAACTGCTGCTGTGGTGTTGCCGGATAATCGATAACCACCCAACGATACATCGCTTATCCCCATCACACATACAGTGCAAGAGTGAGAGAGAGAGAGATGGTAGTAAGCGATATAGCGATGGCGATGGCGATTGCGATGGTGCCAGTGGCGTGACCGGGGGTGGGATCGTTAAGTTCGCTCTAGGTACTGTTTGACCAGTTCTCCGGAACAAAGCCGATGTTACAGGCTAATAAAGGTTGACGAGACACGTTCGACAGCTATCCACAAGGACACACACGACATTTGCACACCAGAGATACCTACTCCAACATGTATCGCAAGCGCACTTCATACCTAGGATCACTCTCTCTCTCTCTCCTCTCTCTCTCCTCTCTCCCTCTGATACTGCTGCTTTCAGGTTGATTGTATCTACATACAGTGTCTCGTTATTTCCCACATGAAACGTGACAACCGTTCCATATCATATCTATTCATTCGACAAATCTCTATTTCACTATGTTCACTGAAAATTGCCTTCATTAACTCTTAGTCATATACTCAATACCAGAAGCGGAATGGATATATAATAATGTTGCTGTCGTGTACTCTTTTTTTCATGTTTTGAAATTATTTTTTTTTCAAACGATTTCTATTGTTTTGAAAGGAAATGTTCCAGTTGGAAGATAAATGTTTCATTCACTTCAAGTTGTGGCGCAATTAATTGCAAGCAATTGGGTTGATTTAGGAATAATGTTCTTCTTCTCAAATTTCTTTTTTTTTTGAAAGCATTTGAAAGTACCAAAATACAGGGCTCGGAAAAAAGTTTGAGTCAAAAAAATGTTCTGTTATACATTTATTTACAAATTTTTTGAAAACATCAATAACTTGTTTTTTAAATAAATATTTAATTATTATTTTTCCATAGGAATTAAAATTTTTTCATAGATTCAAATTCAAACCTTTTTGAAATTAAACAAGTTATAAAAAATTGTTATAAAACATGAAGAAATCTTTTAAATATTATTTATTGATTAGTTCTTTACTTATTTATTCTTTATAACCTATTTAATCACGCTTTACTTATTAATTATTTACTATTTCTATTTTAACTTATTTATTAATTACTAACAAATGTTATAATCGCGGTATTCAATTTTTATTACTACATTTATACTATTCTTTATTTTCCAATGTCAACTTTCATTTTTGAACAATTTCAGATTTTAAAAAGTTCATAAATTAACTAATTAATTATTATTCATTATTTGGTAAAAATTTTAATAATATTCTTTGAAAAAATTTAATTATTTTCAAATGTTTGATAAATTTCTTTATAACAATTCAATTATTTTCAACACAAGTGTGTTGAAAATAATTAAATTAAGATTATAATTAACGTTCCTTGAAAAAATTCAATTATTTTTATGAATTACAATAACTTCGCAAAAATTCAATTATTTTTAATATAATTTTAGTTAAGTTTCTCGAAAGAATTCAATTACCTATAATATATTAAAAATAAAATTCTTTGAAAGAATTCAAATATTTTAATTTTAAACAATTTTGATAAAATCGAGATAAAATTCTTTATAAGAATTCAATTATTTTAAATACGATTTTTTTGAAAATCCCCCAAAGAATTTAATTATTTTCAAAAATTTTCTAATGCAATTCTTTTGAAAAAAGACCATTATTTTTTAAGAGTTTAGCACAATTCAAAGTTTTTTAAAAATAAAGGGAAAAAATGTTTATAAATTCTATTTGTCAATTATAAAATTTTAATTGAAATTGACCTTGAAACTTTTTGAATTTCTAAAAAATAAAGGAAAAAATTTTACTCAAAAAAATGTTCTGTTACATATTTTTTACGAATTTCATTTCATTTCATTTCATTTATTGAATAAATTTATTAAATAAACATCTTTTTTGAATAAATATTTCATTATTATTATTTTTCCACAGGAATTAAGACATTCAAAAATTTGAAATTCAAACCTTTTTTAAATTAAACAATTTATAAAAAAAAAATTTTTAATTTTTTATGAAAATAATTGAATTATTGGGAAGAAATTTATAAAAAAAAAAATTGGTAAGTAATTGAATTTTGCAGAAGAATTTTGATATTTACAAAAATAATTGAAATTTTGAGGAGAATTTAAAAAAAATTTTTGAAAATAATTTAATTTCTGCCAAGAATTTTTTTTACTTTTGAAGATATTTGAATTTTGCGAAGAATTTTATCAGAACTTTTGAAAATAATTAAATTTCCAGAATGAATTTTATTATTTATGAAGATAATTAAAATTTTGACGAGAAATTGAAAAAAGAAATTAAAAATAATTGAATTTCTGCGAAGAATTTTATTACTTTTGAAAATAATTGAATTTCTAGAATGACTTTTATTATTTATCAAAATAATTGAATTCTTTCAAAGAATTTTATTAAAATTCTTTGCAAATAATTGAATTTTAGAGAAGAATTTTATTATTCACAAAGATAATTGAAGTTTTTAACAGATTTTTTTTTAAAAGTAATTGAATGTTGCAGAAGAATTTTGATATTTATAAACATAATTGAATAATTGAATTTCCTTTAAAGAATTTTCGTATTTTTGAAGATAATTGAATTTGGCAAAGAATTCATTTGTTTATTTTTCTAACTAATTTCAAATCATAATTTTTCTATGATAAAAAAGATAAAATATAAAAAAATGCAATTTTTATTTATTTTCACTATTTTTGAAACATTTAAAAATAAAACATTGTTTTTAAGTTGAAAATTCTAAAAAATACCATTGCATTGTTATTCAATTTTTTTTTGTTTCGAAATTCATTTGTTTATTTTTATAATTGATTTCTGATCATTTTTATCATATAAGTTCTTTATATTTTTTAATTGAAAAAATTATTTTTTGAAATCAGTCATAAAAATAAACAAATGAATTTACAAATCAAAAAATGTAATAACAATGATATTTTTTTAATTTTTAACTTAAAACATTAAAAAAAATAATTTTCAGGCCATAATATCAGTCATTTTTCATTGATTGGACAATTAAAAAATAACTGAAATTTTCAATATGCTTGACTGACAATTTTCTTTTTTTGCAAAAAAAATTTTTTTTGATATGGAACGAAAAAATTTTTTTCTACTTAAAAATAAATATTTAAGCCTTTAACTATACAGGAAAAACATTTTTGTCCGATCAAACTTGATGTGGAACAATTTTATCTAAGTTCATAAAAGTAATAGTAGTTTCGTTAGGCAAATAAAATCGAATCAACTACTGAAATCAGGAAAAAAAGTTGACTGAAAATTTTGTCGTTTGTCACTGATTGAAGCCAGTTTAAGTATGACGGAAATGATCAATGATGGTTAATGAAAACTTGAGTTGTATTTTAACTGGCCAATCAGACAGAAACGTTGAAAATTTTCGTCAATCTTTACTGATATATCTAAATTAATTTGCATTTTATTGATATAAACCCTTTAACCTTTTAAGGAAAGTGTACGAAAAAAAAAATTTAGAGAAAAAATTGAATTCTCTATTGATACCTAATATGTGTATCAACTTGAAACTAAAACAAGAATTAGAATAAGAAATAAAATAGATAATAACTTAGAAAGTTGAAAAAAAATAAAAGCAATTAAAAATAAAGTAAAACGAAAAAGTAAAATTTATATTTCATTTTTTTGTAATAAATAAATAAAATAATGAATAAGTCAAAAAATAATGAATAAATAAAAAAATAAAATAGAAAATGAAGGAAATAATAAAATAGAAAATAAAATAGAAAATGAAAAAAAAATAAAATAGAAAATAACAATTAGACAATGAAATCAAAAGTAGAAATTAAAACAGAAGCTCAAAAGTAAATTAAAATAGAAAATAGAATATAAAGTGAAAAACTAAAAAATAAAGTGAAAGAAAAAATAAAATAGAAAATAAAATACTAATTAGAGATTGTTTTTTATGATGCAGAGAGTACGAAGTTGACATCAGTAAAGAGAAAACGAGTGGAAGTTAGTGCAAAAGAAACGTTGCCTTCGATAAAAGCTGTGAGTGAAGTTAATTCTGAGGAACGAGAGGACGCGGAGTCGGATAGAAAAAAGAAGAAAGCAAGAACAACCTTCACGGGACGACAAATATTTGAGTTAGAAAAACAATTTGAAATCAAAAAGTACCTGAGCTCTTCCGAGCGAGCTGATATGGCGAAACTCCTCAACGTCACAGAAACACAGGTTTGCTCTCTCGATTGTCATATTTTTCAAAAAAAAAAATGTTTTCTCTCTTTATTTTCCAATAAATGTTTATATTTTATTTCAATTTACAAACACCATTCGCGCATTACTTTTTTTTATAATTAATAGGAAATTTTTACGCCCAAAGAATATTAAAAAAATAAATTACATTTGTTATGTTAATTAAAACTTTACTTTTTTTCGATTTATTTATTTTTATTTACTGTACCATTTCAAATTTTTTTCTCATTTATCGTATTTTAAATTTATTTCTCCTCTGTTTATTTCAGTACATATTTCATTCAATATTCCACATTTATATAATTTCTAATTTGTTTATTTACTTATCAATTTACAAATGTAAATAATAAATAATATACTTGGTACATTTATAATATAAATTACAAAATGAATTCATGCTTGTTTAATTTGTATAATTATATTTTTGTTATTGATTTATTTATTAACAAATGTGCGTACTTAATTAATATAATTTTATTTAGTTGATAATTTGTTTATTTATATTATATTAATAGTATTTATTATTCAACTGAACCGATAAGATATTAAAAATGAAAAAAGTCAGGGAGGAATGTAAAATAATTCTTTTATATCATAAGAATATTGTTACTGTAACTTCTTCAAAATTATTTTCAGATTCAATTATTTTCTAAAATTTTAAATAAAATTCATTTTTGAATCAATTTTAATTTAGAGAATTTAACGAGAATTCAATTATTTAAGTACAAAAATAAATTATTTATTGAATAATTGAATGTTTCTTAAGATTTGATTCTCATAAAGAATTTTATTAACAAATTTTTAAATAATTGAATTTTTTGGCGAATTTAAATAAAATTTTTAAGAATAGTTACATTTTTCACAGAACTTGATTGAAATTGTATTAAAAATAATTAAAATTCTCCGATGAGTTTTATTATTTATGAAAATAATTGAATTTTTGGGAAAAACTTATAAAAAATTTGTAAATAATTGAATTCCTGGGAAATTTTTATTATTTATTAAAATAATTAAATGTTTGGGTACAATTGTATTAAAATTTTTTTTAAATAATTGATTTCTTTTGGATAGGAAAATTTTTGAAAATAATTGAAATTTTGACAAGAATTTTATTAAATTTTTTTGAAAATAATTGAATTTTGGAGAAGCATTTTATTAAATTTTTTGAAAATGATTGAATTTTGGAGAAGAATTTTATTAAATTTCTTGAAAATAATTGAATTTTGGAGAAGAATTTTATTATTTATAAAGATAATTGAAATTTTGACAAGAATTTTATTAAATTTTTTAAAAATAATTGAATTTTGGGGAAGAATTTTATTAAATTTTTTGAAAATAATTGAATTTTGGAGAAGAATTTTTTAAAATTTTTTTAAAATAATTGAACTTTGGAGAAGAATTTTATTAAATTTTTTAAAAATGATTGAACTTTGGAGAAGAAGTTTATTAAATTTTTTAAAAATGATTGAATTTTGGAGAAGAAGTTTATTAAATTTTTTAAAAATGATTGAATTTTGTAGAAGAATTTTATTAAATTTTTTGAAAATGATTGAATTTTGGAGAAGAATTTTATTTTTCGAGGAATTTTATTAAAAATTAAAATTGTATTCAAAATAATTGAAATTCTGAGATGTGTTTTAGTACTTAAGAAAATAATTGAATTTTTGAGAAGAAACTTATAACGTAAATAATTGAATTCCTGGAAAATTTTTATTATTTATTAAAATAATTAAATGTTTGGTTACAATTGTATTAAAATTTTTTTTTAAATAATTGATTTCTTTTGGGTAGGAAAATTTTTGAAAATAATTGAAATTTTGACAAGAATTTTATTAAATTTTTTGAAAATAATTGAAATTTTGACAAGAATTTTATTAAATTTTTTTGAAAATAATTGAATTTTGGAGAAGCATTTTATTAAATTTTTTGAAAATGATTGAATTTTGGAGAAGAATTTTATTAAATTTCTTGAAAATAATTGAATTTTGGAGAAGAATTTTATTATTTATAAAGATAATTGAAATTTTGACAAGAATTTTATTAAATTTTTTAAAAATAATTGAATTTTGGGGAAGAATTTTATTAAATTTTTTGAAAATAATTGAATTTTGGAGAAGAATTTTTTAAAATTTTTTTAAAATAATTGAACTTTGGAGAAGAATTTTATTAAATTTTTTAAAAATGATTGAACTTTGGAGAAGAAGTTTATTAAATTTTTTAAAAATGATTGAATTTTGGAGAAGAAGTTTATTAAATTTTTTAAAAATGATTGAATTTTGTAGAAGAATTTTATTAAATTTTTTGAAAATGATTGAATTTTGGAGAAGAATTTTATTTTTCGAGGAATTTTATTAAAAATTAAAATTGTATTCAAAATAATTGAAATTCTGAGATGTGTTTTAGTACTTAAGAAAATAATTGAATTTTTGAGAAGAAACTTATAACGTAAATAATTGAATTCCTGGAAAATTTTTATTATTTATTAAAATAATTAAATGTTTGGTTACAATTGTATTAAAATTTTTTTTTAAATAATTGATTTCTTTTGGGTAGGAAAATTTTTGAAAATAATTGAAATTTTGACAAGAATTTTATTAAATTTTTTGAAAATAATTGAATTTTGGAGAAGAATTTTATTAAATTTTTTGAAAATGATTGAATTTTGGAGAAGAATTTTATTAAATTTCTTGAAAATAATTGAATTTTGGAGAAGAATTTTATTATTTATAAAGATAATTGAAATTTTGACAAGAATTTTATTAAATTGTTTCAAAAATAATTGAATTTTTGAGAAGAATTTTATTATTTATAAAATTGATAATTTTATTTTTAAAAAAAGGTAGTGAGAAGTTAGCCGCGCGCTTTAGCGTGCGAATTGTTGCTAGTTAATAATTAATTACCTAATAAGTAATTAATAATTAATATTTACATTGTTAATAATAGAAATGAATTAATACAGAATGCTTAAGTAAAATTTTTATATTTATTAAAATGTTTTATTTAAATTATAAGTGTCGCAAGTTGAATAATTATAATAATAATATCGTACTTTTGAGAAAGAGGAAAAATTGTTGAATTTTTGAAACGAGAGTAATTAGGGAATGATGAAAATCTATAATCTCCAAGGTAATATCTCTCTATATTCACCGCTACTTTGAGTATGTTTCCGTCGCGTAGTTTTGGGTTGATGGAGGGTTAAGAGTATGGTGAAGGGGGTGGGAGAGGGGGGGGGGGGTGAATATTTCAACAGTTAGCTACGCAAACATTATGTTAATTAGTAAACCCGGACTACCAGTATCCAGCCTCTAGGACACGACAATGGCGTGGCTCATATATCACCGATAATAATATTACGGGATATGATTGCAACTCGCGTCTGCCAGTATCGCATGTATCATAAACGGATATGTATACGGGGTGTCTCCTACACTTGTCTCATTTTCGTGAATCCTATGTCCTCTGTACGCTTCACTGACGTTGACTGATGTGCATTTTCTCTCCAGATAAGCACTCTCTCTCTCTCTCCCTCTTCCCTCTTTTACTCCCCCCTCTCTCTCTCTCTCTCTTTCCCTCTTGATACAAATAGATACACATGTATAACATCCCCCCTCCCCATTATTCTTCTCTTTATGAAAATTTTACTTCTTCTATATTCTTCATTAAGCCACAAAAGAAAAAAATCCCAAAGATAAAGTGCATCAATCACTTTTATTATAGTTTAAACTTTAAATATTTTCCTAGACGTATTTTTTTATTTTTTCGTCGTAAAATAATAGTTTTTTGGTTATTTTCGAAGGAGAATTGCGATTATAGAGGATTTTTTTTTGGGAGTAGTGATGATAGTCGCAGTCGCTAAGGCACTTGGAAATTTTTGGAACAGTGTAGAAAGTCTGGGTTCGATGTTCGATTCCTCTTGCGAAAGTTTTTGGAAAAATTTATTTTTTCTTCGTTTGAAAACTTTTGTTTGAAAAGTTTCAATTTAAGTGCGGAAAAATTGTGGTTTAATAAAGTCAATCGATTATTAAGAGATTTAAAATAATTTTAACTGCTTTTAATTAATTTTAATGTAATTTGCATTACATTCAAAGATAAAATTCATAATTAGAAAATTTAATTTTTATTCAATATAATAATTATATTCTGTTCTATAGAGACGAAAAAGGTAAATAAAGAAATCTTGTTAAAAATTGGAATTACTGTTAATTCAAAAATAATTTTTAGTTGATGGCAAAGATAATTATGTCTTATAAATATTTTTATCAAAATTTTTGAAAATATTTGAATTCTTGGAAAGAAATTTATTACATTTCTTTAAATAATTGAATTCTTTTGAAGAATTTCTTTAAATTTTTTTAAAATAGTGCAATTTTTCAAATATATGTATTAATTGAAAATTTTGAACGTAATTGTATTCTACGAAACATTTCTTTTACATTTTAAAAATGAACTATTTTTTTAATAATTGTAATTAACAACTTTATAATTGTTGAATTTTGTTAAATGTATTTTGGAAATATTTAAATTCTTCTCAGATTTTTATTACAATCTTTGAAAATAATTGAATTCTTTCGAGAAATTCTTTAAAAATTGTACTGTAAATAATTGAATTCTTTCAAAGATTTTTAATAATTATTAATATAATTGAAATCTCTTGAAAAATTTTATTATAATTTTGTGAAAAATATTAAATAATTGAATTTCTGCGAAAAATTTTATTACATTTTTTAAAAATAATTTCGCTTTTTTAACTGAAAATTTTCAAACTAATTAAATTTTAACTTTTTACTTCAATTTTTAAATGAAATTATCAATTTTAAAAGTAATAGAATTTAAAAATATTTAATTCAAAATTTTGTTGAAAACTAAAAAAATTAAATTTTGGAGAAATTATAAATAATTGCAGAAATTCAATTATTTTCAAAAGTAATAAAATTCTTCTCAAAAAATTTAATTATGTTCAAAATTAAAAAAAAATTCTCGTCAAAATCCCAATTATCTTAGTAAATAACAAAATTCCTTCCTTAAAGTTGAATTATTTTAAAAAATGACAATAAAATTCTTGTCCTAATTTCAATTATTTTCAAAATCTAATATTTTAATAAAATTTTCCGAAAAGAATTCAATTATTAAAAAAAAATTTTATAAAATTGTAGGTACACAAACATTTAATTATTGTCAAAAATAGTAAAAATTCCACTGGAATTCAATTATTTACCATTTTTTTTAAAAAATTTCTTCGCAATAATCCAATTATTTTCATAAATTTTTAATAACTATAAATTGTTTAATTTAAAAAAAGTTTGAATTTCAAATTTTTGAATGTCTTAATTCCTGTGGAAAAATAATAATAATGAAATATTTATTCAAAAAAGATGTTTATTTAATAAATTTATTCAATAAATGAAATGAAATGAAATGAAATTAAATTCGTAAAAAATATGTAACAGAACATTTTTTTGAGTAAAATTTTTTCCTTTATTTTTTAGAAATTCAAAAAGTTTCAAGGTCAATTTCAATTAAAATTTTATAATTGACAAATAGAATTTATAAACATTTTTTCCCTTTATTTTTAAAAAACTTTGAATTGTGCTAAACTCTTAAAAAATAATTGTATTTTTTCAAAATTATTGCATTAGAAAATTTTTGAAAATAATTGAATTCTTTGGGGGATTTTCAAAAAAATCGTATTTAAAATAATTGAATTCTTATATAAAGAATTTTATCTCGATTTTATCAAAATTGTTTAAAATTAAAATATTTGAATTCTTTCAAAGAATTTTATTTTTAATATATTAGGTAATTGAATTCTTTGGAGAAACTTAACTAAAATTAAATTGAAAATAATTGAATTTTTGCGAAGGGTTTTATAATTCATAAAAATAATTGAATTTTTTCAAGGAACGTTATTATAATCTTAATTTAATTATTTTCAACACACTTGTGTTGAAAATAATTGAATTGTTATAAAGGAATTTATCAAAATTTTGAAAATAATTAAATTGTTTCAAAGAATATTATTAAAATTTTTAGCAAATAATGAATAATAATTAATTAGTTAATTTATGAACTTTTTAAAATCTGAAATTGTTAAAAAATGAAAGTTGACATTGGAAAATAAAGAATAGTATAAATGTAGTAATAAAAATTGAATACCGCGATTATAACATTTGTTAGTAATTAATAAATAAGTTAAAATAGAAATAGTAAATAATTAATAAGTAAAGTGTGATTAAATAGGTTATAAATAATAAGTAAGTAATGAACTAATTAATAAATAATATTTAAAAGGAAATAATAAATAAATAATTTGCTTTTTGGAAAGAAATTATTTTTTCTTGGATAAATTTTATGTGCAGATATTTTTTTTTGAATTTTGAGTTTGAAAATATTTTTCTTGGTTTTTTTTTCTGAGTATCGAAAATGTAATATTATACACTTGCTAATAGAAATTGATGAAGGGAAATCAACGATATGATAGGAGTTGAAAATGACAAAGTAATGTTATGACACATATCGGGGGAGGTGTATATAGAAAAGTTAATGTATTCAGAATATGTGTATGGTTATAAATTTTGTATAGATATATATATGTGTATTATGGAGAATGAAGAAGTAATTGGTTAAGAAGCCACGCGTGTTTAACGGTGGAACATACATAAGTGCCAGGCTGCCTGTAAGTAGGTGGCTGGATATCAGCGGCTATCAGAACCATTAGAGGCAATCAGAGACAATTGGTACCAGCCGGCCTGTCGCTTTGTGCTTATTATTGTGGCATGTGCGCGTAATCTGTTTCATCCTCTGGACGCTTACTATCATCGCAACTATTTTCTCCACTAGTGCGCTCGCCATATACAATTTGTCTCAACCGATATCCACCTATCTCTATATTTTCCCCGCACCTGTCCAATTTCGAAAAATAGTAATAGAATAGACACTGACAAATTTATTTATTTATTTATTTATTTATTTATTTTACTAATAATTTATTTACTTATTTAGGGTGACCGTTGTTTTTTTTCAATCTATTCTCGGTCATAAAGAAAAACTTTCAAAAATTATTTTGTAAAAATTTTAATAAAATTCTTTAAAACAATTTAATTATTTTCAAAATTTAGATAAATTTTGTTTATAACAATTCAATTATTTTCAATACAATTGCAATTACGTTTCTTGAAAAAGTACAATTATTTTTATGAATTATAAAACCCTTCGCAAAAATTCAATTATTTTCAATTTAATTTTAGTTAAGTTTCTCGAAGGAATTCAATTTATGTGAAATTTTTTCTAATTTAAAAAATATATAACATTTTAAATAACATTTTATAATTTTGAATCTGAAATAATTTAATTTTTACTTCGAATTTTCATAAAATTTTAAAAAATAATTTAATTGTTTTAAAGAATTTACCTAAAGTAGAATTTTTTAAATTTCCTATATATCTGAAATTATTCAAAAATTGAAGCTAATTTTTGAAAATAAAATATTTTGGAATTTACATACTTAATTTTAATAAATTAAATAGACAGCTTTCCTAGTTATTCATATACCTATATTATTTATAAAAATTAAAAGCGCAACTTTTATAAAATTAAATTATTTTTTGAAATTTTAAATAAAATTATTCGCAAAATTATTTAAAATAAATTCAAAAGCGGATTTGTTTGAATTTAATTAAAAAATCTGTGTTAGAAATTTTTTTTATTTACAAAGACACCGATTATATTTTTTATTCATTCGTTTCTTTATTTATAAACGGAATTTATTTATAAAGAATGAAATGATAAGAAAGAAACAACGTTATTTTATATTTACAAAGCGTTTAATTTTATTAGTTGGCGAAATAAAATTATTTATTTATTTTCAATATTACTTTTAATTCATTTAAGATGAAAAGTAGAAAAAGAATGAAACTTGTTTCATTATTTATGAACGAATTCGTAAATAAAATATTTGCGAATTTATAAAACCACGGATTTAATTTGTTGGCGCAAATTAAAATTTTCTTTCTTCACATTTTTTTATTTATTTATCAACGAGTTCGTAAATAAAATATTTTAATCAAGAATTTTTTTTATTTACAATGATAGAAATTTTATTTGCTCCCAATTTACATACTTGAAAATCTTTGTCCCGTAAATTTCTTAAATAAAAATAAAATAATAAATAAAGGAATAAAGAAATAATTTTTAAATATAAAAAATATTAGTCACGAATTTTTTTTCTTTTTATTTATTTATATTTTATAAACAAAAGTTCATAAATAAAAAATTGAGTCACGAATTATTTTATTTATGAAATCATAATTATCGATTTTATTTGTTGGCAAATTAAGATTATTTTCCTCTCATTTTTTACTTATTTATGAACAACAAGCTCGTAGATAATAAATTTAGTCGCACGAATTATTTTATTCATGAAACCATCGATTTTATTTTTCACAGATATTTATTTATTATTTTATTTATTTATTTATTTATTATTATATTTATTAATTATTTTATTTATTTACTTTTATTTATTAATTTTTCTCGAAGATATTTGTAGACGAATTCCTAAATAAAAAATATAACTTGCATTAAAACTTGGAGAATTATTGCAAAATTATATTTAACGTCAAAAATAAAATTTTAGTTCGTTGATAAATTAATTTACTTTTTTCTGTAACTAATTTAAATTGAAGTACATACAATTATAAACCAAATGGAATAATTTATTATTAAAAACAATCAGATAATTTTAATTCAAATGAAATAATGATTTTCGAAAAGCAGATAATTTTAACTCGTATGGAATAAATAAATTATTATTAAAAACATGTGCTTTAAAAATAAATATTAAATTGAGAATCAATTATTGTCAAAAACAGTTTAATAATTAATTTTTTGTCTTTATTGGAAAATATTTTTCATTTTGTTGAAAATAATTTTTTTCTTCGTAAAAAAGTAAGAAAATCGATTTTTTTGTTTGGTGCTAATATTGTGTTTTTTTTCAGGTAAAAATTTGGTTTCAAAATCGTCGGACAAAATGGAAAAAGCAAGATAACATTAGCAATGCCGAGGCGGCGGAACATAAAAATCAGAATAATCCAAAGACAACGTCGGTTAAATCGAAGCATTCGTCGATGAAAGAAGAATCACTCAGGACGTCAGTTGAATGCAGTTCGGATTCAAATAATTCACTATTAATCAGTGATGTATCAGTGTCTGATAGCGATCCAGCCAATCAAAGATTATCGTCGACAGTCTCAACTGGTCCAGAAAGATCCATGCAGTCAATCTACATATCCAGGAATTATGATTCGGATCTTCAATTAATCGGTGACAATCGTCTCAAAGACCAAACTGGTAACTTTCAAGTTTTAAACTTTAGAAAAACTTTAGAAAAATTAATAAATATAAAGCATGGAAAAAAATCAGAAAATGAAAAAAATACAAAAGAAATTGTGTTTTTGAAAACATTTTCAAAATTGAAAAAAATCAAAATATTTTGAAAAAAAAAATGAAAAAAAAACTCGAAAGAAATTCTGTTCTTGAAAATATTTTCAAAAAAACTCAAAATATTTTGAAAAAAAAATTTTTTTAAATTCGAAAGAAATTCCGTTTTTGAAAATATTTTCAAGAACGGAATTTTTTTTGTATATTTTTGTTGTTTAATTTCATAAAAACTTTAGAAAAAATAAATATCAGAATAAAAAAATCATAAAATGAAAAATATATAAAAGAAATTCCGTTCTTGAAAATATTTTCAAAAAAACTCAAAATATTTTGAAAGAAAAATAAAAGAAAGAATTCCGTTCTTGAAAATATTTTTAAAATTGAAAAACCTCAAAATATATTGAATTTTTTTTCAAAATATTTAGAGTTTTTTTTTATTACGGTTATATTAATTGAAATTGGATAATGAAATTAATAATGAATTTTCGAGAATTTGAGAATTGGATAATAATTAATGTCTAATTTATTTATGAATAAATAAACGAATACGTGCATATATAAATTAAAATAAATGTTTAATATTAAATTTAATAATATAATTATTATTGTAATGATATTTAATGCCTTTACACAATTCATTGCACCATATTTCGATTCTTTGCTTTTCGTTCGAATTGCTTTTAATGGCAATCATATACATAATTGAAATGTAAAATAATAAATTATAAAGGCAGTAAATTTGAAAGGGAGGGCTAATAAAGCTTCAAAATAATAAAATGAAAATAAAAAAATGCCATCAAGGAAAATTTATATTTAGTTTAGAATATTTTGTTTATTCGAATTTTTATTCAAATTTTTAATTAATAATTATTACAGATATTTTATTGAAATAGAAATTGGAAATTTTCCTTTTTTAATTTTTATTTCTCTAAATTTATTTTGTAATTTATTAAATTTCATTTGCTTTATTAATTTATTAAACTCCATAGTCAATTTATTTGGTAAATTTGGTTAGTAAATTTATTTTATAAATTTTGTTAAATAATAATTTTTTTTGTAAATTCGTTTTCAAAATTCTCTATTTGTTGAATAACATTATAAACATAATTTGCTAATTTTTTGTATCACCAAAAAATTATTTCTTATCAAAACATTAATTTATTGAGTGAATTGTTTTCGCAAATTTTTCCAGTTAGTTTATTTACTAAAATTATTTTGTTAATTTCATTAGTAAATTTTTCTAGTATCTATATATTATTTATTGAATTTATTTTTGTTTTCTTCTTCAGTAAATTTTGTTAGGAAATATATATTTAGTAAATTCGTTGAACTAAAATTGAAAAAAGAAATTTTAATCAAAAAATCGAAAAGTGCAAATATAGAAATTTACTTTTGTCGTTTTTTTTCGTATTTTTCATTACTTTTAAATATTTTTTTTTCTTTTTTTGGCGACAATTTCCATTAGGGTAATAAAAAAATCGTAATTCTTAAATTTGGAGCAATTAACATAGAAAATCGTCGTTTGTCATGAAACGCAAACAAAAGACTGAGCTCATCAATAACTCATTTCAGAAGTCGACTGTGCCAAATGCAGATTCTGCTTCTGATAAAGCGATGCCTCTTGATACAGTGAATTTCTCTTTGTAATCGAGATATTCCCGGAATGAAAATATTTTAAAATCGCATTTGTGTCTTTAAACGATTTTTATTTCTTTGCTTTCAATAAAATTTATATAATGATCTTAATATTTCAATTTGATTAAGAAAAACATAAAATACTTATTTTTAAATTCGAAATTCTTGAATCGAAGACAATTATCAATAATTTATTTAGTCAGGTCGATTAGTATATTTAGTTGCCAAATTTATTTTGGCAAATTATTTAACAAATTCATTTTTTAATTTATTTACTAAATCTTTGTAAATTTTTATTTACAGTAAAAGTTATTAATTAAATTTATTTCGTAAATTTATTTGTAAATTTATTTGTAAATTTATTTGTAAATTAATTTGTAAATTAATTTCGTAAATTTGTTTCTAAATTTATTCAGTAAAATTTGTAAATTTATTCAGTGAATTAATTTATAAATTTATTCAGTAAATTAATTTATAAATTTATTCAGTAAATTTTTTCGTTTCATTGAATTATTTCATCGAAATATTTATTGCAGTATAGAATTTAAAAATTCGCTATTATTATAAAAAAAGGAAAAACATTTTTTCTGACGAATAATATTTTTTCTAACAAATAACATTTTTTCTAACGAATAAAAAAAAATTTTTTTTCCAGGTGTCCTGAAGGAGTACGACGTGAAACGAGATCAAAAAATTGGTTCACGTGATTTGGTCGCAGGCAAAGGTGAATCAAGAACAACATCAACGACAGAAATTAAAGAATCAATAATTGATGATTCCGATTATGAGAATTCAGAGAAAAAAGTGTTGACAATATTGAAGGGCGAGAGGGAAAATTGTCCGACAATTCACGATTTGGATAATAAGAATATTAGTGGTCATCAATATCATCATGGGAATAAAATTGAAAGGCTGGAGAATAAAATTGAGCCAGTTGAATTTGCTGTTGCGCCGACAGTGGCACGTCTCGTATTGTCCGACAAGGAGCCGGAAGTTGTTGAAAATCATGAAAGAGATTTTGACGAAGAACCATCTTCGCCGCAGTCTGCACTTGAAATTGATGAGAGAGAAGAGAGAGTTATCAGTCCCGAGCTACCCAGCTAACTAGCAATCTGATTAGGAGTCACTCCTACTTTATTATAATTAAATAACATAAGCGCGCATATTTTCATAATCATTTTTTCCATTCCTTCGTGTAGTGTAATATAAAAAAAAATATATTATTAAGATAAAATATTAATATACGTCACCGGTAATCAGGTCACTAGTGGGTACTTGAATTTTTGTTTGTTTTTTTTCTTTTTGGCATTTTTTTCTTCTTCTTTAGTATTGAGAATATTTTTATTTCCTTTTGGTTTTTCATTTCGTAAGAATTTTTTCTTTTTGTTTTTTTCTTCTCGTTTCTTTTTTTCTCTTTTTGTTTTTCTCTTCCCGTTTCTTTTTTTCTCTTTTTCTATTTTCGTTTTGTCTCTTTTTTTCTCTTTTTGGTTTTTCCTTCTTCCTTCTTTTTTCTCTTTTTTGGATTTTTCTCTTTTTATTTTTTCTTTCTTTTCTTCTTATTTTTTTTTCTCCCTTTTTGTCCTTTTGATTTTTCTCTCTTCTATTTCGGAGAATTTTTTTTTTATTTCATCCTCTTGGTTTTTCACTCCTAGTCGATTTTTGCCTATTTTAATATATCTACAGACGACTTGTAATGTTCTCGTTAAGAATAGACTTTAATTTTAGTAATAATTTCTAAATTAGGACAAAGCAATTAATTTTCGTATCGTCTTTTACGTGAAAGCAAAGTGGTAATTCAGAATTAGCTTCAACTGTGCTGAAATACTAAAATTATCCTTCCTCATGTTTTAATTTATATATCTATTTTTCATTGAAAATTTCTTTCCTTTCATTGAAAAAGATGTTCATGTTGAAATTGTTGGGAAAAATTAATGAAGAACTTCCTTTTGATTTGTGGGAATTTTATTACAAATTTATAGTTTATTCTCGTGAATCGAATTCAATAATAGATTATATTTAAAAGTTCACAGAATTCTAAAAGGTCTATTCTGTTTTTGGATTCGAGGAAAATAACACACCAAAGAAGAAATAATTTTAGAATTTAAAAAGAGTCGCTGTAGGAAATTGATTTTTTTTTCGTTTTTTTTTTTGTAAAATTAGTTTTTAGAGGAAAAAATATTGTACTGCGATAATTTATGTAAATTTGTAATGATTACTTGTTATTGTTATTTTATTCGTTTTGTACTTTTGTATTTTTTTAAATATTTGTTTGTCATTTTCTTCGATTTTTCTATTTTTTTTGTAATTTCTTTATCATTTCTTTGTCATTTTCTTCGTTCTTTTAATATTTTTCGTTACTTTCTTTGTCAGTTCTTTGGCAATTCTTTGTCAATTCTTTGTCGTTTTCTTCCATTTTGAATTAAAAAAAATTTTTTTTGTCTGTTTTTTTGTCATTTTATTCATTTTCTTCATTTTTTTTCACTTTTTTGTCACTTTTTTAGTCAAAGCTTTAAAGACTTGGAACAAATAGGTTCTTATCGTATTGTACGATTATAAATATGTGTGTAAATAACTATTATATATTTTCGCCGAATAATGACAAGCGTTTAATTAGAATTTGTGTAATTAAAATTGAGGCGTGAATTCTCGTGAGATAAATGTGGTACGTCATTTTGTATTATTAGTTGCCAAAGTAAAGCCAAAGGCTCTTCGATATTTTTGCTCCGATTCAAGGTTAATAAATTGAGATAGATTCTGATATCAGATGAAGAGAATTTTCAATATTTATTGTCAAGAGAATTTTTCTCTCTTCCCGATATTGTAATTTATTTAACGTTTTTTCTAATTTTACGAATTATTTATTGATTTATATTTTTTTTTTTTTTTGATAAATTTATGTATTTATTTGTATACCTTATTTATAAATTTGTTTATAGTGATCCGAAAGTTCAAATGAATGAAAATTTTTGTCGTTGTAAATATTATTAATATTTAGAAAAAATGGGGAAAAACATTTAGAAAATTTATTTTCTAAATTTCAATTTTTGCAATATTATAAAAATAGAATTTGAATTGAGAAAAAAAATTTCGTTCGTTTGAACATTCGGAAAATTAGGAATATTTTTAGAAATTTAATTTGTAAATTAAATTTTTGATTACTTTTGTAATTGTAAAAATTCTCGAGTTGTAAACAATTTTCTTCGGTTTTTTTTTTTCTTTTTGTAGAATTTTTTCTCTAATTTGTTTCGTTTCCAGCTCTGTCATCGTCTAATTCGAAACAATCCGTCATCAGGGGAGCAGAATTTATCCAAATTTCTCCACCTGTGAATTTATATTTTTCTCCCATTTATTTTGATAATTTTTGGTGGGAAATTCTAAGCGAAGAAGACAATCACAAATTCTACTGAAAGAAGAGGACAAACACTTTTTTTTTTCTAAAAGCATGATGGAGAAGAGGAAAATGAAAATGCTCCAAAGTCTATAACGAATATGGTATATTTTTTCTATCTTCTCAATGAAATTAAAACAAAGTAAAAAAAAACAATGTATAAACAAAATAAGATGTAGGAAAATAAGTATTTACAGAAAGCGTAAAAATGTATAATATATGGAATTTTTTTTTAATTCCAATATTTTTATGATGAATCTTGGTAATATTGGTTATCTCTTGATAATGTAATGCATTGAGGATATTGAGAAAAAAATGTTTCTTTTTCTTTTTTATGACTTTTTGGAAGAGCACTATCGTTTTATGTCTTCATTACTATCCTCGACAAATGACGCGTTGATTGATCCACTTTTCCCACGCATGGGAATACCATTACCATTACCATTACCTTCAGATTCATCAGTTATCACAACATATTTGTAACACATCGCCATCACAGCAAAGACTATCATATCCAGAAACATGAGGCCAGCGAAGAGTAAAAATTCGTACGACTGAAAAATATAATATAAAAAAGAATATTAATTTTCTTTTTGTGAACTGAAAAGTTAAGTGTTAAGAAAATATTAAAAAGAATAAATAAATGAATAAATAAAATTGTAATAAATAATTATAATTATAAGTAAAAAAATAGAGGAAACTAGAGAAATAATTGTAAAAATAGCGAAAAAATAAAGTGGAAAGAAATGTTTTAAATTCTATATTAGAAAATACGGAAAAGAAAATAGTAAAATTGTTTAGTAAAAAATTATTTTGAAAAATATTTGGAAAATAGTGAAAAATTTGTACCTGCTTCATAAATGACGTTTCTGCGATAATTATCACAACCAAATTTCCAATAGCCACAGTTAATAACCAAGCGGATTGTAATAATGATTTCATACTGACTGGCGCTTGAGTGAAAGCAAATTCCAGACCAGTCACGGAAAACATAACTTCTCCCATTGTTATGACAATATACTGTGGTATTAACCAGAGTATATGAACACCATTTTCCGGCGTTACTGTTAGAATTTTCATGATTTTCACATTTTCAGAAATATACCCAACAAGTGTATAAACACCTCCTCGTCTAAACCTTATTGATTTTTCAATAAGTTTTTCATTCCAATAGAAATCATAAGTTCCAAGTTCCATTTCCATTAAAGCAGTCTCATTAAATTCACTTTTAATGTCAAATGTCAATTTAGTCGAACCGTCATGCACTAATCGAAGTACACCACTATCATAATCTGCCAACGATATTAGGGCACGTATAAAAAAATCTTTTTCCATTGCTTTTGACACTGAATCTTTGTAGGGAAAATACAACCCATTTCTATTTATTGGCAAGGAAATGGCAGTATTCTCGTGTAATAAAAATGAAACTGAAAAAAGAAATAATTTTATTATTGTAAAAATAACTTGAATTTTTTATTATTATATTTTTGCATCTTATTATTATTATTATATAGATAATTATATTATACACGAAAAAAAAATTAGATAATTATTATTTATACAAAAATCGCTTATTATCTAATTAATTATTACTATTTATTATTTTTAAAAATTTTAATAAAATTCAATTATTTTCAAAAACAATAAAAATTCGTCTGTGGAATTCAATTATTTAAGAAAATTGAAATAAAATTCTTCACAAAAATTCAATTATTTTCGAAGACAATAAAAAATCTTCTGTGAAATTCAATTATTTAAAAAAAATTTAATAAAATTCTTTCAAATAATTCAATTATTTTTGAAAATAATAAAAATTTTTTAGAGGAATTTAATTATTTGGATACAATTATTTTAATTATTAATTCTTCGAAAGAATTCAATATTGTTCTCAATACAAATTTCATCAAATTCGTAGAAAGAATTCAATTACTTTACAAAAGATTAATAAAATTATTTAATTATTAACAAAAATTTTGATAACAGGCTTTATAACAATTCAATTCTCTTTAATAGGATTTTAATTAAATTCCTTGAAATAATTTAATTATTTTTAAACATTTTAATACAAATTAATAAAAAAAAAATTAATTACTTTCAAATTTCTTTTTTTTAATTCATTGTAAAAAATTTAATTATTTTTAGAGATTTTAATAAAATTCTTCACAAAAATTAAATTATTTTTTTCGAAAACAATAAAAATTCATCTGTGAAATTGAATTATTTAAAAAAATTTAAATAAAATTCTTCACAATAATTCAATTATTTTTTCGAAAACAATAAAAAATCTTCTGTGAAATTCAATTATTTAAAAAAAAATTTAATAAAATTCTTTACAATAATTCAATTATTTTTTCGAAAACAATAAAAAATCTTCTGTGAAATTCAATTATTTCAAAAAAAATTTAATAAAATTCTTTACAATAATTCAATTATTTTTTCGAAAACAATAAAAATCTTTTTGAGGAATTCAATTATTTTTATAAAATTTTAATTATTAATTCTTCGAAAGAAATCAACTATTCTCAATGCAAAGTTCATCAAATTCGTAGAAAGAATTCAATTACTTTACAAAAGATTAATTTAAAAATTCAAAATATTTAAAATGAAAAATTATCAAAAAAAAGAGGAAAAAATTAAAGATTGTATTTTATTTATTGTTATATTTATTTTTGTATTAAAAAATTATTATGTTATTACCATTCTCTTCTCCAGAAGAAATTGAGAAATTTTCCTTATGACAAAGTGCAAAATTGGCTCTAATTGATATTTCCGTATAGTTATTGACTGGAATATTAATATTTTCCCAAAAATCGAGTGGCTTCAGTTCAAAAGTCTCGTTTTGCACTGACATTGGCACGGAACAATTCAGAGTATTGAATATCCTTAATTGACCCTTACCGGCAGTAGGAAGAATTGCATAAGTATCCTTCAAGTAAAATTTTCATTTGTTATTTATTTATTATAAATAATTATTATTATTTATTATTATTTATTTATTATTATTTATTTATTTATTATTATATATTATTTATTATTTTTTATTTTTTTATTTTTTTACTATTATTACCCATTATTATGCAAATGATAGTAATAATTTTTGCTAGTAATAATAAAAATAATAATAAAAATAAAAAAATAATAATTTATATTACTATAATATATTAATTAATAGATTATTAACAATAATATTATTATTAATTTTATTATAAATTATAATATTTTATATTGTACAATAGTTATTATTTTAATTAATTTCAAATTTTTTAATTGTATAAAAGAATATAAAATATTTTTATTAATTTAATTAATTTTACAAAATGTTTTTTTTTTCCATTTTAATTTAATTTATTTACTTATTAATTTATTTATTAATAATAAAAAATTATAGATACCTCCATTTGAAATTCAACAACTGATGAGATGATAAAAGCAAACGCTGCCAGTACACCGCCGAGAGTCAATTTTTTGAGAGGAGTATTGAATATTTTGAGTTTATGAAAAATTGGATATAAACAGCTATTGAAGATTGGAATGAAAAGTACAATTAAAAATGGATTGACGACTTGCATCTGATCGGGTTTTATTATGTAACTGCCAATTTCACCGTTCATATTGTTTGCCTGGAATGTCCATCTCGATCCTTGTTGATCGAAAAGTGCCCAAAATATTGGCAGAGGCAGAAATAATTTCAGTACTTTTAATGCCGATCTTATGTCTTCAATCATTTTTGATGAATATTTATCGTCCGCGTAATCCAACCAATGGTCCCTTTTATTGTGACTCGAAGTTTTATATTTTCTTCGAATTGCATGCTATTTTAGAAAAATAAAAAAAAATTTGTCAAATGTTTTTCTTATTATAATTAATTAAATTTTAATTAAATTCATGAATTTAAATTTTTTTCTTTCATTTTTTTATTCACTTACACTACATGTTTTTTATTCAGGGTTGCCACAAATATTTTATTTTATTTTTCAGTAGGAATTAATATTCTTCATAACATTCAAATTCAAACCTTTTTGAAATTCAACAATTTATAAGAATATTTTTACAAAACATAAAATTTTTCAAAAAAAGTTAATTATTTACAAAAATCCTAATAAAATCCTTCGCAAAAATTCAATTATTTTTACAAGTAGTAAAAATTTCTCAAAAAAATTCAATTATTTAAAAAAAATGCAATAAAATTCCAAGCAAGAATTCAATTTATTTTCATAAATAATAAATCAATTATTCGGTAATTAATTTTTAAATTAATTTTTATTAGAAAATTCTAGAGGACTTAAATTGTTTAAAATTGAATTCTCATGAAGAATTTTATCAACAAATTTTTAAATAATTGAATTCCTTTGACAAATTTTAATAAAATTTTTAAGAATAATTACATTTTTCGTGGAATTCGATTAAAATTGCATAAAAAATAATTAAAATCCTGCGATGAGTTTTATTATTTATGAAAATAATTAAAATTTTCCCAAGAATTTTATTAAAATTTTTCTAAAATGATTGAATAATGGAGAAGAATTTTTATTTAAAAAATATTTATTTAAAATAATTTTTATTTATAAAGATACTTGAAATTTTGACAAGAATTAAAAAAAACGATTTTAATTAATTGAATTAATTGAATTTTTACGAAGAATTTCATTACTTTTGAAAATAATTTCATTCTTCAAACGAATTTTATTCAAGTTTATAAAAATAACTGAATTTCTGTAAAGAATTTTATTATTTATATTCAAAATAATTGAATTGTTACAACGAATTTTATTCAAGTTTATAAAAATAATTGAATTTCGGTGAAGAATTTTATTATTTATAAAAACTTTGAAAATAATTCAATTCCTGTGAAATTTTGTCAAGAATTTTTATTAAAAATTTTTTTAAAATAATTGAATTTCGAAGAAGAATTTTATTATTTATAAAGATAATTGAAATTTTGACGAGATTTTTTTTTTAATTTTTGAACATAATTGAAATTCTGCGAAGAATTTTTATATCTTGAAAATAATTGAATTTCTGGAATCATTTGTAACTTTTCCAAAATTCAATTTTTTTTTTAGTATTTTTAACCAAAAATTCTTCTATTAATCTAGTATTTAGGAAAATTGTAAAAATTATTCATTAAATAATTCATAATAATTTTATGATAGTTTTTCAAGAATTAAGTTATTTAAAAAGAAATTATTGTCAGAAATAGAAAAAATTGAAGAAATAAAAAAAAACATCAAAATTTAGAGTTTTCTCATGAATTTTAAAAATTCAATTTTTTCCAGTACTTTTATTAAAAATCCCTGACTTTTCCCTGAATTCCCTGACCTGTGGCAACCCTGTTTTTTTTTATTTTTCTGTTTTCGTTTATTCCACTTTGTTTCTTTTTTTTCACTAAATTTTTTTCACGTTTCAAATTTTTTTTCCACGTTTTAAATTCATTAAATTTATTTTAGAAATTGAGGTAAATTTATTCACTTCATAAGTAAATATTTAGTGAACAGTTTCCCCGAATTTGAGCAATAAATTTATTTACTAAATTTATTATGTAAATTGATTAAGTAATATTTTTTGCAAATATATTTAGTAAATTCTTTTAATAAATTTGGTTTGTAATCTTTTTTCTTAAGTTGTCTTAGTAAATTTTTATAGTAAACTTAGTCACTTTTATTTCATAATTTTTTTTGTAAATTTATTTACAAAATTTATTTACAAAATTAATTTACAAAATTAATTTACAAAATTTATATTTTATTTTAGCTTTTTCAATTTTTTTAGTAATTATTTTAACTAAGTTTTATGAAAAATTTATTTCGACAATTTATTTAAATAATTTTTTTCTGTTTATTTAATAAATCGATTCAGTTAATTTCATTTGTAAATTATTTTCCTTGATTAATTTTTTGTCCCTTTTTATTTTTGTAAATAAATAAATTGAAAGTGACAAAATTATCATAATAAATTCATCTATTAAAATTATTTAGTAAATTGACCAGCGGTAAACTTATTTACTTTTTATTTTTACAAAATAAATTTACTAAATCAAATCATTTGCTATAGTAAATTTTTGAATTAAATAAATTATTATTTATTTTTTCAATAATAATTTTATGTTTGCAATCAATTTTTATTCAGTTTACATATTTAAATAAATAAATAGAATAATAAATTATTTAAAAAATTAAAAAATAACTTGTCTCGTTTATTACAAAAATAAAAAAATATTTAGAGTTAAAAATAAATTTTCAAAAGAAATCTATATATGAATGATAAATAATACAATAAATATTATTTTTTATTAATTTTTCCTCTCGCCTTGTAAATTTATTGAGCACTGTTTTTTTATTTACGAAATTATTAGTCATCAATAAATTTAATCGAAGTGAATGTATGTACATATTTCCATAAAGTTGAAAAATCATTTTCCATGAATAATTAAAGGAAAACTCACCGCTATGCATTTAGACACATTCAACACCACATTGCCTTCGGGTTTTTTAATTCTGTAGAGAGGTTTACCAAGAATGAAAATCACTGAAATTAAATACAAATGCTTTAAATAAAGAAAAAATTACACTTTTGCAAAAAAAAAAAATTTTTCTTTTTTTCTAACAATGAAAAACAACAAAAAATGGAAAATAACGAATTTAAAAAATAAATAAATAAAAATAACGAATATGATTTGAATTCTATTTGTACTAAAGAACATTGTTTTATTTTTTAGCCCGTATTTAAATTTTTAAATGAAAAAAAAAAAAAAAAAAAAAAAAAATTATGAACAAATTGTATGTTTTGGAGTATAATTAGTTTTTATTCTTATTTTAGAAAAAAAATAGAGAGAGAGAAAATATCACACCTATTGATAGAGCCATTAAAACAGCAGGAACTAAAAAGGCCAGTGAGAAACAGGAATCAATACCAAAACATTTAATGTCCTCTCTCAAGATTGGAGTTATAAAAGTTGAGATCAAAGAACCGGAATTAATAGCAAAATAAAAAAGTGAGAAAAAAGTAGTTAATGCAATTTCCTGTTGAGGCATGATAAATTGATCGCCTCCAAAAGCAGATACACATGGCTTTATCCCACCGGTTCCCAGAGCCACTAACACTAGGCCAAGCATTGTAAATTCTCTGAAAAATAAATAATTATTAATTTTATCAATATTCCAATGGGCTTATAAAAATTAAAATCGTGCTTTCGGGTGAGAATTTATTTATCGATTGTCTTTCATACTTTACTATTTTTTTAATTTTTAATATTTTTTGCTTTACTATTTTTTCACTTTACAATTTTTTTTTACTTTTCAATATTTTTTACTTTACAATTATTTCACTGTGCAATTTTTTTTTTATTTTTTAATTTTCATTTTTTTAGATGTTTTTTACTTTAGTATTTTTTAATTTTTTATTACTTTTTTTTAATAATTTTTACTTTACTATTTTTTTTACTATTTAATATTTCTTACTTTTATAATATTTTTTACTTTACTATTTTTTTTACTATTTAATATTTCTTTCTTTATAATATTTTTTACTTTACTAGTGTTTTTTACTTCTTTAGTATTTTTTACTTTTCTAATGGTTTTTACATTGCTATTTTCTTACTTCTTTAATATTTTTTACTTTACTATTTTTTTTACTTTTCAATATCTTTTTCTTTTCATTTTTGTACAATAATATTTTTTTCTACTTTTCTAATATTTTTTAATTTTAATTTTTTTTTGTTTTTTAAATATTTTTTACTCTTCTAACATTTTTAAATTTTATATTTTGCTTTACTTTTCTAATATTTTTTAATTTTATATTTTGTTTTACTTTTCTAATATTTTTTAATTTTATATTTTGTTTTACTTTTCTAATATTTTTTAATTTTATATATTTTTTTTTTTGAAACATTTTTTATTTTTCTAATAGTTTACAATTTTTTTTTTTTTTTTTTTTTGATAAACGTATATTTATCAAAATTGTGAAAGCGAGTTAATTTTATTAATTTACACAAAGTTCTCGTGAAGTAAATTTTAATAGAGATTCAATTTTACAATTTATTATGAGAAAAATAATTTTCATTTTGAAATAATAGAAAGATTTATCATTTTTAAATAAAACAACTTTTTTTATAATGATATTACAAGCAAATTAATAAATCTGAAATATTGATAAAATGACAAGTAATTCAATATTATTATTCAACTTTCTAATTTTTTTTCCCCCCATTTACAGAAATAAGAAATTATCCTTGAAACAAAAAAACATCTCTTCATTGAGATTTATTGACTCTTTGAAAGTGAAAAATAACTAAATCATTAAAGAGAACGAAGCCGTCAAGAATGAGTGAATTATTTATTTACTTATTTTATTATTAAATTACATATACATTACTATTATTATTTTCGCTCCCATAATAGTTTTTTTCTAAATATTTATAGTTTCGTATTTTTTTTTTAAATTCTCTTTTGGTTTTAAAAATAATTTTTTTGACTGTTAAAAATTTGATTTTCAATTCATCATTGGAATTGAATTTATAAAATAATTAAGTAATTATTATTAATTAAATAATTAAGTAATTAAATTATGAAAGTAAAGTAGTAAATAATTGAAAGTTATTTTAAATAAAGAAAATAAAGAAAAATAAATAATTACTGAATTAATGACTAATTTTTTCTATTTACAGTTCAAATTATTGTAAATTTTAATTATTGAGAAATAATTATATTGAATTATGGAAAATAAAATTTTTTTATTATAAATATCTATGAATTTGATGAATATATGAAATAAAAAAATATTTACCGGGTTGCAAAATTGAGCCATGGCGTTGCGCTAGCGGACAATATAAATTGTCCAATTGCATAAATAATACTAATGTAAAAAATAGTTTTGAACTTTCCAAGAAGCGAGTCGGACAGCATTGCTCCAAAAATGGGTGTCAAGTATGCCAACATTATAAAAATGTGAAAAATAACTGTCGATGTATTTTCACTGTATAGTAAAATTCTCTGTAGGTACAATGTCAATACGGCTGAAAAGTACATTTAAAAAAAATTATATTTTTACTTTCATTCTATTTTTTTTTCATTTGTTAAATATTTTTGAAAATAAAATAAAAAAAGAAAACTATTTTAAAATCTTTTTTTTTAAATAAAATAAAAAAAAGAAAACTTTTTTTTGTGTTGTATTTATTGTATATTTAAGATTTTATATGAAAATTAAATAAAAAAAATTATCATTTTCATTGCGTTAAGAATAATTTTTTTTTTCTATAGTTACAAAGTTGAAGATGGAGAAAAATTTACTTCGCATTCCATAGAAAGCAAATCGTTCACAGAATTCATTGCTGATGATGAAGAAAACTGACTTCGGGTACTTCAATTTCTATTGAGAGAAACAAGTAAATATTTTTTATTAATTAATCACTTTCTTGAAATTTTTATTAATTATTAATTTAGAAATTTAAATGTTATAATGTCGTATCAAATTAATATTAGAAATTTTTGAAAAATAATTTTAGGAGTACACTGCATTTTTTTTTTATTTTTGAAAGAAATTTTTTTATTGCTGATGTTAATAATTATTAATTGTTTAAAATATAAACTATAAATGAATGCAGGTTTTATTACTAATAATATTATTAATTATTACTCTAATAATATTTTATACTTTAATAGTATTATTATATAATAATAATATTATTATAATATTATTATATAATAATATTATATAATAATATTATTATTATATTATTATAATAATAATAATGTGCAAGACATAAAAAAAAACATAAAATTCGGTAATTAATTATTAAAATTTTTTTATATTTGAAAATAATTGCATTTTCGTATAAAAAATGGTAAAATTATTAAAAGTCTCTTTATTTAAAAAAAAAAAAATAGTCATTCAAATGTGAAATTCATTCCAGTTCTAAAATTTATGCAACTTTTATGAGTTCTGCGATTAGGAAAAATTGTACACCATTTGATATACAAAATGTTAAAGTTTGTTTTACATTTAGACAAAAATAATTTGCTGAAAATTACTTTTAAAAAAAACCCCAAAAAAATCAATTTATTGTGTAATTTAATTTTTTTATATTTATTAAAATAATTTTTTTTTATTTATTTATACAAAAAAATTACCCTTGTGGTATGGCTGAAATTATTTATAATAAATTATTAATAAAATTTAATAATTTAATAATAATAATAATAGTAAAGAGTGAGGGGCGTTTTTTGTTTTGTAAGCAAGTTGATTCTAAAAGAAAAACAATAAAAGTAATTTAGTAAAAATAAATACAATAATTACAATAATAATAGAAAATAAGAAAAAAATTAGAATAACAATAATAATATTAATAATAATACGTCTACTTATAAAAAAATAAATAATATCTCGTGGAACAATGTGGATAACAATAAAAATTTAATTTAAATAGAAAATAAAATACGCTTGCAAATTGCGAGAATACCGTAAAGAAAATAAAAAATAAAAAAATGCCATTTAAACGGGTCAATTATCAATAGATAGAAAATTATTCAATAATTGTTTAATGTCCCAGCTATAACACCTTTTTTAATGTAAAAAAAAAATTTGTATTGATAAAAAGCATTAATTACAAAAAGATAAGATTAAACTATTATGTTGCTTCAATTATTAAAAGAACGACGAAAATCCTGACTCAGAAAATTTTATTTTTTAAATAAATTTATAAATTATAATTATAATTATTATTCTATTGCTTCTTTTTGTTTATTTATTATTCTTTTAAATTTTAATTTATAAATTTATAATTTATAATAATTAATAAGTTATTGATAAATAGAAATAAATCTTAGAGTTTCGAATTTTTAAAAAATTATTATTAGGTATTCAATTATCGGCAAATCCTTTTAAAATTAAAATTTTGTGTGTCCGATATTTTTTCTTTTTTTTTTATTTAAATCTAGAAAATTATTTCCATTTATCAAAATGTTTCTGATAGAGAATATTATTATCTGATTATTTTCAGATTGCAATGTCTTGTTTATTGTCTGTTAAGTTTCTTTGGCATTTTTTTCTTATCTTATTACGGTTATTAGTATTCTTTTAAATAAAAAAAACGAAAAAATTTATTGTAAATCCCCAAATGAAAAGAATCTTCAAAAAAAAGGGAAAATAAGCGAATAGTATTTAAGTATAAAATTGTAGGTAAAAATATTTAACGTTAATTTTTTTTCTCCTTTTTTTATTCTGTGGTCAGTCTGACACCGGAATGAACGGTTAAATAAACTATTTGCAATACATAGTTGCATTTATCTGAGACAAGTGTGTAAAAGACTTATTACGTGTAAAAGTCGTAAAATTAAAGAGCTCAAGACACTTTACATAAAACATAAAATTATAACTATTATAAAAATTTTTTTTTTCTATCTGTTTATACAATGTTGATTATTTGCACACGTTTGTTACAATATAAAAATATTGCGTCGCAGAATTTAGATTTATAATAATGACATGCTAAATATAAACCAAAATAATCCTCTTTTATTCGTCTCGAAAGGAAATTATTAAAAAAAAAAAGTGTATTAACACTTCTGTTTATCAACAAGAAATACTGTCACTTTTGAATGTTTTTATAATAAAATTTTCACAGAAGAGAATTTATTAATAAATAAAAAAAAATTGGAAACAAATTTATAAACAAACAAAAATGCGAAATTCGTTTTGTTTACATAAGATTTATACATTTTTTTTATTGTACAGTACTTTTTTTATTTATTATTTAGTTATTTTTACTTTTTATTTTTTTATTTACTTTATTTACTGCTTATTATTCGTATTTATTTTATTTATTAATTTGAATAAATTTTCCATAAGAATCCAATTTCTATATTGAATAAATATTAAATATATATTTAAATAAATTTTAGTAAAATTCTTTAGAAGAATTATTCAATTATTTTTGTAACAGAATTTAAATAAAATTTCTCGAAAGAATTCAATTATTATTAAATATTTTAATTAATTAATTAATTAATTTAATTTTAATTTTTAATTTTAATTTTAATTATTTTTTAATTTTATTTTAATTATTTATATGCGAATTTAATTATTTTCAATTTCAATACAATTTTAATAAAATATCACGAAAGAATTAAATTATCTCAATAGGACCGCGAGAAACATAAAATTGTACTAAATAAATAAATTATTTTCAATTCAATTTTACTAAAATTGTTCGAAAAAATTCAATTATTTGCAATTCAATTTTACTAAAATTCTTTGAAAGAATTCAAATTAATAAGAAAATGTTGATAAAATTCTTTGAAAAAAATTCAATTATTTTTCATAATTTTAATTAAATTCTTGACTTTGGAATTATTTTAGATTAAAAAATATTTATTAACTAATTAACTATTGAATTGAATTAAATTGAATTATTGGCATGTATTTTAATTATTTTTTTTCAAGAATTCAATTATTTTCATGAATAAAAAAATTCTTCGTAGGAATTAAATTATTTTCAATACAATTTTAATAAAATTTTACAAAAAATTAAATTATTTTCATGTATTTTAATAAAATTCTTTATAAAAATTAAATTATTTTCAATTCGATTTTAATAAAACGTTTAATAAAAATTAAACTATTTTTTATGTATTTTCTTAAAATTCGTGACAAAAATTCAATAATTGTTTTTAATTCAATTAGTTTACTAAAATTTTTTGAAAGAATTCAAATTAATAAGAAAATGTTGATAAAATTCTTTGAAAAAAATTCAATTATTTTTTATAATTTTAATTAAATTCTTGATTTCTGGAATGATTTTAGATTAAAAAGTACTTATTAACTAATTAAGTAATTAACTATTGAATTGAATTGAATTATTGTCATTTATTTGAATTAATTTTTTTTCAAGAATTCAATTATTCTCATAAATAATCAAATTCTTCGTAGAAATTCAATTATTTTCATGTATTTTAATAAAATTCTTTATAAAAATTCAATTATTTTCAATTCGATTTTAATAAAATGTTTAATAAAAATTCAATTATTTTTATGTATTTTAATAAAATTCTTTACAAGAATTCAATTATTTTCAATTCGATTTTAATAAAATGTTTAATAAAAATTCAATTATTTTTATGTATTTTATTAAAATTCTTTACAAGAATTCAATTATTTTCAATTCGATTTTAATAAAATGTTTAATAAAAATTCAATTCTTCTCAGGATTTGTTATTTTGAATAAAATTTTAATTAAGTGCCTCAATAGAATTCAATGACTTTCAGAAATTTTAATAAAAATCTTCGATACAATTGAATTATTTTCAAAAATTTTGAATAAAATTCTACAAATAATTTTGTTTAGTTAATTTTTTTCATTTCTTATTAAATCTTGAGAAAATTGAATTAAGATTTTATTTATGAATTAAAAATATTTAAAAAAAGAATTATCAAGAAAATTTTAATTAAAAACAAGTAAAAACAATTAAATTCAAAATTTGGACAAACAACCGAACTACAACAATTATTATTATTATTTATTCAATTTTCATATGTTTATTTGATTAATTATTTATAATTATTTAATAATAATGATAATAGATATTCTTTATAAAAGAATAAGTTTTTGGATTTATTATATAATTTAGGATATATATTTTTGGTCAAAAATATCCTCTAAAATAGATATTCTTATTTATATTTACTTAATTTATTATTTATTTATAGATTTATTTTTCTTATCTTAAGAATTTTAAATTAATTAATTTTTTTATCTTTAATTCTTTACTTTTTATTCTAACATTGCTTTAGACGAAGATAAGACGATATATTAATATAAATAAGTGATAATAAAAAATATAAATAATTAATTAAAATATTGAAAAATATATTTGAAGTTTTTTTTAATCAGTTACTTAAAGAATAAACAATTTTTTCGCTCCTATTTTTTTTTTTTTTAAACTCTTCCGGTTTATAAAAATAAAATCGTGATATCAGTTTTTTTTTTCTTATGGGAATGATTTCCTAGAAAATATTGTATGAAATAATTGTTGCTATTACGAGATACTTTTTTTTTGTATTGTATTTTTGAATTGAATGCATTTTAGTTCGTTTAAGATCTAAAGGACTCACATGATCTTTTATGACGCGAACTTATGACATTGCATTTATAGTGTGTAATGAATGAATTTCAATGAGGAAGTATATACATATATATATGTGAATAGTAGGCGAGTTAATTAATTCGCCGTAAAATTAAATAAGTGTTTCTGTTTGGATACTGTTTGTGACTTTAAATTTTTATTTTTTGAATTAGAATTTTGAATTAGAATTTTTTTTTCTATTTTTTTTTTTTTTTGGTTCTATAATATTTGTCAACCGTGAAAATAAATGTAGTTTAAAAGTCAATGAACCTTTAACCAACATTCCATAATCAACGAGCTACATTCCTAAAAGTCTATACTGGATTGTATTTGTTGAGAAAAATCCTACATAGCAATATCCGGTTGTTGTGAATGGAATTGAGATATATAAAAAAAAATGTCGTATTTTTCAATCAAATCAGAAGTGAACAAAAAATAAAATTTTTATTTGATTCAAATAATCGGTTATTTGATATTGTTATTTTATTATTGAATCAATAGTTTTTATTTGCTTTCCAAAATGGAATTATTTATTAATATTTGAGTCAATTAAATTTTATTCGTTTCAAACATCAATACGGAGAGACGGAATTTAGTTGTAAGATTAAAAAATAAAAAGAAAAATAAAATAATAAAAATAAATTTGCAATAAAATAAAAAAAATCTACAAAAAAATAAAATTAACAATTATTTCATTTAAAAGAAAATTATTTTGGTTCAAATAAAAATTAAACCGAAAATAAAAACCGAAATTATTTTCTTTAAATAAAAATTGTTTGGTTCCAAACGAAATAATTTCCTTCAAATAAAAATTGTTTTGCTTCCAGCCGAAATTATTTTCTTCAAATAATAATTATTTTGTCTAGACCAAAATTATTTACTTGAATAAAAAATATTATTATTAATAAACAGAATATACCTATATAATTAATTTATATAATAAATAATTGAAAATAATTCAATAAATAAAAAATTATAAGATATAAATTGTTACTACGAGTACAACTGATTAAATAATAAATTATTATTTTTTAACTGTTACAAAAAAAATTATTTCGTTGAAAGTGTCTAAACCGAATTTTTTTTTTCTTGAAATCATAATTATTTGCTTAAAGGGCATTTGTACCTAAATTAGTTGAGTAAAAAATTTTATTATTAGTTAACATAATAGTAAATTTAATTTAATAATAAATAATTAAATAAGAAATCCAACGAAATAAATAATTATTTATTGAATTATTGAATAAATAAATAAAATAATTGAAAATAACTCGATAAATAAAATATATTAAAATATAAATTATTACTTCGAGTAAAGTTGATAAAATAATAAATTATTATTTATTTATAAATAATTTAAAAGATGAAATGGCAAATTCATTTCAAAATTATGGTCCGCAGTGTCAATCTGAATGCATATGATTTTATTCGACCATGGCCTACCTTTTCTAAAACGTAGATAAAGACATAAAGTACGATAATAAAACAAGTGAAATAATGACGATTGTTCACAACAATCAACTGTGAAAAAATGTTTTCTCCTCTTGCGTGTTTATAAAATAAATCAGTAAGGTGCTAATTGATTATTAAAAAAAAATTCGTTTATACAATTTTTTTTCAATCTATTTTAAACAAAATTTTTTTTATTTGTTATATTTTGTTCATTAATTAATAAACAAGTGGATTTAATATTTTTAATTTGACATTAAATTGAATAATTGATTCTAATTTGAGTATTGACATTAAATATTTGGATTTTACAGTGCTTATAAATTAATACTTTGTTTAGAGAAATTTTTTATTTTTCAAAAAGATTAAAAATATATTGATGTTGATAAGAATGAAAGTACAAATTTAACTTGTCACGAGATTTTTATTTTGATAAATTGAACACTTGAGTGGAGAAAAAATTTGTCTTATAATAATCGAAAAGAAAATTAATTTCTGTAATATAAAGCATAATTTGTAAAAATAAATTGCTTTACTTAAATAATAAATTTAATTCTTGTATTTTTATCAATTTTTTTATTTATCAATTTTTGTAAATTGGAAAAGTACTTTTAAGGTTATTTCTATTGCGTTTCAATTGTTTCTTATTTTTTTTAAATTTTATTTTCTAAAACTGCTCTTCAATAATTCAGTTAATTATCTTTATTTTTAATTCAATTATTTATTTTTCATCCAATTATTTATTTTGTATACTATTCAATTATTTATTTTTATATACTACTCTATTATTTTACTTTATTTACTATTCGATTATTTATTTTCTTTACCATTCAATTATTTTTTTTTTTTTAGTTTTTTATTCAATTATTTACATTGCATTGAATTCAATTCTCTGATTTAATTTCTATTCAATTATTTACGTTGTTTTTCACTCAGAAGTCTTTTTTTTATTTTCGATTCAAATATTTATATGGTTTTATTTTTTAACTGTTTTTTTTAATAATTGAATTATTCAATTATTACATTTTATTTACACTTAGATTTTATTCAATTATTTACTTTGCATTTAATTCAATTATTTATTTTGATCTCTATTCAATTACTTACATTGATTTCAATTCAGTTATTTATTTTGTTTTCTATTCAATTACTTACATTGATTTTAATTCAATTACGTGTTTCATTTTCTATTCAATTATTTATATTGTTTCCCACTAATCCGATTTTTTCAAATCAATTATATTTACATTGTCTTTAATTCAATTATTTATATTGTTTTCTATTCTATTTTTTACATTAGAAATAATTGAATTATTCCTTAGTTTCGTTCAATTTAGTTTTAATTGTTTTTTTATTATTTATGTGATAGTTAATTATTTATTTACTTAAAATTTTATTAATTTATTATTTTAATTTTTTATGATTATAATTTTTTTTTAATTTTTCGTATTTATTTATAATTGAAAATATTTTATTAGTTTTTAATTGAAATGTTTAATAATAATAATAATAATAATAATTCTAGTTTTCAATTCAAATTCAAGTTATTAATTATTTTCGAATAAATTTTCTGGTTTAAAAATTTGTTGTTTAAATTTTAATTGAATTATTTGAGTTAAATTATTGAATTATTTATTTAATTTTTGAATTTTTTTCTTTGCAATGATTTATTTTTAAATTCAGTTGTTTTGAATCAGAATATTAATTATGAAACACAATTCCTTTTTTTCGAAAATTTTTCTTGATTCTTTATTTTTTATCACTTTTCAATTCTTATCGTCCATGTTTTATGTAATTTACAATGGTATTATCAACTTTTTTTTATCTTTTTTCCTTTTCTCCGGCAAGCAATGATGAATAATTTGCAAAATGCAAGTGTACAATTAAATAAATAAACAAATAAAATAAACATATAAATAAATCATTGAAAGTGTCAACTAAGTTGATGATGAACGATTTTTAAACGAATAAATAAAATTAATACACGGTTATTTAATTTTTAAATATATGTTTTAAAATTTGTTTTAAAATTTAATTTCAATTTTCAAAATTAATTTTGAATTTTCAATATTAATTTCAATTTTCAATTTTAACTTCATTTCATTTTTTAAACTTTATTTCAATTTTCAATATTAATTTCAATTTTTCAGTTTCATTTCATTTTTCAAACTGAATTTGAAATTTTTCAAATTTAAAAACACCAAAATTTAAATATTTACCTTCTGCACAGTATCTCCCCCTTTTTCGTGCATTTTGTACACCAAAAATTATTCCAGTAAAACAATTTTTAATTTAAAAATCACATATATATTAATATCACAAGAAAATTGCCTTCAAACTATTCTACCATTGAATAATTTAAAGCTAACGTAGAAAAAACGTTCAATTATAATAATAATACATTTTAAAAATTTTTTTTCTGTTTTTAAAATGTGTTATGACATGTGTTACGTTGTTAAGACATTAAAAAAAAATGTATAACGTCAACACTGTTCCGTTCAACTGCTACTGTTACACTGCATGTAAGTATTTAAAATGATGTGAAAGTCGCTGAACGTGAAGAAGTCTGTAACATAAAAGTCTCGAACCAATCTGTAGGCCAAAGTCGTTTCTGACAACAACGAAAAAAAGGGTGGAGGTATGGACAAAAAAAAGGGGGGGGGGATAAATAGCTCAAATAAAACATGTCCAGATTTTTAATTACATGTACCTGTTAGAATCATCATTGATGATTTTCACGATCATTACAATGGAATGTTTTTCCGTAAAAGTTGTTTTAAATGTAAGAAAAAAATAATTGAATATTGAAAAAAAAATTTATTTTATTCTAACCGATTACTTTTTTTTTGTTAAATAATTATTTACTTGAATAAAATAATTTTTATTTAAATCAAATAAATTATATTTAAATCAAATAAATTATATTTGAATCAAATAAATTATATTTGCATTAAATAAATTATATTTGAATCAAATAAATTATATTTGAATCAAATAAATTATATTTGCATTAAATAAATTATATTTGAATCAAATAAATCAAATTTATAGAGAAACCTATATTTTCGAAAATTATTAGAATAAATTAAAATATTTGAATAAAAATTGTCAATATATTTAAAAATTATTTTCTATTGTACGACAGTGACAAAGTCAATGTGTCGATGACATGGTTTGCGGAGCAATTATTTAGAAGATCGGTAATTACAGTTAATTGCCACTAACAACTACTTCAATATTGTAACAATCATTTAAAAAAAAAATCATATTCGAAACTCCTTCAAACACGTACGAAACATGTTTGAAACTTTCAACTATTAATGCGAAACTTATCCAAATTAGCAATAAAAGCAAAAAAGAAAAAGAAAAATTAAATTGAGCTAAAAATCAAAAATTAATATTATGAAAAAAATTAGTAATAAAAACTTTTTTCGTGACATAATTGAAGAAATCATTAGAAGTGACAATTAACTTGATTTGAAGTTTTTCCATGACAAATGAATTTCCAAGAAGTATGATTAATTTTCAAATTGCTATTAATAATGAGAAGATGAGTATAAATATATTTTCTTTTTAAAAATTTCTATACGAAAACTATACTCTTTATATTTTTTTCTCGGTTTGAATAACAATAATAATAATAATAATAATAATAATAATAATAATAATAATAATAATAATTTCAATTTTTAATAATTTTTGTTACAGTTTTTCCCCGCATAAAAAATGTTTTCTATTAATTTTCTTTTAATGTAAAGTAAATTCGATCAATTAAATTAATCAAATACACAATAATTACGAATATAAATATAGGTAATTACGTTCTTTTAAAAAACCTTTTCGGAAAATATTCTGTATACTTTGTAAAAAATCATCAGTGATGATTTTATCGGAAGAAAAATAATCTATTCTGATATGATCATCACTGATAATTTTCACCTTTAATTAAATAGAATTTTTCTAGAACAAAAACATGATTATTTATTAAATTATTAAAATTATTATTAAGAGAGAAAAAAAATTAAACAATTATATGAGTATTAATTTCGATTGATTTTTTAATCAAAATTATTTTGTACACAATTTTGAATATTACAAATTTTTATTCAAGTATTTCAATTTTTAAAAATATTTTTAAGAATATTTAATCATTTTTACGTCATTTTTACGTCACAGTTTGTGCAAGGCATTTACTGTGGCGTCTTAATGATTCAAATGCCCTTAAGAATAAAAAATTAATAATTAAAAAAAAACATTAAATGAAGATAATATTCAAATTTAAAATTTAAAGAAAAAAAAACTTGAATATTAAATAAAGTATTTTTATTTATTTAAATTCAACTCCGCAGTCTAAATAAAACCGAAAATATAATACAAAGGTAAAGATAATATTCAATATTATTGAAAACTTTTATTTAGGTATTTCAATTTTTTTTTTAATGATTTTTAAGAATAAATAATTAAAAATTCGAAAAGAGAAAATTGAATAAAAAATGAATTGTAAGAATATTTAAATTATAAATTTAAAGAAAAAAACTTTAATGTTATTTGTATAAATTATTTATAATAAGACTGAATACAAAATTGAATACAATCTTTAATAAAATTAAAAAAAAAAAAAAAAATTAACAACTTTTACCTATTTTTTAGTTAATTTCTGAGTAGTAGGTGAGATAAATTCCCCTTTATCATATAGAATTGAAAAATTAATTGTGCGGGTCTTTAATCTAAAATTCATGTATTTTATCAATGCATTTCGTGATCCACGTATACACACAAGTCTAAATAAAAATCATAATTGCATGGTTTCTTTATCATTTCTCAGAACGCGTAAAGTACAATTTTTATGAACAAAATACTTCGTAAACTTACATATTTCAGTATTACTATTTCCATAAATAGAGCGGTAATTTTTTTTTTACACAATGTCAAAATATTTTCTAGAAAAAAAGAAGACAAAATTAAAAGATAAAAATAATCGAATGTAAAATCAATATTTACTTGAATCAATTTTTTTCAGTGTAAAAATTTTATTATTATTGTCATTAATCAATTTTTTTCAGTGTAATAATTTTATTATTATTGTTATTAATAATAATAAAATTATTACACTGAAAAAAAAAATTGATTCAAGTAAATATTTATTTATTAATAGACAAGTAATCGATTATTTGAAATTTGAATCAAAGATTAAAAAATATAGAATACAAATAAAATACAATTTATTAATATAGATACATAAAATATAATACAAAATAAATTTTTTTTCAGCTTAAAAACAAATATTAAATTAAAAATAAAAATACTATTTGTTATAAAATATGTCAAAAATATTTCCTAAACAAAAGAGGAAAAATTCAAAAATAAGCAAAAAGAATTTTTTTATTAAAAAAAGAAATAAATTTAGTTAATTAATTTTCCTCCCTGTTTATATTACAACCGATATTTTACGATTAATTAAGAAGATTTCAATTTGTCAATATTGTCAAATGAGAAGTTTGATTTGTTCCTCGTGTTAATTTATATACGCACTTTACTACAAAATATTCTTCTATATAAAGAACTTTCACCGAACGAATTATTATGTAAGTTTATGTCAAGGAGAAACAGGCAAAGAAATAAATTACTGAATAATTCAAATTCAAAAAAAAAGGAAACTGGTTCAGAATTTGAAAAAAAAATTTTTTAATAAATAAATTTTTAATAAATTTTTTTTTATTAAATAATAAATTTTTTGTTCTAAATAAAAATATTATTCGGCATAAATAAAATTTTTATTCGAAGCAATTTTCAATTTTTGTTTGACACAAATATAATTTATTTGAGACAAGGAAAATTTTTATTTGAAGCAAATATAATTTACTTGAATTAAATATATTTGTCTCAGAGAAGATAAATTTTTAATAAATTTTTTAAATTAATTAATTTTTTTTATTTGTTTGTTTTGAATAAAAATTTTATTCGTCATAAATAAAATTTTTATTTGAGATAATCGCATAATTTTTATTCTCGAAACAAATATAATTTATTTGAGATAAAAATAATTTATTTGAGACAAATAAAATTTCTCTGAAACAAGTAAAATTTTTTGCAAAAAAAATTTTATTTATTATTCTCTTGAGTTTTTCGGTATGTAAATAAATATAAATAGTTTTATATACATATTTATGTTTTTTTGAACATAAAATATGACGTATGTAATTAATTTATCTTTAATTGATTTTTATCAAAACAAAAAAAAGTCCCCGCATAATGATACATCATAAAAATCAATGAATGGAGATTATTATTATCGGGTAATTTTTTTGTAATTATAAATTATAATATATAGTAAAATATTATTTTTTACTTTTATTTGAATTTTATTTTACAAAAGAGCAAAAAAGTACGATTATATATATGGAATTTTTCATCATCAGAAAGGTTCAAAATCTCTTTCTATTTTTTTGCTCTTGTTATTAATTAGAGGCTCATTGCTTGAATCCGCTTCGATTAATACAAATTTATATCGTCTTGTCATAAGTGCAAAAATTAGCATATTGAGCATTATTAATCCAGCGAATAGAAAAAATTCGTTTGCCTAAAAACAGTGAATTTTTTGAAATTAAAAAATGAAGCTTTTTTTAATTTATTTAGAGTATTTTTTTGGTTTTTATTTTTAACATTCATTTAAATTAATATTAATTTAATTTAAATAATATAAATTTATAATAATATTAATTTAAAGTAGGTAAATATTAATTAATAACAATATAATAATATTAATTTGATCATTTTTTGTTTTTTTTTTAATTCGAAAATTTAAAATTCAAACAAAAAATTAGTTATTAGAATAAAAATTGCGAAAATTTACTTGACTTTGAAAAAATCGTGATTGAATTATAATTATCACCAATAAATTGCCAATGGCAACACTCAAATACCAAGCAGCAATTGTTATAGTTTTCATACTTTTTGGTGCCTAAAATATTGGAAAAAAATTAATTATTTTTTAAATACTTAAAAACTAATCAAAATAAAATTAAAAACAACTATATTAAATTTAGATTTTTTTTTTAAACTCTCTTTTACAAAATATAAATTTAAATCATTTAATTTTGTATATATTTTTTTTTTGTTTTACTTGCGTAAATGAAAATTCTAATCCGGAAATGGCGAACATAATTTCCGCCACTGAAATTAGAAAATATTGTGGGAAAAGCCACAGAATGTGAATTTCATTTGGTGGAGTCATTGTGTACAATTTCTGAAACTGTTTATAATGAACATTTAAAATAATATGATATAAAATTAAAAATTATGTTAATTATATTTTGCAAAAATTTGACTTTCTTTTATTTTTATATATAATAATTTTCTATAAAGATAAAAAATTTTTACACTAAAAATAAAAAATAAAAAAAATAAATAAAAATACACTATTAATGTTCTTAATAATATTAATTAATAATTAAAAAAATAAAATAATAATATTAATATTAATAATATTCTCCAAACAAAATGTACAATATTAAATTATTTTACGTAAATAAAAATAAAATAAATAAAGTACTTGAAAATTAAATTTTGTAACTCCTTACCGCAATTATTTGACTTTGATATATTCTAATCACGAGATTATAAACTCCACCGGAAGACAATTTTATCGAATCTTGATAAATTATACGACGATTTATATCATTAGAAATTTTATACTGAAAACTTCAAAAAAAATATTCTTTGTTAATTTTTTTTTTACTTCTTTTGCTCGAAAATTTAATTGAAAATAAAAATAAATATTTTTACGTGATCAAATGATAAATGTTGGAAATTAATTTTAGGGAAACAAATAAAATACAGTAAATTAATTAAAGTTGGGTTAATGACAAAATTAATTTTTCTTTAAATTTAAATTAGAAAATTAGATGTTTATTTTTGAATACGATTTAAATTAATTTTTTGAATGCTGTGATAAAAGAATTTTTTTGTAATTGATTTTTCTCTTATCGTTAATAAATACTGCGCTTTAAGTATTAATTTATTTATATTAATGATGGGAAACCCACAGTCCCGGTTCCAATTCCAAATAAGCTGACTCTGATAAAAATTTTCCTTTTGTAAATGTATATTTATTTATAAAATTACGTGCACTTTTTAAAATTATTGTCACACTTGAATCATCTTTTGCATTTCTTGAAAAAATGAACCTATTAGTGAAAATTAAATCAAAAAAATATATGGAACAAATTTTATTATTTACATACATATTTTTTTTCTTTTTTTTCTTTTGGAATTTGAATTTTTATTTATATTTTATTTTTTTATTTATTTTTATTTGAAATTAAAAAAAAAAATTTTTTTAAGAAAAAATAATTTCTGTTGTATATAACAGAATCTTTTGTTAGTCTTCTCTTTTATTTTTAAAAAATATATTGAGTCGAATGGTTTCAAAAAATAATTGAAAATAAAATAAATAAGAATAAAATAAATAAAAATAAATAATAATAAATAAATAATAATTAATTAATTAATTAATTAATTAAATTAAAATGAGTTCCGTCTTAGACGTCGTAAGGTATAGACGTGTTTGTTGTGCCCGCTCTGAGATTGTTCATATTCAAGTGATTTACTTTGGATTGGGCTCGCTATTTGCTGATGTGGGGTGAACCCAGTGATGTTTTCTCGTTTTCTTTTCCTTACACCTATTATTTTTTTTGTTTTTTGCTCATTTTTGTATCGTGTCTGTACGCTATAATAAACTGAGTGAAGGTTCTGTGAAATAAATGGTATTTTGGCCAAGTCTTGGTTTATAGTGAGTGACTCATATAGTGTACTGTAACCTTCTCAATAATAATAAACAATGGAGTCTCAAGAAATTTTAAACACACTACAGAAGATCCAGGAAAGTATGGCCACGAAGGATGACATAAACATGATCAAACGTGGTAACGACCAAATTCAGAAGGAGATGGAAAAAATCAAAATCAAATTCAATCAGTCGATTTCTGATTTAGAAAAAAAGGTAGAGGTTCTCACGCGAAAACTACACTTCAGCGATAATGCAATTAGAGCAAAAAACATCCTCATCTTCAAAGTGGAGGAAAATTTAAATGAAAGAGAAAACACTCTCGGCAAGATTATGGGTATCTTTCAGCAAGTAGGGTTGCAGATTAATAAATTCTGCGTGGAATCGGCTTATCGTATTGGTAAACCAGGTACAAGTAGACCGATCCTGATACGATTCATAGCATCAAGATGGAAATCCCTACTCTTTGAGAAAAATAAGGAATTCAGAGATCTTGGTATGTCAATTGCGAACGATTTATCTAAAGAGGAACGTCTAGAACGAAAAGAATTACTTCAGTTTAAAAACAAGTTGACTGAGAGAGGTGAGCGAAACATTGTAATCAAAAGAAGCAAATTATGGATCGGTAATAAGGCATTCTCTTTGGAAGAGCTCCAGGAAATGGGAAATGAAAAGGAGCAACATCGCTCCCAATCTTCTAACCAGGGTCCAAATTCGCTGAATGAGTCAACTCCAGAAAGAAAAAAGCCAGGTCGGCCAACAGGGTCAAATAAACGGCATCTACAAGTGGAAAATAATACTCAAAAGGACTCCCCACTCTCAAAATATATACTACAATTTCCAACCGTAAAAAAAGTAAAACAAGACGAATAGCAATTATATCACCCCCGTACTCCAAACAACAAAGGACATTTTAAATCAAATAAAAAGAATGGGAAATTATTAAAAGCGATTGACGCTCGTTTGTCAGTTTCGTTTTGGAACGCTAACGGCTTTCGAAATGTTATAGATTTGATAGACAATAGTTTAGTTTGTGATGTGTTATGTGTGTCGGAAACTTGGCTACAAAAACCCCCGTCTTTTCTGCCTGGTTTTTTAAGTGAATTTAACTTTATATGTCATAATGCTATACGTGAAAGTGTAATGGGCAGAGCAAAGGGAGGCATGGCAATATTTTTTAGGAAAAACATTTTTAATAATCAAATAATTTTACAAGATGACCACGCTATTTTTGTGCTATTCAAAGAAAGTGGCTCAGTTTTTATAGTGGGGTCGGTGTATTTTAACCCAATATTGGAGGAGGACTGCTGGCGATCAACTCTAGATGCGGCATTCACTCGAATCGAAAATTTAAACTTGTGCTGCCCGATAATAGTGGGCGGTGATTTTAATGGTAGAACTGGTGAATTAAACCAACTGGATGAAGTTGCCCTGTTGGAATCTTCTTCAAACCTTTATGCATCAAGAGGGTCTCTGGATAAAGTAATAAATAAGAGAGGTCGTCTGCTTGTGGAATATTTTGAGGATCGCGCATTCTTCCTGTTAAATGGCAGATCGAGGGGGGATTCTCCTGCTCGCTTCACTTACTGCGGTTCGAGGGGAAACAGCACGGTGGACCTGGTCTTCGTGAATTTTGTGAATTCGGAGTCAATTTTGGACCTGCGCGTAAATCCTATAGTCACATTGTCGGACCATTTGCCAATCACTGTCTTCATGTATGATGAGGTAAGAATAAAAGTGGGAAATTGTCAAGTCGTTGGAGGGGATGTGTATAGCGGTGGTTTCAAATGGTCGGAGGAGAGAGGCGTGGAATACACGGAGACAATGTGCTGGTTGCCAGAGGTACGTTGGTGTGATGTTTCGACTGAAATGGGTAATGAAAATATAATCCAAGCTGTTAGTCGGGTGGCAGAGTCTCTGGGGCTACGAAAATTAGCGAATAAAAGTAAATCAGGAAAACCTTGGTTCAATAAGAATTGTTTTGATCTGAAAAGAAAAGTTAAAGAACTATTAAAAAAATGTTTTAAATCTAACTTCAATTCAATAGACAATAATCTGTATAAAGAAGCAAAAAAGTCCTACAAAAGTTTATTAGATGAGTCCAAAAAAGCTTTTGAAGATTCAATTAGAAGTAACTTAGCAAATTCAAAAAATTCCTCAGCTTTTTGGAAAGCAATTAACAGATTTAAATATCGTGCCCCAGGTCTCGATCAGATTAGTATAAATGAGTGGAATGAATTCCTGGCAAATGTGTACCCTCCAAGAACTACTTTTAAAGTCAATCTAATTGATGTGAGAGACCCCGTCCTGGATGCAGATATTATGTACGAAGAATTGATATCAGTGATAAAAAATTGTAAGAATGGTAAAGCAGCCGGCCCGGACGGGATCTCATATGAATTCTTTAAAAACTTGCCATCAAATTGGCTCTTGTACATGCAGTGTCTGTTTAATAAGATTCTTGAATCGGAGGAAGTGCCTGTGGGGTGGGGTCAATCTCATGCATTTATGATTCATAAAAAGGGGGATAAATCGAATCCAACGAACTATAGATGTATCGCCCTTATGAATACGATTTCTAAGATATTCACACAGATTCTAAACAGAAGATTAAACATGTGGGTGGAAAATTGTTCCATTATTCCGGAATTTCAATCAGGCTTTAGAAGTAAAAGGGGCTGTATAGACAATGTATTTGTGCTAAATTCAATTATTCAGATACGTTTAAGTCGGGTGAAGGGTAAACTATATGCTTTTTTCGTTGACTTTGAAAATGCATTTCCTTCGGTTGATCACAACAAGCTCTGGATTAAACTTTTTAACCTTGGTGTTAGCGCAAAATTTGTTAGAATTTGTAGAAACTTTTATGAGTCAGCATCAATTGCGGTCCGCAAGAAAGAGGGTGTTTCTAATTATATAGAGGTTACAAGGGGGGTGTTGCAGGGTGACACACTGAGTCCGACGTGCTTCTCTCTTTATATCAGTGACATTGAGTCTTACTTTCATGATCACGGGTGCAGAGGTGTGGCAGTGGACTCGTCTAATGAAATATTGTTATTGGCTTACGCTGACGATATTGTCATTCTGGCGGAATCGGTTAGTGACCTTAAAAGAAAAATGAAAATTCTAAGTATGTATTGTATGGAAAATGATCTAACAGTCAACACAAATAAATCAAAGGTTGTGATTTTTCAAAAGGGGGGTCGAAGAAAAGAAGTTTCATTTAAATATAATGGGTGTGAAGTGGAAATTGTAAATAATTACGTGTACCTCGGAATTCAATTCTCTAATTCGGGTGTTTTTTGTAACGCTGCTGATAGAGCCATTTCTACATCAAAGATTGCGACTATGTCTGTATTAAACATTTTAAAGCGTTCAAAATCTGATGTGTGGGAAACTAAGAATAAATTATTTGACAGCATGGTAAAGAGCGTGGTAATATACGAGGCAGAAATCTGGGGTCTCCGATACCTGGACGCTTTAGAAAAAGTGCATACAAATTTTTTTAAGAACGTTTTATCTTTGCCGATTAACTCGCCAAATTATGCTGTGAGAATAGAAACAGGTAGAGTAAGACTCTCATTAGCTGTCTTAAAAGCTGTATTAAGATGGTTAGAAAAAATAGTCAACATGCCAGAAGAAAGATACCCCAGACTCTGCTGTCGTAGAATTTTTGAAATGGCAATAAGAAAAATTCAAACAAATAAAAAATTTAACTGGGCCCTTCAGGTGAAAGGTTTGATTGGCGGGCTGGAACTAATGAGAAATGAGAATGTCTTAGATATTAATTTTATAGTAAATAACAAGGATAAAATCCTGAAAGAGTATGAGTTGTTTTTGAGGGGGATGGATTACGATAGACTGCAAAGATCGTCGAGTCTTCAGATCTATCAGACTTTGGTAGTCGAGGAAGAGACTCACTCTTATTTGAAGTTGAGGCTTCCATTTTCGGTTCTTAGATTAATAGCTCAGGTGAGGGTGATCCAATTCAGACGCCAAGCAATAATGTACAAAAAAGAGATATTTAAAATTGATGCGGAACAAAGCTGTGTTTGTTGTAATTTAAAATTAAAAGAAACAATGTTCCACATTTTAGCGGTTTGTCCGGTGTATTCAGGTCTCAGAGAAACAATGCTTGCAGCGTCTGACTTGGAGTATGCATCTGGCCAATTTTGGGTAGATCTGATGACATCGAACGACACAACCAAATTAAAAAAATTCGCAGACTTTGTTTTGAATATATTAAGATTTAGAATTAATTATGTCGGCTTTTCGTAATGACTTGTAGTTTGAATGTGAGAGATAATGTCTTCGTCCGGAATTTTCTTTGTAAACGGAATTCTTTTGTATAAAATTTTTATAATTTTAAAACAAATAAATGGCTAAGAATTAAATTAAAATAATAACCGTAATTTGGAACGTCCATTAAGACTTTTTGAATATGAATCGGGTTCTGTTTGAAAGAGATAAATTTTTCTATCAACGATTCCAATCAGTAAAGTATGAATCTGAAATTCTTGAAGTTCAACATTCGTTTTTAATATCGAATTACTTAATTCAGAATTTTGACAATCAATTGGCACTTGAAGATAAATTTCATGGCGAGAAATATTATTCGTTATTACGTTGAATATCGTTTTTTCACCTGACGCATTCAAAAAGGCATTTAAATAAAATGTTGATTGAATATTAACATCGCATTTCAGCGTGTTAATAAAATTTAAAGTCGCTTCTCCATTTTTTGGCAAAATTTCATAGGATTTCTGCTCGTCAAAAAAATATAATATCAACAATTTAGTAAAATAATAAATTTCATTTACAATTTTTAATTATTTATTATTAATCAATTAATTAATTAATTAAATTTAAATTCAAAATTTAAATAATTTAGTACGTTCAAAGATTTATTGAAATAGAATAAAAATATTTAATAATAAACAAAATTTAATATTTAATAATTATGTAATAAATATTTATAAGTAAATATTATAGGTATTTATTATTTAACTATATAAATATTTAATATTCATTGATAAGTAGGTATATATTCATTATTTATAAACAATAAATTATTTATTAAAAATAACATTAAATATTAAAATATTTAATGTTATTTAACTATATGTACTTCTAATTGTAATTCCAAAAAGCCGCTGGTAATAAATGCAAATCCAGCAAATATGCCACCAATAATCATACGATTTAAGGCTGAATGCAGTCTACATATTTTATTGAAAATTGGATATATTCCCTTGTCAAATATCGGAATCAAACATAAAACTAGTGCAGGATTTATAACCTATTTCCAAAAAAAAAAAATATTTATCGCAATTATTTAATTTTATTTGCAAAAATAATATTTCTTGTAAATTAAAATAACCTGTAGCTGATCGGGTAAAATTTGTAAATTCCAAATATAACCATTCATTCTTGAAGCTTGAAATGTCCATCGCGATCCCTGATATTTAAAAACAAATGATTATTTTTATTAACATTATTAATTACCAGCAACAATTAAATTGAACAATTAAAAATTAATTAATTTAATTAAACAATTAAAAAAAAATAATTAAACAAATTAAATAATTAGCTAATTTACAGTCAACTTATTAGTTAATTAATTATTTGTCACTCTCTAAATTTGAATTGATAAAAATATTTATTAATTAGTAAATTTGTTAAGTAATTAATTCGTCAATTTATTTGTTAATAATAATAGTGTAATATTAATAATATAATATTATAATTTTTTAAATATAATAATAATAATAATATTAATAATATTAATATTATTGATACAATATTGTAAATCAACCTGTTGATCGAAAAGACTCCAAAATATGGGCAAAGGAATGTATAAATATAAAACTGCCAACACTATTTTTATATCAGATATTAATTTTTGAGAAAATTTTTCTTGTGAATTATCCAACCAGTGTTTTTGAACTTGCAAATTTTTATTATTTCGAAACTTTGTTCTCAATGAATACTTTATAATTAAATTAAAATTAGAATTTATATTATTCAACGCAAAATATCAAGAAAAGAAAAAATTTAATCACTTACAATTATGCAACGCAGAAAACTGAGAATTATATTTTCTTTGGGATATTTGATACGATAAAGAGGTTTTCCAATTAGAAATAATACTGCAAATTTAAAAAAGAGTTAATGACAAGTTGACAATGTATATTTTATTAAATAAATAAATATTTAATAGTAATAATAAAAAAATAATTATTACAACAATAATAATAATAATTTTTTTAGAGAGAGAAAGGAAGAAAATAATACTAATTAATAATAATAATTTTTTTTAAAAAGAGAGAAGGAGAATAATAATAACAATAGTAATAATATTTAATAATATTAAATTAAATAATGCCTATTTAATAAAAATAAATAAATATTGAAAAATAAATAAAATAATATGATTAAAAAATAAAGAAAAATGAAAAAAAATGAAATATTAAATTTTTAAATACTTTTAAATACTTTTTTTTACTAAATTATGAAAAAAAGATAATATATAGTAAAAACTAGAAATAATTATTATAATGACATAATGAAATTATCATTAATGCTGCAGGAAATCCGAAACCAAGAGCATAGCAACTATTGTCATTAAAGCAGTTAATATATTTCCTTAAGACTGGAATTAAAATCATTCCAACGAGTCCACCAAAGTTAATGGTAAAATAAAAAATGGAAAAAAATTGTTGGAGATATTTTTCTTGCAATGGCAAGTGAAATTGATCTCCTCCAAACGCTGCCACACAAGGTTTTATTCCTCCAGTGCCACAAGCGATTAAAAATAATCCAATGAATGTCATTCCTCTAGAGCGGAAAATTTGTCAAAATAATTTCATTGATTACTGTTATTATAAATTTTGAAAAAAAAATTATACTAATTAGTAATCACTAATTTTATTAACTATAAACAAATTATTGTTTTAAATAAATAATTATTCTTTCAAATTAAAAAATTATTGTTTTTTAATTATTTTTTAAATTATCTAAATGAATAGTTATCATTATAAATAATTCTTCTTTTAGATTAAAAAATTATTGTTTTAAATAAATAATTATTTATTTAAATTGAAAAATTGTTTTTTAATTATTTTTTAAATTATCTAAATAATCATCTAATAAATAATTCTTATAAATAAATTATTCTTTTGGATAAATTAAAATTAATTTTAACAATAAATTGACAGAAAATTGCATTTACATAATTTTGAAAATAAAGTGCACTTAAATAATTTATTTTAATTACTTGGGCCATAAAGCAACTGGTGGAGTGGCAGCAAAACACATGAGAACACTACCCATGGTATAAATAATGGAAAAATATAAAATTGTTCTATAAAAATAAAAAAAAGTTAATTATTGAACTAATTATTTTATTTTAATAATTAATTAATATGGAAAATTATTTAGTTTAATTAATTAAATATAAGAGATTATTAATTTTCATTATAATTACCAATTTAATCAATATTAATTATTTATAATAATTATCAATGATAATTAACTCTAATTATTTATTGTACAATTATCAATGAAAATTAACTGTAATTATTAATTATAATTACTAATTTGTTTAATTATAAAATATTATTCATTATTTATAATTTATAATAGTTAATTAAAATTTTTCACCTAAATCGTCCTAAATAACTGTCTGCAAGTATTGCTCCTATTATGGGAATCAGGTAACAAAACATTATAAAAATATGATAAATCACTGTTGATTCATTTTCTTGAAATAATAAAACATTACGAAGATATAGTGAAAGCAACGCTATATTTAAAAAATTATTTATTTTTTTTATTTATTTAATTTATTTTTTATTATTATAATTATAATAATTAAATTTTTAATTAAATAAATTTAATTATTTATTAATATTCTTTATTGTATTCTGATTGTATAATTACTAAATTAAACTAAAAAAATATATTTTAATAATTATTTCCACTGATTGTAAAAAAATAATTACAATAAATAATAATTTTTTATTCGTTTATTAGACACTTGACTTTTTTGCTTTTTCAATAAATAAATTAATGAATAATAAATGTTATTTTATTCATATTATTTTGTTGAAAAATATAAGCAAACTTACTTCTCATTCCACAAAAGGAAAATCTTTCGCAAAATTCAGTGCAAATTATTAAAAAAATTGCACGTGGATACTCCATTTGGAATAATAAATTTTTTTATTTATTATGTTCTTTTATTTAATCTCATTATTTTATTTAATTAATAAAATTAATCTTTTTTCAGAAAAGGAGAGAAGCCCCTTGCTTTTGATAACCCTTCGTACACCTGTGTTTCACTGACACTTGAATCTAAAAGTAAAAAATCACTTAAAATACCGGATATTTTATTATAAATAAAATATATTAAATCATTAATTAAATTATTTTAACTTAATTAATTTAGTTTTATTTTCTTTTAATATGCATTAAATACAGAATAAATATTAGATATTGTTTTCTAAATGTCAAACATTGAAACTGATAATCTAACCTAAATGACACTCCACGTGCTTATTAAACAGTTTTATTTTTCCTGTCAGAACATATTTGAATTATATACATAATAACCTATAATTTATTATTTATTTCATCCTGTTTCTTGAGTAAAAGTAACTTTCATTTAATTTCAAATATATTTTTTTTAATATACTTTTTTTCGTATATTATTTCCTATATTTTATTTCATCGGTGATGTTCGGAATTGCTCGTGTGTTTTCGGAAATTTTAATTTTATGGTTGTATGGAGAACTCTTGTGAAAGCTGTACAGGTGCGTGAAAAAGGACACATTTCTTGGAAAATTAAAGTGATTTTTATTTAGTTAATGTTTGTTTTATAAGAAAAAGAAAGAGAATATTGTGTAAATGTTACATTGTAGTTTTCTTTTCTCACTTGAATAAAGTAGAAAATTGTCAATTTAGTGAAAGTAAACGAACTTGATTTTCGAGAAAAAGAGGTGTGTGAAATGGGTTTTGACTTAGAACGTTTTCAAGGAGACGTTGACGAAGAACTCGTATGTCCGATATGTTCTGCTGTCCTTGAAGATCCTGTACAGGTATTAATTTTTTTTCTAAAGTACCTGAAATTTGAATTAAAGGCCGCATAACATGAAACCTAACCTAACTTTTATCTTATTGTTGTTGACATGTTTGACATTTGAGTTAAAAGGTCTCTTCTATTTTTACTATTTTTTTTCATTAAGTATTATCTTTTATTCTGTATTTTAACTCTATTTATTCAACCGAATATAAAATTTAGAAAAATAAATTTCTAAAATCTGAAATTATTTTGTTTATCCTTTGACAATGTTCTTGAATTCTCTCGTATTTGTTATTAAAACTTAATTGTCACTTTTTATAATTTTACTATGTTTTTTAACATCTATCAGTAATTTTTTTTATTAACAATGATAGTAAATTTTCATTTTTCGCAAAATTCATAAACCTAACCTTAAATTTTGATTTAATTTAATTGTGAACAAAAAGGATTTAAAACTAAATTAATGTTTAAAGTTCAATTACTTGGAAAATAATGGTGAAAATAATGAAGTCTATAGAAGTTAATTAATATTTTGATACACAAAAAAGAGATAAATGCGAGCTATTGTTTGCTTTGATGGAATTATTTGAAACTTTTGAAACAAGATTAAAAGATTATCGATTATCAGATTGAAATTTAAAATGTTTGTTACAGGCACTTGTGTGTGAACATGCGTTTTGTAGAAGTTGTATTCAGGAATGGATCAGTCGTCAACCAATTTGTCCACTCGACCGCACACCAATCACTGGAACTCAGCTTAGGCCAGCACCACGAATCCTTAGAAATTTACTTGCTCGTTTGTGTATCAATTGCGATAATTTAGCACATGGTTGTCAAGCAATAATCAAACTCGACAGTCTTGGTACACATTTGGAGGAATGTGAATTTAATCCAAAACGATTGATTCCATGCGAGCAGGGCTGTAGTCTGATTATTCCAAAAGACGAGATCAAAAATCACAATTGTGTTCGTGAATTGATGAATTTAATTCAATCGCAACGACAAAAATTGTCCGACATGAAGCGCGAATTGAGCGAACAACAATTTCAACTCAATGAACAAAAACGTGAAATTCAACTACTTAAAGAATTCATGAAAGCAATAAGAATCTCTAATCCTTTGATGAAGACAATTGCTGATCAAATGGAACGTGATGAAGTTGTTCGATGGGCTGGAACATTACCACGCGCTAGAGTCACTCGTTGGGGTGGAATGATATCGACTCCTGATGAATTATTACAGGTAATTAATTATTATTATTAATTTGGTATTGATTTTAATTAATATTCAATATTAAAGTGATATTAATACAATTCGTTTTCATCACATAAATAGGATTGCCACAAGTCAGGGGAATCAGAGATTTCAGGGAAAAGTCAGGAAATTTTATCAAAAGTACGGGAAAAATATTAAATTTTTAGAAATCGTATAAAAAATTTGGATTCAACATTTAAAATTATTACAGATTCAATTTTTCTCGATTTGAATGAAATTGAATTTACTTGAAAAAATTTAATATTCTTTGAAGACTTGTCATAAAATTGTTATTTATAAATTATTTACTGAATAAGAATTTAATAAATTATTTAATGAACAATTTAACTTGAAAATTCCAAAAATAATTGAATTTTATAAGATTTTTATCTTCAAATATGAACTTAAATTATTTTTCAATAATTTCAAATTCAAAAATGAGAAATATTCAGTTATTAACTACATAATAAATTATTATGATTCATTGTTTTTTAAAACTTTAATAAAATTCTTCGAAAAAATTTAATTATTTCTAGAAAAAATTTTAATAAAATTCTTCGTAACATTTCAATTATTTCCAAAAAGAATTTAATAACATTCAATAATCAAATGTTAATTAGTAATTATTAATAAACACGATCATTCAAAAAACTAGGAAATAAATTCTTCATTAAATTCATAAAGTTTCAAAATTTTCAATGAAAATTGTGAAAAAACTTTTTTCAAAAATCTTATAGAAATTTTTCTCTAAAATTATGCAAAATAATTCAAATTTTCATCAATAATTTTAATAAAATTATCAATTACTATTATATTAATAAAATCGATTATATTTTAAAAAAAAATAAGGAAATGATTCGAAAGAATTCAATTATTGGAAATATTTTAATAAAATTTCTTGAATAAATTCAATTATTTTTTAAAAACAAAAAAGAAATTTTTCATAAGAATTCAAGTACTTTTAAAATTTTCAATTAAATTTAAATAAAAATACTTCATTATTTTCGAAACATTCCAAAAAATTCTTCAAAGCAATTCAATTATTTTCATCAATAATTAAATTTTTCGCGGAAATTCAATTATTTTTAAAAATTGTAATAAATTTCTTTGATGTAATTCAATTATTTACAAAAACATGATAAAATTTCAAAAGGATTGAAATTTAAAATAATTTTAATTAAATTTTTTTCAGCAGTTAGCTTTTGAAAAATTTTTAATTAATTTTTTTTTAATTAATTGAATTTTTGAAAATAATTTTAAATTGTAAACCTTTCGAATAATCGAAAATTCGTAAAATTCAACTGTGGAAAAGTAAATTTTAAAATTCTTTCAGGTGAAGTTCCTTTTTTTTCTATGAATAATTTGACTTTAAAAAAATTGTGAATTCTCAAAAATTATTAAAAATAATTGATTTAGAATCGAATTTCAGTTAAAAATTCTAGAAAATAATTGAATTGCAATCTTATAAATAATTGAAATTTTAAAAGAACTTTCCCAATATTTATTAAAAATAAAATTGATTTAGAATCGAATATCAGTTAAAAATTCTAGAAAATAATTGAATTTTAATCTTATAAATAATTTAATAAAAAAAATATATAAATAATTGAAATTTTAAAGAACTTTCTCAATATTTATTAAAAATAATTGATTTAGAATCGAATTTTAGTTAAAAATTCAAGTAAATAGATGAATTGAAATAATAAAAAAAATGTTTATGAAGTTATAGTGTCAATTTTTATAAATTATTAAATTTCAATAGGTTTAAAATTAAAAATTTTTGAAAATCTTAATTCTTATAGAAATAGTCAAGTTTCTCTCAGGAAGTCAGAGAAAATCAAAATCAAACTTTTGTGGCAATCTTGATAATGTATTTAATAATTCTTATAAATATTAGTCATAATTATTAATTAATTATAATTTTTTCAAGACACTGATCAAAAGAACACTTTCGGAAATAAATTGTCCATCGCATGTGATCAACGAATTAATGGAGAATTGTCACGAGAGGAAGTGGCCGCCTGGATTGAATTCACTTGAAACAAGACAAAATTCAAGACGTTTGTACGAAAATTATATTTGTAAAAGAATTCCCGGGAAGCAAGCGGTTCTAGTTTTACAATGCGACAATACCCATATGCCAGAAGACATGATTGTGGAACCTGGATTAGTCATGATTTTCGCGCACGGAATCGAGTGAAGATAAGAAAAATTATTTTTTTTATTGATATTAAGACCAAGAAATTAAGTTTTTTAAAAAAAAGGAGAACACCAATTTATTTTTTAACAAATTGATAATATTTCTTAAAAAGAAATACAATTTTTCTTTTGTCAAATATTTTGACAATTTTTTCCTTCTTAATTTTGTCGTCCCAAAAAATGGATGATTTTATATTCTTAACGAGAAAAATTGTTTTCTCTAAAATGAAAGAAATTGTTTTCATAAAAAATTTTTTTCACAAACAAATTGATATAAAAATGAATTGGTATATTTTTCTAAAATTTAAGAAATTCATTGCGGTAATGCAATTTGTAAAACGAGCACACTATTCATCACTGCGAGAGAATATTTCTCCAAAATAATTAATTATAAGAAAGTTTTTTATTTTATTTTTTTTTAATCTTAGAACTTTTTTTTTTCTTTAGTTTTAATAAACAAAAAAATTGTGATAAATAATATTTTCGCTTAAAAAAGAAGAAAAGTGATTAACTTTCAGATTTTAAGATCTAAGAGACTTCTTTCATACACGTGTTATTTAATAATAAGAAAGTACGTCAAATTTTTCTATAGGCGGAAAGAAAAAGAATTATAGTACTGAGTACTTGTTAAATAGTTTATGGTAAGATTATAATATTAATATTATTATCGACATTGTTTTTAACACTGTGATTTGAGCGACGAACTCGACATTTAATTTTTCTACACGTATAGCAATTAATTATTATTAGGTATTATTAATAGTATATAAAGTGCAAAATAATTTGTTGTTTTTGTAATCAAAATTCGAAAACACAATTTTGTTTTGAGCGTCAAGTCAAATGAGTATCTGGAAAACTCATTTGTTGAAAAAGGACTTTGAAAAAAAAGGAAAATTTTCTTTGAATAAAAAAAATTGTCCTTTAAAAGACATTGATGAATATTTTCTAATAATATTTTAAATTCGTGATTTAAATTTCTTAGTGTTAATAGTATTTTATAAATGTGGAAAATTGTAAGTTATGATAAATTTATATTTACCAGGTTCCTTTTTTAATATTGTACGCGTTATCTTTTTTTTATTGATGATATTTTTGCCAAACAGAAGTTATTTAAATATAGGAATGCTTTGCAAATAATTTGCTTTATTTAATTTGCCTCGAGAATTGAATTTTTCTAAAATTATGACAAGTTTTATTTTAATTTAGTAAATTTATTTACTATCGAGATGGTTGTTTTTAATTTTCACTTATTTGTTATACTTCAAGGAAACGAAAAGTATTCGTGAGTGGCTTAAATTTGAAATTGGAGTAGAGATTAAAATGTTATCAGGAGGTCAGCCCTATCTGTTCCTTATCGCTCCCTAAAAATATGAATGAATTTTAGGCAATTTTTGAACCGAGAAGAAAAATAAGTTATGGGAAATACTTTGGTGAGGAAATCTAATTTTCTTTTCTAAAAATCTTTTATTTCGATTTATTTATTTTCAATTCATCTTTTATTAATTATTTTCTGTTATAAAGTTATAATTTATCTACAAATTTATTATTTTATTTTGTTTCTATCTATTTTCTAATTTTTGAAATTAAATTTTCAGCTACGAATAAATGAGAAAGAAAAGACAAGAGATTTAATGATCGAAGGAAGAAATCGACTCGAAGTGAAAATGAGATGAAAATTGGTCAAGAATCATGATTGTGGAGAGAGAGAGAGAAAAAAAATATCCATTTTGGTTCGCTTTGTGAATTCGAAAATAGAATTTGTTTTGAAATTTAGCAGTTGCCCTTTTCTGTTTGGTCTATTTGGACTTTTAAAAGTTCTAGTGCAAGTGCCCAGCATCTCCAGAATCTTTTGACTCTCTCCCGCATCCCCTCACTTTGACTCTATCCCTGGGTCCTAGACGAGTGGATGCAGATGTGATCTCAGTCTGAAACGGGAAACCGAGCGCGCCTCATATTATAAATCAAAGAGGAGAGAGAGAGAGAAATTGGCGGCGTTAAAAAACGCCGCCGGAATTTTTCATGTTTTTCATTGTAAATTATTTTTTATCAACACAAATGTTGACTGATAATTTAATTGTCACGTTATAATTTTGATGTGGTATTTATTAATGATAATAATTTAAGAAACTTATCGAGAGAGGTGCATCGAAAATTAAACGAGTGTGTTTTCGTTTTTTAATTTTTAACCGGCATCACCATGCGGTGGTGTATGGTTCTTTTTTTACCATTTCTATTTAATCATGTGCATTCGGAAATTCTTACGCCACCTTACTTCAATTTAGCAGAGGGGAAAGAAATTACCGCATCTGCAACATGCGGTGTCGATTCAACTGGTCCTGAACTTTATTGTAAATTAGTCGGTGCGAATGCTGATCAGAAGGAAGATATTAATCTCATTCAAGGACAGGTGAGTTGCAATTTTTTTTTAAATTTAAAAACAAAATATTCTTTTTGCGATGATTTTGATTTTCTCTTCGTTTTGAAACTCAAATCGAAATTTTCTTTTTCCGAAACTATTTTTTTTTTTAGACAAGTGTAAATTAATTTTATTTGAATTCTTACTCTTTCGTTAAAAATGTGTCTCGAAAAATGTTTTCAAAAATCATTCAACTGGTAAAATTATTTATTTTCAGGGAAAAAATTAACTTTTCTCTTTTAATTAATTTTTTTTACTCATTAGTTAATTTCTCAGTTAAATGACAAGAAATTGACTTCAAATTAAATTCTTAACGAAATTTCGAAGAGTGAATACACATTTCAATATCAATTCAAATTAAATAATAAATACAAATTTTATTCAGTTGTAAAATAAAATTCAAGTACAGGAATGAATTTTTTATTCTTAATTTAATAAAAAAAAATTATTTTTTATTAACACATTTTGAGAGATGTCAAACGATTAGAAGTAGAATTTTTATTCAAAAATTATTATTTTATCAATAAATTATTTTACTGTGTGAAATTAATTTAGATTAAATAAAATTTAATAAGTTTTTTGTTTCTCGTTTTTTCCTTCTTTTTTTTTTTTGTAGATAAGCGAAAAAAAGACACAAACACACACGAGATGAGTAAAGTTTGCCTTGTAATGTATAGTTAATCCCTTGTGGCAACTATGGGATTGCCATAGAAATAGTTTGAAGACAGGTCCCCTAATACCAAAAAGAAGCAAACTCCATTCTGTTTTGTATGGAAGATCAGCCTATACCGAAAACCAGTCCCGGAGTCCCTTTTAATGGGTCCTTTTCAAGGAATAAATTTCACAAAGAGAGGGCTCCGATTCATGTTTACTTGAATATTGAAAAAAAAAATTGATTCCAATCCACATATCAATTTCTCCAAGTGAATCGCAAAAATTAATTCGCAATTGAAAATTTATATTCTCAAAAAAAAAATTGACTCGAATCAATTATTTTTTATTACAATTTTTTTTTACCTGATAAATAATTTAATTATTAATATTAAATTGTTAATCATTATTTTAAAATATATTTTTTAAATAAATAAAATAATATATAAAATATAAAATAAAATAAAAAGACAAAGTGTAAAAAATAATATTTTTAATGCAAAGATTTTTATGTAAAAAAAATAATTGGAACTGATGACTCAATTTTTTTTTTTATCACATTTTGATGAACTTAAATTATAATTTGATGGTTGCTCTGATCTGTGTTACAAAACGAGGATGCTGCTGTATTTGATACAATCCCATTTGGGTAATATTCTCTAAGAAAAACGACAAGGGGAAGTGATAAAGTTGACCTCACGATAACTTGAAATATCATTGAATTACATTCTCTTTCACATTTTTTTCGAGAACCTTTGAACATTTTCCCCATGTAAAATATCATTCATTATGAAGTGAAAATTTTTAATTTACTCACCACGCATTGTTTATTAACTGATTTGCTAATTACAATTTATACAAAGTTTACATTGATTAGCAAAATAAATTAAATGTGAATAATGCAAGTAGAGACGGTCTTAGCAGTATTAATTATATACTTTTTTTTATTTATTATTATATTTTATTTTTTTTTTAATTTAGTATTTTTATTTATTTATTATTTGTTATTATTATAATTATTTTTTCGAATATTGTTATTCCTTTTTGTGTTATTTATTTTTATTTATTATTTGCTTTTTGTGGAAACAGATTTTTGTAATTATTTGTTATTATAATTATTTCTCTTAATATTATTTTCTTTTATTGTTATTTATTTATTTATGAATTATTTATTTATTAATTATTTATTATTTTTTTATTATTTATTAATTATTTATTAATTATTTATTATTTTTTTATTATTTATTAATTGTTTATTAATTACTTATTTATTAATTATTTATTATTTATTTATGAATTATTTATTAATTACTTTTTTGTAATTATTTTTTATTGTGATTTTCGCTGTTGTTATTATTAATGTTTTTTTGTCAAAATTACTACTTTCATTCACCGTTATTAAAATTTTGAATCGTTTTCAGGTTTGCGATTACTGTGATCCAAATGACCCGGAGAAAAGTCATCCACCAGAACATGCGGTCGATGGTATGGAAACATGGTGGCAATCTCCACCCTTATCCAGGGGGATGAAGTACAACGAGGTCAATTTGACCATCAATTTGGGACAGGTAATACTCCATAATTAATTTGTATTTCTATTTCCAATGGTCGTTAATTATTTACTAATTTTTCTATTCCGGGAAATCTCAAATGGTTGTGGGAATATTTTTAGAGGCAATTTCTTCAATTTTTTTTTATTTGAATGTCAATTATTATTTATTGACTAACTAGGGAAAAATTTAATACAAATTGTGAATTAATTTCTGAAAATTGAATTATAAATAATATTTAAAAAATGTTTTTCTAGGGAAAAATTAATTTTTGAGAGTGAAAAATTGGAAATTATTTTTCCAATATTCTATTTGAGATTTAACTGATGAAAATTAAAGGATGTTCAGGACCATCACCCAAGAACTTTATCAAAGCGTAGGCGTTTTCCTGTTTTCTTATAAAGAATTATTATCTTCATGGTGGAGGAGTTTTGTGATAAAAACGAAACAGGACACAGGCTTCATTCAGCAATTTACTAGAGTCATCATTTATTATTTATATATATAAAGAAATTTTAGAATGATGTGAAAAATTTTTTCCTGAATTATATTTTGAAGAAAAAATAATTTTTAATTATTTAGCTAATTTAAATACAATTTTAAATAATTTAAATAATTAAAAATTTAGTTTTTCATCAATTAAATAATTTAAATACAACTTTAAATAATTTAAGTACGATTTTAAAATTGTAATTTAGGAAAACTAATTTTTCTAACTTGAATTTTTATTTATTTATTTTTCTAAATTTTAATATTCTATTATTAATATTTTAATTTTTAATATTAAGATTTGAGAAAATTGTATTTATCAAAATTATATTTTCAGAAATTTTTTTCTAAATTATGTTTTGAAAATTATATTTTGAAAATAATATTTCGAGAAATTACAGTTTTAAAATTATTTTTTGAAAAATTACAGTTTTAGAAATAAGATTTTTTTAAATCTTAATTTTTGATAATAAAAAAAGGAGTGTAAAATTTCGTTTTAATTTATTTTTTTTTTTTAAACAGAAATTTTATTTTCTTCCTTTGGTGTTAATGATTTTATTTCACATCTTTGTACAAAACAGGAAAATGATACGCGTTTGAAAATTCATGTACAAAAATCTTTTCCAAATGCTTTTAAGAAGTGGTCCAAACTGAGATCATCTGTTTTGGCCCGCCCACACATGTGGTGCAGATGCCTTAGTTTCTGTATTTCTTTAAAGATATGAGCTTAAAGCACGTTCCCCTTACACTGCTTTAAACTTAGACTCAAAGCACACAACGAACTTATAATTCTAAATGTGAGAGAATGAAACTCATTATATTGCTTTGTGTAACTAATTTTTCCAATTTTCAGAATGGAAATATTCTCTCTTTTTAATTTCAATTTTAAAACAGTAAAATTTATTGCTTATTTATTATTACTGTTTAATTTATTATTTATAATTGTTTAATTTATTATTATTAATATTATTTATTAAATATTTAATAATTTATTAATAATAAAAACATATTTATTTATTAATATTGATTAAATATTGTTTATTACTTTATTTTTTACTGTTTATTTTTATTGAAATATTATTAGTTTCAAGCATTCTATTTTTATTTATTATCATAACTTATTTTTTATTTTACCCTTTGAGAGCATTATAAAAATCACCTTATACTCTCCGACTCGAGGTGTTAAATTCATTTAGCAAAGTCTTGAGAAGTAGGTAAAAGGGAAAAATAAGAAAGGAGTAATATTATTTTTATACAATATTTTTGGTTGAATAAATCTTAGAAATAATTTTCTCCATAATAGAGACACAATCGAAAATTAATTTTGTTATCGAAGAAGTTGGAGGATAATTTAGAACATTGGGAAATAATTGACGAAATTGGCAAATAATTTATAAATTGTTGAAAATAATTGAATTTAATCAATATTTTTAAAAAATAATTGTATTCAATTGAAAAATTTTATTACAATTTTTGAATAATTTTGAATAATTTTTTTCTCTACGTAATTTTTCAGGAATTTCACGTGGCCTATGTCTATGTGCGAATGGCGAATTCCCCCCGACCTGGCGTTTGGGTTTTGGAAAAATCGAAAGATTATGGAGAAACATGGTCACCTTGGCAATATTTTTCCGATTCTGAGAGCGATTGCTTGACTTATTTTGGAGTTGACAGTCACACTCCGATCACTAGGGACGACAGTGTAATATGTACGACTGAATATTCAAAAATTGTTCCACTCGAGGGAGGAGAGATTCCAATTTCAATTTTAAACAATAGACCCTCGGCGAAGCATTATTTCAATTCGACGTTACTCCAAGAATGGACGAGAGCAACAAACGTGCGTTTTCGTTTTCTCCGCACGAAGAATTTACTCGGACATTTAATGTCTGTTGCCAGACAAGATCCAACTGTCACTCGAAGGGTGAGTTAAAAATTGAAACTGTATTTAATATTTAATTTAATAATTTTTATTTTAATTACTTTATTTTTCTATTTTATTTCTCGATTTTCGATTTTTCATTTTCAATTTTTGATTTTATTATTTTTTAGTTTGATTGTTTTTAATTATCTCTTTTCTTCATTCCAATTAAAAAAATGATTGAAGGAATTTGAAAATTGAAATGAAAAAGAAGAAAATTTAAACTTGAATGTTAAGTAAAAAGAAAATGTATGTAAATAATTATTTTTTATTAATTGTAAATTTTGCTTTCTGTTCTAAAGTAATGAAAGATGATTTATCGAAGATATTTAAAATATAACTTTCGCAATTTTTCAGTATTTTTATTCGATTAAAGACATCAGTATTGGAGGAAGATGTATGTGTAATGGTCATGCAGATACTTGCGATATTTTAGATCCTAATATGCCCAAGAAATTGGTGTGCAGATGCCAGCACAACACTTGCGGAACACAATGTGCAGAATGTTGCAAAGGCTTCGAACAGAAGAAATGGAGAATATCCACTGGACTCTCGAAATTCACCTGTGAACGTAAGACAAAATTTATACTAAAATACCAAATTAATAAATTTAAAAAATTTTAATTTACATATGAAATTGATAAATTTAGATTCTAAATTTTTACGAAATCGATTCTGAATTTATACGAAATTGATACAAAGGAATATTTTTTTGATTGGAAACAAATTTTCTTTTCAGCTTGCAATTGCTTTGGTCACACGAACGAGTGCGAGTACGATCCGGAAATTGATGAAAAACATTTGTCATTGGACATTCATGGCAATTATGAAGGTGGTGGTGTTTGTCAAAATTGTAGACACAATACGGAAGGTATTAATTGTAATCGTTGCAAAAAGAAATTCTTCAGACCTGAGAGAAAACATTGGAATGACACCGACGTATGTCAACGTTAGTATCGACAATTTTCTTCTGTTTTTGTGAATTTTTATTTTTTATTAAAGAATTTGAGTAGATAAATTTTAATTCTTTTTTGACACATGGAAAATTGAAAATTGCAATTTCTTTTTTGTAGCCTGTGACTGTAATCATTTCTTCTCGACTGGAAATTGTGCCGAATCTACTGGAAAATGTGAATGTCGACCTGAATATCAAGCACCGAATTGTGATGCCTGCAGTTATGGTTACTTTGGATATCCAAATTGTCGTCCCTGCGAGTGTCATCTCAATGGAACGGATGGTTATCATTGCGAAGCTATTCAAGGTTCCTGTCCTTGCAAACCGAATTATGCGGGTCATTATTGTAATCTTTGTGCTGAGGGTTACTTCAATTTCCCTGAGTGTTTAGGTGAGTTTTCCGATTTTTTCATTTTTCTTTTAAAATTAATTTTGTCTTTAATTTTTTAATTCGATTTATTTATTTGAACTTTATTAAATTGAATTCGTTTCTATTTTATAGTTTTCAAAATTAAATTCGAATTCTATTGTAAATTTTCAACATTAAATTCTAATTTTTTAAATGAAATACGTTTCGATTGTAAATTCTCAAAATTAAATTCTGGTTTTTAAATAAAAATTCGTTTCTAGTCTAAATTTTCAAAATTAAATTCTGGTTTTTAAATAAAATTCGTTTCTTGTCTAAATTATCGAAATTAAAATGTAATTTTTCAAATTAAATTCATTTCCATTGTCAAACTTAAATTAGCTTCTATCGTAGATTTTCAAAATTAAATTGTAATTTTTCTAATTAAAAATTTCCGTTTTCAGCTTGTAATTGTAATTCTCTGGGATCTTTGAACGATGTTTGCGATGTCTTGTCTGGAAATTGTACTTGCAAAAATAATTACGGTGGAAGAACTTGTGATATTTGCGAAGACGGTTACTACGATTATCCTGACTGTACCTGTAAGTATTTGAATCGATAAAATATTAATATTAAAAGTAAGATTTAAAAATGAACTGTATCGACGATAATTTTTTCTATTTTTCAAGATTGTAACTGTGATAGTCGGGGAACTGAACCTGGAGTTTGTGATAAAACCGATGGCCACTGCTTGTGTAAAGAAGGATATGGAGGAGAGAGGTGTGATCGTTGCATCGACGGCTACTTTGGATATCCAAATTGCAAACCTTGCAATTGTAGCGCCATCGGTTCATCGTTTATTGGATGTGATATCAGTGGAAAATGTTCGTGTCTCGCGAATTTCGCTGGCAAAACTTGCGATCAATGCAGTCCTGGATATTACAAATTCCCAGATTGTATAAGTGAGTTATTGTCATTTTTTTAACTTTGCGCTTATTTATTATTTTACATTTTATTAAAAAAATTAAATTCACTATTTAATACTCAATTATCAAAAATTTTTATGGGATTTTTACAGATTGCGATTGCGACAGTCACGGTTCCATTGGAGTGTCTTGCGATTTAGAGGGAAAATGTCAGTGTAAAGAAAACTTTGACGGTCCACAATGTAATCAGTGTAAGGAAGGATTCTACAATTTTCCACGATGCGAGGGTTGTAATTGCGATCCCGCTGGTGTTGTTGAAACTTTCAAGGGTTGTGGTTCACTTCCAGTCGGCGAACTCTGCCAATGTAAGAAGCGTGTCGAGGGGCGAATTTGCAATCAGTGTAAACCACTCTTCTGGAATTTGCAGGCCAACAATCCCGAAGGGTGCGAAGGTAAAGAATTCATTGATGATGATAATAATAATAATATTGAAATTTATTTTTGTATTTTAATTAGACGTAAATTAATTTCTTATTTTTTTTTATTACGAATAACAAAATAGTTTTCTAAAATTTAGAATTAGAAATTAATTTAGAATTTATTTCAGAATGTCAGTGCAATATTCCTGGAGTTATTGGAAGCATTGGTGAATGTGATTCAAAGACTGGTCAGTGCATTTGTAAACCGGCAGTTACCGAGAGGAGTTGCTCCCGATGTATCGATGGATCGTACAATTTACAAGAAGACAACGTTTTCGGATGTTCCGGTAAATTTACCATCAAAATCCACAAATTTTCTTTCAAATTGTTTTTCGATTTCTTTATTACATAGTTTAATCATTAAAATTTTTTTCAAAGATTCAATAATTTTCAATAAAAATTCACGAAATAATTCAATTCTTTTTCTTAATTTGTTATAAAATTTTTCAAAAGAATTTAATTATTTTCTAAATTTATAAAAAATTCTTTAAAACAAAGCAATTTTTTTTTAACTTTTAATAAAATTTTTCGAAACAATTAAATTATTTTCTATATTTTAATAAAATTCCGTAAATTAATTAAATTATTTTAGAAAAATGTAATAAAATTCTGAGAAAAATTTAATAATTTTCTAAAAATTGTAAAAAAAATTCAATAATTTAATTGAGTTTAATTTCAATTCTTATGAAGCACGATTATTTTAAAAACTTGATAGAAATTGTTCATAAAATTCAATTACTGTCAAAATTCTTAATTGAAATAATTAAAAAAAACTTCTTTAATTAAAAAAAAAATTGAAAGAAATTCGTCAAAAGAATTTAATAAGGATTTAAAAAAATTTTAATGAAATTCTTATCAAGAATTCAATTCTTCTCGAATTTTTTGATAAAATTCGAGAAGAAATTCAATTATTCTCAAATTTTTTGATAAATATCACGAAAGAATTCAATTATTTTCCAAAATTTTAATAAATTCTTCTAAACAATTCAATTATTTTTTTAAATAGTAAAATCTTTACAAAAATTCAATGATTTTCAAAACAATTTTAATTGAATTCCTCGAAAGAATTCAATTTTTTTTTAAATTTTAACACATTTCGAAAAAATTTAATTATTTTCAAAAATTGCCATTAAATTTAATTTCAACAAGAATTTAAAATTCTCTAAAAATAATTCAATTATTCTCAAAATATTATTTAAAAAAATCTGTATAAAAATTAAATTACTTTCAATGCAATTTTTAAATATATTCGTCAAAAAAATTGAAAGAATTCAATTATTTTCAATTCAATTTTAATAAAATTCTTCTTTATAAAATGCAATTGCTTTCAAAATTTTTAATTAAAATTATTAAAGAAACTCCATTAGTTTTAAAAAAAATTCAAAGAAATTCTTCAAAGGAATTTAATTAGGATTTTTGAAAATTTTAATAAAATTCTTTGCAAGAATTCAGTTATTTTCCTAAATAATAAAATTCTTTGAAAGAATTCTATTATTATTAAATTTTTTGATAGAGTTCTTTGCAACAATTCCATGATTTTCAATACATTAATTTTAAAATTGAAAAAAATTATAAATTTTTCTAACATGTACTTTATTATTATTAATAATTAATTAATTAATTTTCTATTTATTAATTTGCAGACTGTGCCTGCGATGTGGGCGGTTCGATCAGTCCTCTCTGTGACAAAGTTACCGGCCAGTGTCCTTGTCAAGCTCGAGTAACAGGACAAACGTGCAAGGAACCACTGAAAGCCCACTACTTCCCAACACTCCATCAATTCCAATATGAAGCCGAAGATGGAATAACACCCTCAAATAATCCCGTTCGTTACGGATTTTCCGACGAAGTATTTCCCGGTTACAGTTGGAAAGGTTACGCCGTATTCGGTCTCATTCAAGACGAAATCATCCACTTTATCAACGTTCACAAATCATCATTATACCGAATGGTGCTTCGCTACATCAATCCAAATAATGAACCAATTCTCGGTACCATCACCATCACTCCGGACAATCCATCAGAAGTTGAGCAACAATTCATGGTTCATTTGAAACCAACAACGAATCCATCATTCGTGACAGTTGCCGGCGCACAGGGTATAATTCCATCATCGATGGTCATGGATCCTGGACACTGGACCATTAGAATCGCAACCAAAAAGAGTCTATTTCTTGATTATTTCGTTCTTCTGCCGGCCGAATACTATGAGGCGACAATATTAACCGAGGACGTGAATATTCCCTGTGAAATTGGTTACATGGGTCTTTGTCGACACTACGGTTATCCAAATCTAACACTCTTTAATTCCGTTCAAGGAGCCGGTGGATTTTTGAGCAAAGGCGATGTTCGTGAATCCGTCTCTCATTATCTCAGTGATCCGGAAACATTGGACGAAATTAATCAGGATCAACTTCCTTTGATTAGAAGCGATCAGAATGAACTTCATTTTGAGATGAGAATCACAAAACCAGGTCCTCATGTTCTAGTGATTAGTTACTTGACTCCGAGGGAAGTGAATACAACATCGACCGTTATGGTCAAAGCGAATGCCGATTGGAATGGAAAAGCGACTCTCAATCCTTGCAAGTACACCAGTATTTGTAGACAAGTTGTCGTCGATTCGTCCGGAAGAGTAAAAGTCATGAATTTCCCGTCAAACTACGTAGGTCTTGTACTTACAGGTGATGAGAGTACACCGATTGCAATAAGTTCCGTTATCGCCATACCGGAGGATGAATGGTCACTCGACTACATTAAACCAAAATCAGCTTGCGTTCGAAAGAACAAAAAATGTGTTCAAGGCAATTTCCCCGGTGCGGCAGACGCGAAAAAAATTGAATTCGAATCAGATTCAAATCCCGGATCAACTCCCGAGTGGATATCGAACAAGAATTCAAAATTCATCTATCTTTACGGTGATAACGCAATGGCTGATATTCACGCAAAAGTTCCCTATCCAGGAGCTTATATTTTCGTGATACAATACTATCAACCCGATTATCCGGAATTCGATCTTCAGGTTTTGATTCAAAACGGAAAGTACTATGAGGCGAAGGTGCCGGTTCCCCATTGTCCCAGTAGCAGTGGATGTCGAAGTTTAATTCGCCAAGCGGACGGTGAGACGAGATTCGTACTCGAGGAGAATGTTTCGATTAATTTCAACGAGGCGACTGGCAAGGGTATTTGGATCGATTACGTTCTCATTGTTCCTGCCGATCAGTACAATGAGAATATTCTCCAAAAATTACAATTCGATCAGACTGAGGAGTTCATCAAGAAATGCGGTAGCAATCATTTCTTTGTGAATGTCACCGAGGAGGGTTTGTGTCGTGACGCGACATTCTCACTGACGACACATTACAATAATCGCGCTCTGCCCTGTCAGTGTGATATCGAAGGCACGACAAGTTTCGAGTGCGAGAAATTCGGTGGACAATGTCCTTGTAAACCGAATATCATCGGAAGACGTTGCGAGACTTGTAAAACGGGTTTCTACGGTTTTCCGGACTGTAAACCTTGTAATTGTCCGAGTACAGCGATTTGTGAACCAGAGAAGGGGGAATGTATCTGTCCATCAAAAGTCACGGGGGAGAAATGCGATCAATGCGAAGTTGGTACTTATGGTTATCATCCAATTATTGGATGTGAGGATTGTAATTGTGCTCATCAAGGTGTTTTGGATGGTAATTTACAGTGTGATCTTCTCAATGGAAGTTGTAGTTGTAAGGAGAATGTCGTTGGCAGACGTTGTGATAAATGTCTACCGGGATATTCACAATTTCCCCATTGTGAAAAATGCGATTGCGATAGTCGAGGAACAACTGAGGATATTTGCGATCAATTCACTGCGGAATGCTATTGTAAAACGAATGTACAAGGTTTGGCATGCGATGTTTGTAAGGAGGGGACTTTTGATTTGCAAACTGGCAATGAAGAGGGTTGCAGTAAATGCTTCTGCTTTGGAAAGACAAATAGATGTGTGTCGTCAAATTTGTACAGGACATTCATTATGTTTATGGAAAATTGGGAATCTGTTGCAGTCGTTGAGAAACATGGGAATGTGACGAATTTAGAATCGTTGGTGAAGAATGTCAATGAAACGTCGACGGTTCTTGATTTTGGACAAAGTGAGACTATGGAGAAAATTGTATTTTTCACGGCGCCGGAAATTTATTTGGGTAAGAAAATCACTTCATATGGGGGATGGTTGAATTATACGATTTTGTATTCGACGGGACCGTTTGGAAATGCTGTCGATGGACCTGATGTGATTTTGAAAAGTGGTGATATGCTGCTTTTTTATCATGCTGATGAGCAGCCTTATCAATTTACGAATTATAGAGCGTCATTGGAATTGGTCGAGAAGAATTTCCTGGCTTTGAATAAATTGAAAGTGACGAGGGAACAGCTTTTGGTTGTTTTGGAAAATCTTGAGGGAATTTATATACGGGCGACTTATTGGGATCAGAGTCTAACTGCTGTGTTAGTATATTTATCTCTTTACTTTTCTCTTATTTCTTTAGCTTTAATTTAATTTATTAACTAGAATTTTTTTTGATTTTGTTCCAATTTTCTTTTTTCTATTTTAATACCAATTTTGTAAATGAAATTTTTTTTCAGATTGTCTTATGTGACTCTGGACACGACGACCACTTCCTACTCGCATAATAGTATTTTAGCGAGTGGCGTCGAGCAGTGTCAGTGTCCGCCAAATTATCAAGGACTTTCTTGTGAAGATTGTGCTCCAGGTTACTATCGAGTGTCATCGGGTCCCTATGGTGGTTATTGTGTCCGCTGTCAATGTCACGGACACTCCGACTCTTGCGATGTCAACACTGGAATTTGTCACGTAAGAAGTCTAGATTTTTGTCTAAAACTTCTTCTTTTTAACTTTTAAGTTTAATTTTTTTTTTCAGTTTTAATCACAATTTTTAAAAAAATTTTAATTATTGAGTTATAATTATTTTTATTTTATAATTAATTCAAAATTGTAATGATAAATAGAAATCATCAGAATTTTTTTTCAATTCTTTTCATTGAAAAACTAAATAAAAATTAAAAAAATGTTTTCAGGACTGTAAGAATGGAACAACTGGAGATCACTGTGAACTATGTGAACAAGGATACTACGGAAATGCGACAGTTGGAACACCATCCGATTGTTTAATCTGCGCCTGTCCACTTCCAGTTCCCAGCAATAATTTCGCAACCGGCTGTCAAGTGAATGAGGATGGAAATAAAATCAGTTGCGACTGTCTACCGGGATATTATGGAGCACGTTGCGAGGCATGTTCCGCTGGCTACTACGGACAACCTGACGTCTACAATGATTTCTGTAAACCCTGTAATTGTTCGGGAAATATTGACACAAATGATATTGGATCGTGCGACTCAATTACTGGCGAATGTCGCAATTGTTTGAACAATACGTACGGCGAGGCGTGCAATATTTGCGCTCCAGGTTATTTCGGCGACGCTGTTGAGAGAAAAGATTGTCAGAGTTGTATCTGCGACAATTGTGGAATGGATCAGTGCAATAATTATAATGGTCGTTGCGAATGTAAGGCAAATGTTATCGGTGACAAGTGCGATCGTTGTGAGGTCAATCATTATGGTTTTGATTCATGTGATGGTTGCAAGGCCTGCGATTGTGGACCGGCTTCGGAGAGTTCACAGTGTGACATGCAAACTGGACAGTGTCGCTGTAAACCCGGAGTGACGGGACGAAAGTGCGATAAATGTATTAATGGTTATTGGAATTATGGACCTGAAGGCTGTGTCTGTAAGTTTTTTTTCTGATAAATAGTTTCTATTCCTTTTTATTTCTTAAATGAACAGAATTTTAATTTTCGGTAAGTTGCTTATTTTTAACTTTTCTTCTTTTTACTAGCTTGTGGGTGTAACACTGGATATTCGGTTGGAGTTTCCTGTAACACATCCACTGGACAATGTACCTGTCTTCCTGGTGTAATTGGAGAAAAGTGTGATCACTGTCCTTATCGTTTTGTCCTTATCGAAAATGATGGCTGCTATCAATGTGACTCTTGTACCGACGATCTTCTCGATGTCACAGATCTTCTTACTGATACTCTTAATCCTGTCTTCAACAATTTCAGCGTAAGTTCTTTTCTTCCTGGATAAATAATAATTAACTTTTTCAGGCGTCGCACTCATCTAAAATTAATTATTGAGTGTAAAGCCTTTATCTTTTTAATACTCCTGAATACTTAACAATAAATTTGGAAATCGAAATTTCAATATTTCAAATATTATTTTTTTTCAGACCGCCGTAGAAAGTTACTTTACAAATCAACGTTTAAGATTTTTCAACGACTCGGTCAATGAATTGTATCCTGAGGTTCAACTCCTGGACCCAAGTAAAATTGACTTTGTCCCATTGAAAAAGGATATTTCGCGATTAGACGAGGAAGTTAAGGCTCAAAAAAGAAAAGTCGAATACATATCAGACGCTGCTAATCAATGGAAGGAGGGAGCGGAGAATACATTAAATGGAATGAACGATTTGGAAAAGGATGTTGCACAGGAAATTGAACTCGTTAATGATATTGTTGCTGAAATTCAATCTCTAGCCTCGAATATTCAACTTGGAGCGGGAGCAAAAGTCGAGTACGCATTACAAGTAGCTGAGGATATTTTACAAAAAGTAAAATCTGTCTCCTTCCATGAATTCCGCGATAAGGCAAATGATCAACAGATTGCCGCGACAATTCTCATTTCCGAAATGATGGATTATACATCGCCAGTGAAGAATTTCAGTTCGGAAATTCAAAATTTGAATACGGCAATGAAAATGTTGAGTACCAAAATTGATGATCTTCATAATTTAGCTGAGAAGGCTGAGGATTTAATAAAAATGGCTTCCAAATTGAATGAGGAAAATAGAAGAGCAGCGGAAACGGGAAATATTGATAATGTTAAGAAATTTGCCGAAGAGACGAATGATGATATTTTATCAGGAGGAGATTTAAATAAACTAGCTAGTGATGCTCTGAATAAGGCTAGTCCAAAAATGAAAGAATTAGGTGGGAAGAAAAGAAATATTTATATCTATTTTTTGAATTAAAAATTGAATTCATTTAATTCATTAAATTCATTTAATTGAAAATAATTTAATTCTTGTTATTTTAAATTAATTTCTTCAATTGAATTTTTATTTTTATTTAATTTTCGATTCAATTTTCATTAAAATTAAAAATTGAATCCGGCAATTCTAATTTAATGTTTTCTATTGTAAATTAATTTCTTCAAATGTAATTTAACGGAATTTTTAATTTCCAGCGAGTGAATCGGACAGAATAGGAAATGATATTAATCAACTAAATAATACGTATTTGGAAAATGAAAGGGAAATGCCATTGATTTTGGATTTGATAGGAAGAGCAAAGAAGCACGCCGATGAACTTGATTTGCATTCTCTAGCGTTGGATGATGTTTTAGCGGACACAAGAAACACGGACGCTGTCAAAGCTGTCAGTGTTTATCAAAATATTCAAAATGCCATCTCAAATGCTGAAAATTCGGCGGCTGAAGCGATAGATGCAGCGGATCAAGCTCTAAGTCAGGTAATTTCTTTTTTTTTTTTTTTGAAAAGAAATCATTTAAATTTCTTAATTTTTCTTAATTACAAGAAAAAAAAATTTGTTTTCAGTCCAGCGGTATTGATGAAAATGCAAGAAACTCTTTCGAGCGTAGCAAAAAATTATCAACAGCAGCATCAGAATCGGTTAATAGAACTGAAGGACAATTGAATCTCGATTTAAGTAATGCTGAAAAATATGTCGCCGATATTGAGGGAGAAAATATATACAATAAGGATTCGCTTGATGATATTGACAGGTATTTGAAAAAACAAATTAATTTCAATATTAAACTAATTATAAAATTGAATTTTATTAAATTGAACTCATTATATAATTGAAAATATTTCAGATCACTGGAAAAAATTACTTCACAAGGTCCTCTTTTGGTAATACAAACAGCGTTGAATAATGCGGACAAAGTGGAATACACAATTCAACAAGCTCTGAACAATATGAATCATACAGTTCACACGCTACCCTCGGATTTGAAAACAACAAAACAACTTTCCAAAGATATTTCTGATTCAATTCACGAAATTACACAAACTAATTTCCATTTGAATTCGGTCAATGATGTTATTCCAAATATGAATACACTTTTGGATGAATTGAATGTACGGCAAAATTTAATTAATTCAACGGGCAATGATTTGTACGATAAAATCGAGAGATTGAAGAGAAAAATTGAAAATGCTCGAGAATTGGCTGATAGATTCAAGACTGGATTGACATTCTTCAAAAATACAACATTGGAATTGAAAAATCCCGAGAGTCTTCCATTATTAGCGACATCGACGCAAGTGTCCGTTTATTTCAGAACAAATATTTCGAATGGTTTTCTTATGTATCTCGGTAATGAGGGAAAATCAAAACTTCCTCGCACTGGAACGGTGAGTTTGGATTTTTATATTTAAATCAATTTTTCAGTTTTTAATATTTCCATTTGGAAAGAAATATTTTTTTATTTAAAGAAATAATATTTCTTTGACAGTTAACTCAAAAGTATTCAGAAAAAATTTATTCTACCTTCACTTTCGAACAATTTTATTTTATTGTTTCTTTATTTTTCAGCACGATTACATGGCACTCACGATAGAAAATGGATATCCAGTTTTATTAATGGACCTTGGATCAGGAACGACGAAAATTGTAAATAATAATAAGACAGTATACGATAATGTTTGGCGACAATTAATTGTTGAACGGTAAGAGATCAATTACTCCGCAAATATTAACAAACAATATTCCAACTAGAAATGTTTACACTAAAATTTAAATTTTTTAAGAAAGGAATTTCAAAGCAAAAAGTAAATTATTTTTAATTAAAAAATTTTTTTTTACAGAACCGGCAGAAATGTAAAATTGATTTTACGTGAGGATGTGGGCGAAGGTAAAGAGAAAATCTACGTGAAAGAACAATCACTACCGGGAACAAATACAGTGTTCAATTTAGATCTGAAAAAATCAAAACTCTTTGTTGGTGGTTATCCGCCATCGTTCCAAATTCAAGACGACGTGACAGTGAATTATTTCGAAGGTGAAATGGAGGAATTAATAATTGGCGATGTACCGGTATCGTTTTGGAATTTCATAGACGCTGAAAATAATTTCCAAAGAGCATTGGAACGTGATAAATTAATAAACTTAGAATCAAATACCGGCTATCGTTTCGATGGCAATGGCTATGCGATAATAAGTAAAAAAATGTCGCAATTGCATATGAAAAATTCGGAATTCATCATTAGAATGAATTTCAAGACTTTGGAGAAAAATGGACTTATGTATCTTATGGGAAAGAATGGACATTTCTTGTCAATTGAAATGAGAAATGGACAAGTACTTTATCAGTATTATCTTGGAGGTGACAAAGTACAAATTCGTTCGACTGATAGGTACAATGATGGCGAATGGCATACATTGGAGGCGATTCGTCAACATCAAAAGGGAAATTTGAAAATCGATGGCAAAGTTGTTGCCAGGCATGATGGATCCGATGAATTTAAATCGTTAATGTCGAATGATCAACTTTTCTTCGGTGGATATCCGCCAAATCTAACTCATTCTTATCCAACGGTCACGCAAAAGGGTTTCGAGGGTTGCATTGATTATGTCATTATTCACGAGACTTCCGTTGATCTCGTCAGAAATCTTCAGGCGTTTGGAGTTGTTCCTGGATGTCCCGTTAAGGTACTTTATATTTATTCCTAACTATTGTTTTTTTTATAAAAAAAATTTGAAAATAATTTAATTCATTTCAATTGTTAAAATTAAATTTTTTTTCAGTTTGCCAGCTTGATTTCTCTGGAACAGGGTAAACCTGCCTATGTGAGATTACCGAATATAACGATAGCTAACGATCTTCAAATTACACTGAAATTCAAGACTGTGACGAGCAATAGTCTCATTTTTGCAATTATGAGCAAGAACGAAGATGATGAGACTTTCTTGCACAGTAATTTGTCTCTGAGGGATGGAATTTTAGTTTTTACGAGTGTGGATAATGTTGTGACTAGCAGTCAAGTTGGTACGAAATTCAATGATAATGAGTGGCACGTTGTCACTGCTACACTCGACGACAGAGCGATTGCCCTCGACATTGAAAGAATTGACACCTACGATACGGACAATTATAATTCTAGAGGACCACCATTTAATATTAAATCGGCTTTCATATATCTTGGAGGTATGCCAAATCATTTCCCATGGGCATCTTCTTCTGAATCTTTTACTGGTTGCATTGGTGACGTCACTGTCAATGGAATTATCATCAATTTTGCTAATATCACCGATAGACCGAATACTATTCTCAACAAATGCCGAGGTGGCGAACCATGTGAGTGATTGTAAATTCTAATTCATTCTTTAATTAATATTCCTATGTGACTGTTGGATTTATTTCAATAATTAAAATTAAATTAAAATTTTTGAGAATAATTTTTTAATTTCAACTATTAGAGGATTTAAAGTTATGCAAATTCGCAAACATAGAAAAAAATAGCTTTTAGTGTCGCAAGTGTAAAAAACTATTCAAATAATAGCAAATCGTATAAAAAGTAGTAAATAGTAGGTTTCAGTAGATTTGTATGAAGCTTGTATTTATAATTATTATTAATTATTAATTTATCGTTTCGCTTTCCAGCTGGATTACCCAAGGCTCCGGAAGATAATTGGCCCCTCCCTCCACTGCCGATTGACAATGAAAATTACACAGACATCACAGAAAACAGTTAGTTTTTCAATTTAATTCTAATCAATTCTAATTCTTTTCTTAAAAGAAAAAAGAATTTTCAAAAAAACACTTCTTTTGTCTTCTTTTTAAATAAAATAAAAAATGAAGTTAATTAAATTAAAATTAATTTAATTGAGCCACCCGAGCAAACGAAAATTATAACTTAATTAAACTCAAAATGTCAAAAACAAATTCTAATTAATATTTTAGGTATCGTGGATATAAATCCAGAGAATGTTGAACCTGATCCAGCAACTGCGAAACCAATAGAGGGTCGACACAATGAGAAAGTTAATAATGTTGACGTTAAGGAAAGTGAAGAAGAAGTTATTAATACTACGCCTATTATCACCACCAAGAGTACAACACCATTTATTCCGGTTTATGTGGACGAATGTCGACTACCATTTGAGCCGGCTGTCGATCCTGATGGCACCATGGGATGGAGATTTGGTACAATTATCTTACTTTTTCAATGTTTCGAAAGAAATTAAAATTTAATTCTTCTATTCTTTCAGCAATGGCAGCAATTTTTTTTAATTAATTTTAATTTATTTTTTGTACAGGTACTCAAAAAGACAGCAGAAGAGAATATAGTTCAATCAATGGTCGATATAAGTATGACTTTGATTTCCAAATAAACATCAAGACAATAGAAGACGAGGGATTAATTTTCTACGCTTCTGGGCAGAATAATGACGACTTGATTGCTCTTTTTATTCAGCAAGGAAAAGTAAATTTTTGGCATTATTTATTTTCAGTTTAGGATTATTTTCATTTATTCATTTTTGTTTTTTTTTATTTACTTCCATTTATTATTCATTACAAAATTATTTATTTATTAAAAGAAACAATTCATTCTTCTGTATTTGAATAAATTATGAAATTGTAAATGAAATAAATTTTTTAATTACTTTTTTTTACAAAAGGTGAACTTTAAATTCGACTGCGGAAGTGGACCAGTATTAATAATAAATCCAGTGAAGATAAACGATAATCAATGGCACACTGTTCAATTTAAACGAGAGCAAAATTATGGTGAATTAATTGTGGAAGATACAAGAGCAACAGGTGTTATGCAACAGGGAGAAGTTGAAATTGATGTAAATCCACCGTTCTACTTGGGAGGTGTAATTCCAGAAAAATCATCTCGAGTCTTCAAATCTTTGGTAAACAATAAAAATATTTATATCCTTTTTTATTTTAACTCTTAAAAATAATTTATTATTATGCAAATTACAAACTTTTTTATGTTCAAATATAAACTTCAAGTTTTGAATAATTTCAGATTCAAAATTTAAAAAACTCACATACTGACTAGTTAATTATTATTGTTTATTATTTTCAAAAATTTTAATAAAACTCTTCGTAAGAATTCAATTAATTTTATAAATAATAATATTCTTCGGAAGAATTCAATTATTTTTATTTTATAAATAGTAAAATTCTTTGCATGAATTCAATTATTTTCAATATACAATTATAATAAAATTTTACAAATTGTTTTATTTTTTTTTTTTAATTGTTAATAAAGTTTTACGAATATTTATTTTCTAAAATTTCAATAAATTTTTTTTAACAATTAAATTATTTTTATAAATAGTAAAATTCTTTTCAATTCATTTTTAGTTTATTTAATGTCTAATTTATTAAAAAATTAATTAATTTCTAATTTAATTCACTTTGAATTTAATTTTATTCAAATGTAATTTATTTCTAATTTAATTCATTTTTAGTTTAATTAATTTCTAATTCTTAAAAAAAAATTTACTGTTTTATGAAAAATTCTGTTTCTTGAAACGAAAATAATTGTAAAAATTAATTCTTTTTTAAATTAATTAATTTCTAATTTAATTAACTTTGAATTTAATTTTATTCAAATGTAATTTATTTTTAATTTAATTCATTTGAAAGTTAATTCATTTCGAATTGAATTCTTTTTTAGTTTCATTTATTTCGAATTGAATTCATTTGTAATTTTATTTATTTTATTATTTTTGAATTATTTAATTTTTTTTTCTAAGTTTAATTTAATTTAACTAATTTAATTTAATTTTTCAGGGAATGAATAAATCATTTGACGGCTGCTTGAACAATTTCATGATTAACGGCCTTCCAGTCGGTACACCGGCCGAAGAAATCGGTCTAATTCCATGTTCAAAGAAAATTGAACCCGGAATATTCTTCTATCCTTCCAACAATGGCAGCAATTTCTTCAAACCTGGTTATAATTTATCTGAATAGTTTTTTTTTTTTTTTTGACGAAATTTAACTCAATTTCTTGCTTTTCTTTAAATAGAAAAGAACAATAGTTTATTGATAAATAGAAATTAAGTAACAATTATTTATAATTATTTGCTTTTAAATAATTGAGAAAAATATTTAATTTTAAATAATTTGCTTTCTCTGTAATTTAACATTGTTTTTTAAAATTTTTCCAGTTGAAACATTTTCTGTGAGTAAAACAATGGACATTCAAATGGACATAAAACCACGTTCGTCAAGCGGTCACTTATTATCGGTCCATGGAAAGAAGGACTTCTTGATTTTGGAAATGGTCAGCGGCACTATTAGATTTATGATTAAATCAAATAAAGGACAAACTACAATCGAAACATCATTCAAACCACCATATCCAAATTCTCTCTGTGATGGAAATTGGCACAACATTCGAGGTAAACTTTTTTGTTTCGAAAATTTTTTCTACTTTTTTAAGTATGTACTTTTATAATTTACTTAAACACGTTTTTGTTAAATTATTCAGCAATCAAACAAAAGAATGTACTATTGCTGTCAGTGGATCATAAAGCAGCATCACCTGGAATTGGACTTAAAAATTCTGCCGTTGTCAGTACAAAGAGTCCAATATTCATTGGAGGCCATGTGAGACTTCAATTACCATTAAGAGGAAGTACTGCTCAAGCACAATACGTTGGTTGCATGAATAATATTATGATTGATAATGTTCCAATTAAATTCGATCCTAGTCGTACAAATGGCAAAGTTACAACAAATGTCTGCTCAACTATTTAGAAACAAAAAGAAAAGAAGAAACCTAAGATAATTCTTGTGAATACATATTTTTTCTATATAATAAATTTATAGTATTCAATTTTCAAAGTAAAATTCAAAAATAAGTTTTATTAATTAAAGAAAAAAGACCTACGTTTAAAGAAATAAATTTATTTAAACTCTTCAACGAATATATATAATTTACAGAGAATAGTAATTATTAATGAAAAAAAAAGAGAATTTAATCAGTTTTTGGATGCCGTTTGTAATAAATCACAGTAAACATAACACACGAACTTAGAAATGTTGAAATAGTAACATTTCCCAAAAGTAAAACATCTGCAGAATCCATCCATATTGTAAAAATTCTTGCTGAAATAATAAAAAAAGAATTAGTAACGTCAAATACATTCCGTTAATCACGACATATGAATAATTTGAATCAAAAAAGAAATTGAAAGGAACAAAAATTTTGTATACATACTACAATTTGTCAAAGCTGAAATAAACCATGTGAGAACGGAAATAGATTCTGCGTTTTTAGCTCGATGAATTGTTAATAATTGAACAACTTTGCTAGACGCAGTAATTGGAGTACATATAGGCTGAAATTAATTATTTGATTTTAATTGATAACAAAAAAAAATATATAAATTCAGCTAATTTATTCTATTTTTAATTGAGATTATCTCACCACAAATAAAGTTAATAGAGACTTTGGCAATATTTGAAGTACAAAGGAAGTAAAAGTAGTAAAATAGAGAGCAGAGATTAATATTGTTATAAAATTAATTTTCTCAAGGTACTTTAATACCAAGAATATGAGTATATATTGTTGCACCAAAATAATTGGATAATCTAAATATGAAAGTAAAGAGTAGCCATTTGTAATATTGTAACTGGTCATCACTGTATAACTGTAATTAGAAATAAAATATTTTTTTTTTAAAAATAAGAATTACTATTCAAGAAAAATTAAATTCCAAGAATTTATTCTTTGGAAATAACTTTTATTATTTTCAAAAAAATAATAAAAGAAATAATGTAAAAAGTAATCTATTTTTCTAGAATATGAAAATATCATAAATTTTTATAAAACTGAAAATTTTTTTATTCACACAAATTTCGTTTTGCGTTAATTAATAAGGAAAATAAAATATTAAAAAAAACTGTATAGTTAAAAATGTAGAATAATAATGACTTTAAGTAGAAAAATCATTTATATTTTTCTTCAAAAAAGTATTTAACAAGAAAAAAAATAAACCAAAAAGAATTTGTTAATTTGTCTTATTTTATAATTGAAAAAAAAGAATTAGAAACAAATTTTTACAAACCTTGTCAATTCTAGGCACAAGCCTATTATAGACATTCCTTTAGCTGATTTTAAAGCCATGAGATTTAAAATTTGTGGTACTTTTAAAATAAAACACATACCTATTGTAAAAATACTTAATAAGTCCGAAAAATGTTGCAGTGACATCTCCATTTTTGAAAAACAATTCTAATTCCTGTAAATAAGAAAAATGAAAAAAACTTAAGAATTAAAATTCGTCAAAAGAATTCAATTTTATTTAAAAATTTGTTAAAATTCTTTATAAGAATTAAATTTTAAGAAACATTCAATTATTCAAAAATTTTCAGTTTCTTTTTTAATTAAATTTTCTAATAATAAAGATTTTTAATTGACAATTAAATAGATAGTTAATAATTAAATGAATAAAATAAATGAAATAAATTAACAATATAAACAATCGAATTTATATACAAAAAATACTGTAAATATAAAACAAAAATATATCGATACATTTTAATTAATAATTAATACAAAATGACATGACTAAAACTTACCCTATTTTTAATTATTTAAATTATGCAACTATAAACAATTACATAACAAACATATACTCTATTATTGTTAGAAAATGTCAAAATTTAATTTTTAAACATAACCTAACCCCAAAAATGTCAATGTCACAATGAAACCTTTCATACGTGCATTGTCACTTAATTATTTACACATTTTCCAACGGAAAGAGAAACCTACTTAGGGATATTCTACGAATAATTAAGTACACATTAAAAAATTACCTTTTTATAACAGGAATTTGTCAAAAAAATTTTGACACTACATTTTTATATTGAATGATGAAATAAAAACTACGCAAATTGACAGCGCTTGCGTAAATAAACTATAATAACTATATTTTCCCAAGAAAGTATTAATTTACATCATTGTAAAATTTTTAATTGAAAATTTTTTTATTAACAATCAAACTATATTATCTTGAACAAGTTGGAATATGTTTGGATATATTTTATCTGTTGTCATTGTTGACGTGTTAGTGTCAGTGCGGTGTCAGTGTATAAACTATACATATAGTTGAATGTGTGTCATAAACCCATATGTTCATCTCCGACATGTGGTTTCAATCCCTTTGAATATTATGATACTTTGTTTAAATAATAAACCGTGTTTGTGAATTACTTTTTATTCTTGACAATTTATTTCGTAAATATTCAAAAACTGAAGGAATAATGGCGGTAAGTGGTAGTTATTTACTGGAAAAAAAGTGCTGAGACATTATAGGAAATGATTATTTTTTAAAGGCAATTTTAAATAGTAAAAACATGAAAGATAATATTTACTGTAAATTAAAATGTTTCAGTAATATTTGTAAATTATTTTTTAAAATTATCTATTGTGAATGAAAATGATAAATTTTTCGTAATTATTCAAAAGAAAAGTATGAAAAATATCGTTGAACATAACCTCAAAATTCGATCGAGTAAACAAAAGTTATTATTATTAATTACTATTCATTAATTGTTGTACAGTTGAATTTTAATAATTTAATACTAATACTTTTCTTTGTTTTTCAGCCACCGACAAAAAGTACGAAAACCGCAACAAAGGGAGCAAAGCAAATAGTGGAAGAAAATGTTTCGACGTTAAAATTTTATATGTGTATGATTGCCATTGCAGTAGGAATTTATTTAACAATTATGATGATATTTTTCGAATTCACAACATTAGCAATTGTAAGTACAATGGAGAGACTAAATTCCAAAATTAAAAAATATATTTATATTATTGAAGCTTAGACAAGAACAAAAGGCGTTATTTGTAATTTTACTTTAGGAAAATAATTTTACTCACATTTATTTTAGACACTTAGTCTTTTATCTGGAATCGTGTACATAGGATGTTATCATTTCATGTCATATATGGCACAAGCGAAATATTCCGAAACGGGACAATTACTCGACTCTGGAGTTGATCTCAACATGGAAGGAGGAATCGCAGAGTGATTATAAAAATTAATTTCCAATTTTTTAAAATATTAAAAATTACAATTTTTCAATAGCTTTTCTACTTTCAAAGAATTAGTTTTAATTCCTATTTGTTTACTAAATTACAGGCATGTGAAAGACATGATTATCCTTACTTCAATCGTACAAATACTTTCCCTCATCTCAAATTACTTTTGGCTGCTATTAACTCTGGTAAATTAAATCTTTTATCTTTTTTTTTTATATTATAACGATTTTTCCAGTCGTTAATAATTAATAAATTAATGAATAATTAAAAATGAATTAATGAATATCTAAAAATTATAGGCACCACTTCGAGGATTGTGGATGCTTTGGGCGAATATCATATCCCCGTGGATTTTTGCAGCACCTCAAGCACCAACGGAAATGGATGAAAAGAAGCAGAAAAAACTCGAGAGGAAAATGGCAAGACGTCATTAAAAAAAAAGAAAAAACAATGCAACTCACACACGGGCATGTATTAAACACTTTTTTTTATTTTTTATTACTTTTTATCATCTCTTCGTCTTCTATTTTGATATGAAAATTCATAAAAGAAAAATATCTGTGATCTAATTAGTAGATGCATATTTACTTTGCATTTTTGTGCCACAAATTTTTTGTTAAGAAAAAGAAAAACAAAAATTTGTGAATGAATTTTCACAAATTAGGTGAATATTAATTTTTAATTATCAACTTTTTTTTTTAATAATTGGGAGATTTATCTCAGGGGTTTTTTAGAAATAGCTTTGAATTTTGTTATACGTGCGTTTAGTTTGTTGCTATTAATAAGAAAAAAGTAAATTACAATGATAAAAGTTAATTGTAAAATATAAATTAAATTATATAAATGAAATTGAAATTAGTATAATTCGTTTTTTTATAATTGCAATCGTTTTTTTATTGTAGTTAGTACAATTCGTTCTTTATATTTAGTAGAATTTTTTTTCTTAATAGTAAAATTCGTTTTTTATAATTAGTATAATTCGTTTTATTATAATTAGTATAATTCGTTTTATTATAATTAGTATAATTCAACATTTATTATTATTTATTATTAATATTTATTTATTATTTAAGTACATAGAATTAAAATTCGCGCTTTAATTTTATTTAACCAATCGTAGTGCGCAAGCACGATTTGTTTATTTATTTATTTTGTTTTGACAGCTGTCACAATTTACTAAATAATTTTCTTCCTTTGTGTATTTAAGATAAATATTCTAATTAATAATTTCTTTTTTTTTATCAAAAAGACTTTTTTCGAAATGTATTAGTTGGCAACTTTTTTTTCTCGATCTTTTCTTATAGTTTTGAATGAATACGAGTTTTTAATTTTGCTTTGTTTGTTTATGATACAAAATGTTAAAAATAGATTAAATTCCAAGAATGTACATATGCATATAATTAAAAAAAAGATGTGTGTAGAGAAAAGGGTTCGTGAAAAGTTGTATACGTTACTGATGGATGAGTAGAAAAAGACAGTCTGGACAAGACAAGTGCACCAAGTGCAGGACAGGACAGTTGGTGGTGGGATAAGAAACATCGGAAATAAATCGCGGGGAGGGGTTAAGTTGCGTACATGTCTCTTGGATATACCTAGACTTTTCTCTATATTATACTGGTGTTGTTGTGTTTTCATTGTTTCAATTTTATAAAAATTCGGAAAAAATTGAAAATTTCAACAAAAGAAAACAAAAAATTAAAGAGAAAAGAAAAAAAAGAAACATGGCTGGTGAACAATTCTCATTAGTTTGGAATACATTTCCAAGAAATTTATCTTCTGGTCTTTATAATTTATTAACCGGTGAACAATTGGTCGACGTTACCCTCGCTGCTGAAGGTCAAATTTTGCGTGCCCACAAATTAATTTTATCCGTTTGCAGTACATATTTCAGGGAATTATTCAAGGTATTGTGGAATTTTTTAATAATTAAATTGTTTTCAATCAGAATTTACAGTAGTATTTTTTTTTAATCTCTACTTTTGTTTTTTGTTTATAATATCAATTAACTGTGTTTTTTTTTTCTTAAGGTTTTGTTTTGTTTTTTGTTCTCCACATCGTCGTACGCAGTATGTTTACTACGAGTTTGTTATTGTTGAAAGAGTATATATTTACACGTTAGTTCTTGTTAATAAGAAACTAATCACATTAACATTGTTTTATCAATTGCGTAGTATTTTTTTTATATTGAAAACAGAGAAAAAATCGTTTTAATTTGACTCTTGTTATTCATTTTCTTCCAACTGTTTATTATTAGTCATTAATCATTTAAATTGAATTTTTTCTTTACTTTTTCACTGATAAATCTAATTTTTATAGTTTAATAATTTAGAGAAAAAAAATGTTACTAAAAAAAATATTTCGTGAGAAAAGTATGAAAAAAATATATGTAGAGAAATATAAAAAAATATAAGTAGAGAAATATAAATAAATATAAGTAGAGAAATATAAATAAAAAGAAAGAAATATAGATTTTAAAGAATTAGTTTAAGAATATAAAGAATTTATTAATTCGCTTTGAAATTGTTTACAGGGGAACTCGTGTAAACATCCGATAGTAATACTGAAAGATGTTAACTATCGTGATTTGTCGGCAATGTTACATTTTATGTATCAAGGAGAAGTCAACATTAAGCAAGAAGATATAGCCAGTTTTTTAAAGGTCGCAGAAGTTTTACAAATAAAAGGACTCACAAAAAACAATGACGAGGTATGAATTTAAATAATTGCCATTAATTAGAATATAGAGATTATTGTAGTAAACTATATATACTTTTCATTTGTAAGAAATAAAAGGTCATAGAGTTAAAGTTTGAATAATTGAATAATAATTATTATCACCATTCGAGTTGACTATTTGGAAATTTTATTTATAGGAATTTTGTGAAAAGGAAGCAGAACTCTCGGAACATTCATTAAGTGAAAAAAATGACACAACACCGAATGCAATTGATAATGATTGCGATGTCGTTAGAGAATTAACGGAAACTTCAGAAAAATCATGTCACTGTCCGTCTTCCAATAAAAATATCGAACAATCGACTGACAAGACAAGGGAGGGTTTCATTCAAAAAATTGAATTGGAAACCGAAATGGAGAATATTGAACAAAAAATGGAAGAATACTTGGAAAAAGAGGCTGAAATGCAAGAAGACGAACCGCTGGATTGTACACTTGATTTTATAAAATTGCCACAACCGGAACGAGATTGGCGTGATTATAAACCGGGGATTGAGACAACAACAACGACGACAACGACGACAGGAACAACAATAGCGGAAACGACGACGACAACAACAGCTGAAAATCAAATAACGGAAACAATGGAGAATCAAATGGAACAAACGGACACAATGGCACAAGGTAAAATTTTTTTTACTAGTTTGTCGAAATTTTGGTTTAGATTAATTTTTTTTTCTTTCTTGTAGATTTGCCGCCGGATCCACAACACGTGCAATATCCACCTTATCAAGAACCTCCACTGAGTACGTACTTTAAAAAATAATTCGTCTTTTAAAAAATATTCTAATTTTCTTTGAAAATAGAGAAAAGATGTTTTTTTATATTTTTTTCTTTGAAAATATTGAAAAACTATTGTTAATTTTAAATTTAAATAGTAGTTCATTACTTCAGGTCTCGACTATTTTTCTAAACAGCGACTTTTTCAAACTATTTTTTCAATATTCTGGAAATAATTAAATTTTCTCAAATTTTAATAAAACATCTTCAAATGAAAATTTGCTCTAAAAATTATATTTGTAATATTTTTTATAAAAATAATTATTAGAATTTTTTTATTAGCATTATTTTATAATTCAATTATTAAAGTTGAAATTAAATTTAAATTATTTAAGTACAAAAATTCAATTTTTTACACAATAATTTATTAAAATTATTATTAAAAATTTTAAATTTTAGAGAAATCAATCGCATATAAAATTCTCAATTAAAATTCTTCGAAAAATTGAAAATTCGTCGATAAAAGTCGCCTATTTTGAAAATAGTCGAGAAAAATTGAAAAATTTTGTTACATATTTTCAAAAATTAAAATATCTAGAAAATAAAATGTCTTTTAAGAATTTTCAATTATTTTCGAAATATTAGATTCGAATATTTAAAAAAATATAATACTTCGAATTTTTTTTAATCATAATTTATTAAAATTAAATTTTTTTCAATAAAGTAAATTGAAATTTTTAAAAACTTTTCTCTTTTATAGATTTATCATTAAAATTTTAAAGAAATCGTATATTTGCATATTTTTGAGGATTCTGATTAAAAAAACAGTTAATAATTTTTTAATAGTCAAAATTCTCGACATAAAAATAAAAAAAGGAATTTCGAATTTCCATTCTTTTCTAATTCTTTGTTTTTATATAAAAATTGCAAAAATGTTTCTCTAGAAATTGTGATTTAAAACTTTATTTTTTTATTTTATACAAGACAATGATTTTTAACTGAAAAAAATGATATCCGGTCCTGTGATCGAGACCTTTATCATTTTTAAATATTTTCAATTTTAAAATTGATGTAATTTTTCTCGTGAAGAATTTTATTAAAATTTTGGAAAATTCTAATTAAATTCTTTTGAAGAATTTCTTTTAATTTTTTTTTGTTAAATAATGGAGTTTTTTTTAAATAATTTTAATTAAAATTTTTGAAAATAATTGAATTTAATGAACAATTTTTAAAAATTGAATTCTTTTATGAAATGTTATTAAAATTGTATTAAAAATAATTAAATTTTTCCAAAGAATTTTATTATTTATAAATAAAATTTAATTGTTTCGTGAATTTTTTTTTGAAAATAATTGAATTTTTGACGACTTTATAACTATAATTGAATTATTTCGATGGATTTATTAAAATTGTAGAAAATAATTTATTTTTTTCGAAAAATATTAAAATTGTAGAAAATAATTGATTTTTTTCGAAAATTATTATTAAAATTGTATTAAAAATAATTGAGTTATTCAAAAGAATTTTACTATGTATAATTAAAATTGAATTGTTTCATGAATTTTTTTTTAAATAATTTAATTTTTGCAAAGATTTTATAAGGAATTAAGAAAAAAAATTCAATTCTTTCGTGAAATTTTTTTTAAAATAATTGGATTTTTGCAAAGATTTTACTATTTAAAAAAATAATTGAATTGTTTCGAAGGATTTGTTAAAGTTTTAGAAAATAATTGTATTTGTTTGTGAAATGTTATTAAAATTTTGTTTAAAAATAATTGAATTTTTGCAAAAAATGTTTCTATTTATAAAAATAATTGAATTGTTTCGAAGGATTTGTTAAAGTTTTAGAAAATAATTGTATTTGTTCGTGAAATGTTATTAAAATTTTGTTTAAAAATAATTGAATTTTTGCAAAAAATGTTTCTATTTATAAAAATAATTGAATTCTTACGAAGAATGTTATTATTTATGAAAATAATTGAATTCTTGTGAAGAATTTTATTAAAATTTTAAAAATTAATAAACAAGAATAATTAATTAGTAAATTATTTAATAATTAAATTTTTTTAATGCTTGAATCTGAAATTATTCAAAAAGTTCATATTTATTGTTAATAATTTCAGTTATTAATTTTGAACAGTTAATTTTAAATTGTCAACAATTTAAAAATGTTAATAATTTCTAAACTATTAATAATTCTGAACTGTGAATAATTGCAGATTACGATAGTGCGGAGGCATCGTTTCAAAGTGATTCGGCGAGTTGTAGTAATCGAGGGAGAAGAACAGTAAAAGGAATTCCAGGCAGCAGTCTATCGTTGGAGACAACATTACGGGTAATATCAGAACTTGGTCCAACGATTCGCGTCGAAAGAGGTAAAGTAATTCGAATGTATTCTTGTCCATGGTGTTTACGGCATTTTACACGAAAAGAAAATTTAAAACTCCACGTGAGATATATTCACGGTCCACTTGAAAGTCTAACATGTAAATTGTGTGGCAACAAATACAAAAACAGCAATAGTCTGCGTGTACATTCTTACCTTTATCACAATACAAAGAGAAGTAAACACAATAAATCACCACTAATCACCGGTGGTGTCTAAAGAACTGATTTTTGTTTTTTTTAAAAAAAAAAAGCTTTATAGTCATTGACAAAAAAAAAATATTTGTTACGTTACAATTGGTTGTACAGTTTATATTTATATACACACTACATATACTCATGCGTTAAAAACAAAACCAATGCGTGAAATTTATATATATATATATATATATAGAAAAAAATCCAGAAAAATATGCGTAAAAAACTTTTATAAAAAGTAATTTGTTTCCATTTTATATAATAATTTATTTTAATAAAAAAAAACATAATCTGACAATGTATATTCTATATCTAATTATCTACTTTAAATATTCTCTTAATTTAAGTTAATATACTTGATAAAAGGAATATGTTTGTTATAAATATTTTATACATACAAAGTTTTTTTTTTGAATTAATCCATTTTCTTCGTTATCTCAGATTCTCTGAAAAAGAAATAAAGTATCATTTTTTTAACAAAAAGTAAATTTTCATTTACTTAAATTGTATAATTAGAATATTCAATAGAAAATCTAATTAAATAAATTATTTATAATAATATATTATAGATTATATGAATATACTTATATTTTTATAATTTTATAATAAAATTTATGTTCTAAAAATTTTTTAAATTAGAAATTTTACTTGATTGGTTTTTCTGCAGTTCTCCCTCTAAATATTAAATTTCCTAGATTTGTGAATGGTTTTTCAATTAATACGACTAGAAACAATGATAAAATTAACGTGTAGATGCCATCAAGTACGGTAAATCTGAACTGAAAGGAGAAAATAATTAAAATTTTTGAAAATAATAAAAGAAAATTAAATAAAATTAAATAAAATTAAATAGTTACGAAATTATGGAAGGAAAATGTGAAGGCAGCTCTTGCAGTTCCAACATCATAGGAATGAAAAATATAATGCGTGAGGAAATATGCGTAAGAAAGTTTTGAAAGTGGTTGCACCCAAGTTGGTGTCATGAAATTATACTGAAAATCTGTATAAGAAAAAATCTTTTTCAATATAGAAAGAAAAAAAGTTGCCTTAGTTTTCCAGAGGAAAATATTTAAATTAAGAAAAAATTACCTAGACCATCGCCGATTGTGAATAGTAAAACGACAGAGCACATACTAAATGAAAAAATTGGTCGATGAAAACTTGCGTAAAGACTTTTTAGAAACAGACTTGGTTTCACGTTTGGATCAATAAAAAAAATTGCTAAATCTTGAATAAGAAGACTTAATACAACTACTTGTAAAAGAAATAAAATTTGCGACCAGACCTGAAAATATATTTTCTTTTAGGAAAAAATTTTATTTGAATTTTAATTATGTGTTAATTTAATTCTTTTTTTTTTTAAATTTCACCTTCGAAAGTCGCCACTTTGCGAATTTGTGATCATAAACAAGTGCACCCATAATTATACCAACGAAATAAGCCGGCAATCGCATATGAGTTTTTATATAGTAATCTGTAAAATATCTGTAATCTTCAAATCTTTTGGTTCTGAAAAAAAATCGATATTTTTTTAATAGAAAAAAATTCTATTTTTTTTAGTAAGAAAAATTAATAGTAAATTAAAGACTAAATTTTTGTAGTAAAAGTAATAAAATAGTAAATTAAGGACTAAATTTGTTTTTAATAAATAAATTTTTTTAGCTGAACTTACAGTAATTTTTAGAATTAAATTTTTTATAAGAATTGAGTCTGTTTATTAAAAAAAATGCTGAAATTCAGAATTATGAGAATTCGGCAAATTCACATTTTGAGAAAATGATTTTATATATACAAAAGAAATAAAAGAAAATGACTTACTTGCCAAATCCTTTGATCTGTGTATCGATGTCATGTTTGTAGGTCACGTAAAATGGTATTGCAATCGAGAGCATTAAAACAATACTTAGAAATGTGTAACCATTTTTTCGTGACATTTTTTGAAATGCCAATAGTAGGAAAATTCCAATTATATAGCAATGAAAATCCACCGCTAAATGCCATGCTTGAAATATACACTGTAAATGACAATAATTATTTAACAATAATAATAATAATTATTATTATTATTATTATTATTATTATTATTATTATTATTAGATTTGGATTTTTTCTTTTTTCTCCTTTTTTTCATTGAAAATTATTTTTTAACTAAACTTACAGTAATTTTTAGAATTATTAAATTATTTAATTTGAAAAACAATTTTCCTTACTGTATTTCTGTTATTGTAGTAATTACTGATAAAAAGTAGATTTGTCCACCAGTAAGTCGAACAAGAATCCCTGTCGAATCCAAATCTTTCCTCCCAATATGGACCTGAACCTAAATGATAAAAAAATGCTGCATACGCATACGTAATGAACATATAAAGTGGAGCCATTCTGTAAGAATTTAAAAAAAAATCATATATTTATCATAATAAATGAAATTAATTTAATTAATTATGAATTAAAAATAATTCTGCATTAATTATGAAAAAAATGCCTTTTGAAAAAAAATAGAGATCTATTTAAGATGAAACATACCTAATAAATCGCCTTATAATTAAAAGAGGTATATTAACATTTTTTGACGAGTGCTCCAAATATTCTAATAATTGATAACTTAATACAAGTCCAGCGAAACCAAAAAATGCATCCACAATAATGGAACCATTGTGAAAAATCATTGTAAACCATGCTGATGTTAAAGTCTGAAAATTTTTTTTTATTCTTTCTAAATTTTTCCAGTTAGTAATTAATTTATTATTATTATTATTTTTATTATTATTATTATTATTATTATTATTATTATTATTATTTTATATTAATAGTGTTTTTTGTTTTTTCTAGATTAATTGCGTTTACCGATTCAAAAAATTTGCCAGTAACATTGGAGGCATGTAAAAATTGTATGTGACGATGTCCGGTAGAGGCGATAGTTGAAAAAGCAAATTTCAATATATGTAAAGCATCAAATCCACGATGCCGATAATTGGCACTAAAAATACTTTTCAAATTTCGTCGAGCAGAAAAACAGTGGAATATTTCCTCTCGAAGTGATTGATTTTTTTCATTTTGATTTTTGTAATCGTAAATGGAACAAATAGCAACCAGAGTGATCATAAAAAGAACGATGAAACTGAAATTTTGGAAAATTGAAAATTAAAAATTTATTAATTAATTTGTTAATGAATTAATTATTAATTTATTTGGAATTAAAAAAATAATAAATATAAATTCACGATTAATTACTGTTATAATTGTATTATTACTGTTAAATAGCAGTTGATATTATAATTTATAATGGAAAGAATATAATTTTCGACAGAATTCGTAATTAGAATTTCATTTCTAAAAATATTTGACATTTACCAGAAGAGGAAAAATTGATATGATAATTTCGGAGTTTCCAGAGTTGAATGACAGAGTTTCTTATTTATAGAGATATTCAGTTGTAGATTATATTTTTCTGCAAATTTTTCCAAGGGTTCGTTCAAAGCTTGAACAAGATCGTCAGGAGAGCAAATTGCTGGTGTGCATAAAGCCATTTGCAAACGGTATCTTATATAACGTCTATCGTCTCCCTTTTCCTAAAAAAAATTTTATTCTTAGTTTTAATTTAAAATTTGTATTTTTAATTTTAATTTAAAATTTGTATTTAATTATAATTTAAAATTTGCATTTTATTTTTATTTAAAATTTTTTTTTTACCTAATATTTATTTAGAGAATAGGATAATTTTTTTTAGAGAAAAATTATCTTCTTTCAAAATATTCTAATATTCAAATCATTCAAATAATATTATACAAATAATACATTTAATAAAAAATAAAAATAATAAAAAAAAGCTATTCATAAGATAGAAAATAGAATTTTATTTTACTGAAATATTAATTCTAATCCTTTGTGGTTTTTTTTACAGGTAAAATAGGAGTTTTTGGATATTACTTTGATAGACTCCCACGCTGAACCATGGGGATCGAACCAAATGTCAATGTATTCTGTCAAATTTACGGACTCATCTTTTTCGTGATATTCAATATCAACGAGACAATATCTACCACGAATTTCTTCGAATTCGGGATAATTATCAGAATTTTGCACTTTTGTATCAATTCGAAGGCACTGGTCAAATATTCCCAAATGTTGCGTTAATCCTTCTAGAATTCCGTAAGGATATTTTGCCGACGAATCGAACACTAAACAAATGGTATATTTTCATATCCAAAAAATTAATTCAGGAAAAGAAAATTAATTTTTCGTAGTTAAAAATTTAAAAAAAGAAAATTGAAATATAGTTAATTTAATTTAAAATCGAAATTACTCACTTTCGGTAGCCCATAATGTTCCATTATTCAAATGCGAAAGATACAAATGCAATTGTTTTTTGCAAGAACCTTCTGGAATTGACTCTGAAGTTGCGACAACAATCGGTAATAGTGGTACGTTCAAGAACCAAGAATTTTTAACACTTTTTTCTAAATTAATTTCATTATCATTATTAACAGTCAAATTATCGATATATTTATTCCGTGAAATTTTTGCCACTTCATCATTATTAATTGCTGCCAAAACAATTTGTCCATTCAGCAAAAATATCAAAATACAAATTCTAAAAACACATGAAATCATTTCACGTAAAAATTCCTTTTTTTTCAATTAAATTTTTATTTCCAGAATTCTTTTTTTTTATAAAATTGTTAAATTTTGTTATTTTTATGTATATTTATAAAAATAATGTTTATAATACTTTTAAATAATTTTCTTAAAAAGAATAATAACACATTACACTGCTGATGACTGATACATAATAAGGTGTTCATTTAAAAAAATCTGATCACTTCGAATAAGCAGAATTAACATATTAATGATTACGATATTATAAGCAGGGGAAACATTATTTTTTTTTTTTCAAAGATCATTTGAAGTTCATTAGATTATGTTTTTTCTGTTCAATCTAATTATCATTAGAAGAGAAAATTGTATTTATTTTTCATGAATAGTGTGGAAAATAATTTTTTACGTTGATGGAAAAAAAAGTGTTACTAGTTTTTTTTTTTAGTTAAATTTGCATAATTATAAATTAATTAATTATGAAATTTCTAAATTTTAAATTTAAGTTTTTACAAATTGACGTTTTTCATACTCGATATGCTTATTCTATAAGATTGCTATTAATTTTTTTACTGAGAAAATTAAATTTTTTTACTCTGCGAAGAATAAATTTAAAAATCAAGAATTGCTTTAATTTTTAATTATTTGAATGGAACAGTTAAGAATAGAAAATGTATTTTTTTATTTGCAGAAGGATCAGTATTTTAGGGGCCATTCATAAACCACGTAGCCTCTTGAGGGGGGGAGGGGTTAAGCAATTGATTACGACAAGAGGAAAAAATGGCGCTAATACATGTAATATCGTACTACATGGGGGGAGGGGGGGGGGCAAAATTCCTCAAAAATGGGGCTACATGGTTTATGGACGACCCTTTATCACATTTCTTATCAGTAATTCTGTCTCATTAGTTCTGACACTCGATAAGGCCACAAGTCATTTAAGAAGAAGAAGAAGAAGAATTCTGTCTCTATTTCTTTGGCTTAAAAAGTGTCAACAGATTTATGTGAAAAAAAAGGAAAATGAACGAATTCGTGGTTAAAGTGAAAGAAGGATTATTAAAAGGTGTTTCAAGGGAGAATATCGATGGAGGAAAATATATCGTCTTTCAAGGAATTCCTTATGCTGCAGCTCCGGTCGGAAATTTGAGATTTCAGGTATTTTTTCTTTTTTTTTCTATTTTAACAAGAAAACCTATGTTACTGTAATTAAATTTATATCTTTCATATTATTATAAAATAATTAAAAAAAACATTTTTTGACAAATAGGAAGTGTATCACGCTCTGAGGAAAGGTACCTAAGAACTTCTTAGGTACCTTTTTTGGGAGAACGTCACACTATCAAAAATGGCGGTCGCAACGGGATCAAATTTTAACAAACACACACGTGTTAGACTTCTTTTTAATTATTATTCCATTAAAAAGCTTAATAATGCTAATTGTGGAGCTAAAAATTGTTTCAGTTTGTTTTCATGCAAGTTTTAAAAATTATTAAAATATGTTTCTTTTTTTTGCAGGATCCTCAACCACCGTTACCTTGGAGTGGAATTCGAAATTCTCTCGAGAATGAGAAACAAGCTGGACAAATTCACTTGAGAACGGGAGAAATTATTGGCGATGACGATTGTTTATATCTCAATATTGCAACAAATTCCCTGACGGGAAAAAAAGCCGTAATGGTTTGGATCCACGGTGGAGCATTTTCTTATTCATCCTCAGATTTAAATTATTTCGGTCCGGACTATCTTCTCAAAAATGATATTGTCTTTGTCTCTCTTAATTATCGACTCGGCTTCTTTGGTATCAAAATTAATTTCTAATTTTTCCTTTTTAATTAATTGCTGTTGAATTTACTCTTTTCATTTTTATTATTTTATTATTTACTATTTTTTTCAGGTTTCCTGAATTTAAACACAAAAGACTGCAGCGGTAATCAAGGTTTGAAAGATCAAGTCTGTGCTTTGAAATGGATTCAGGAAAATATTGAAACCTTCGGAGGCGACAGTAAAAATATAACGATATTTGGTTGTAGTTCCGGAAGTACATGCGTTCATTATCATTGTATTTCTCCACTCGCTAAAGGTGTTGGAATTTTTTAAATTCATTAATTCCGTTAAGAAAGATTAGAATTGAAAATCAAAGTAAAATTTAATTTATTGCTATGAATAAATTTATGAGAAAAAAAAATTATATAAATAGATGATAAATAAAAATATTAATAAATTTATCACACAAATAGGTAATAAATAAATTTATTATTTATTATTTATTATATAAATTATGAATTAATCTATTACCATAATTTATTAATACTATAATAAGTAAATAATTTATTACAATAATTTTTTTGTTGCAGGACTTTTCCAGAAAGCTATTTGTCAAAGTGGAGTTGCTGTTAGTGAGAATACTTTTCAAAGCTCTAATAAGGAGTTTGCCTTCAAGATGTTGGAAGTTCTAGGAAAGAAAATTGACAATCCGGAAGAAGCTGTGCAATTATTTCGCAATTTTTCGACGAGAGAAATTCTTCAAGCTGAATTAAAATTAGTGAAGGTAGAACGAAAAATTCTCAGTGAGTTAATTAATTGCTGAGTGAATATTTAATTAACCACTGATTTAATTACATTTGCTTATTTAGTTTAGTTACAAATTTGCTGATTTCATTTAATAGGAACTCAGTGTATTTTTTGCAAATGCTCCTTTTTTGCCAACATTGGATATTGACAGCGAAAATCCTTTTTTACCACAACCATTAGAAGTATTAGTTGAAAACGGAATTAATGTTCCTCTGATGATGGGATTCAATAATTTAGAGGGCAATGTACTCAATACTGGTAAATTACATTTTCCCCCTTAATTACATATTTCTATTTCGTTTAAATAAATTTAATTCGTTTCACTAATTTAATTAAATTTATTCAATTAACTACAATTCTAAATTATTTGGAAATTTAAAGAAAGCGAATAATTTGTAAAATACATTATTTTCCTTTTTAATTAATTTTCAATTTCTAAATATAATACAGAGAGATCAGAAGAAGTAATTAAGATGTTTAATGAGAATTTTGGAAAAAATCTTGCGTCACATTTGAATTTGGATAAAACGATTACTTTACCGGAATTCGTTGGAAGAGTGGAAAAATTTTATTTTGAGAAAAATCCGATCACCATTGAGGAATTCAAGAATATAGTGAAATATCGAGGAGATGTTTGTATGATAAATGGTATTCAGTTTATCGTTGAAAAGCAAAGACTTAAAAAAACTCCTACATTTATGTACAGATTAGCATATAAAATTGCCGATGTTGTCTCGGAAAGGAATCCAATTTTCAGAGATTATGAAGGTGAGTAATAATTAAATTTTTAAGAGCGTAAACTTCAAATAAAAAAACTCAAACTAAAAAACTAAAATTAAAAAACTAGGAGTAAAAAACAAAAACTAAAGAAATTAAAATCTAACTAAAAAAAATTGAAACTAAAACAACAAAACTAACTGAAACTAACTATATTTTCAAATATAAAAAAAATGTATAATATTTACTTATATAAACTGGAATAATATTTTTTAGGCGCTGGTCATGCTGAAGATAATTTTCTTCTTTTTTATCGTCCACGATTAGGTGAAAAACGACAAATTAAAAAAGGAACAAAAGATTATTTAATGATGCAAATAATGACAAAATTGTGGACAAACTTCGCCAAAACTGGGTAAGGATTTTTTTCCTCCTCCCTCTTTTTTTTCTCATAAAAATTTACAAATTTAAAAATTTATTTAGCGATCCAACATCAGCAATCGATGACCTAATAAATATCAAATGGAAACCAATTTCCAATTGTCATAAATTTTATCTGAATATAGATGAAGAAATTGCTTTAAAAGAAAATCCAGAAGAGAAATCGTGGAATTTATGGAAACCTTTTTGGTCAGTTAAGAAAACAAATCAAAATTAATACAATATTGTTTTTTTCGAAATCAAAGAATTAAAAACAATTTTCTAAAAATAAAAATTGGGAAAAAAATTTAATTATACTACAATCAGAATAAATTTTATGAGTATTTTTTATTTACTATTATAATAATTATAAAGTCATGAAAACAGTCAGAAGGAAATAAAAGAGAAAAAAAAATTGGATATAATTTTTTTTCTAAAAGGTAACAAAAAATTATATAATACTCGAATAAAATGAAATACTTCTGACAAATACAGGAAATGTAAAATCATTCCTGATAAAAAAAGGTACTATAATACATTTGGTATAATGTACTATTGGAATATTACAATAATAATAACAATAATAATAAAATAATAGATTTGACAAAAAATTTAAAAAATTAATATTAATGTCAAATTGAATATTTTTTTTTAAAACACTTAAAAGTGTACGTGTATCTTAATCTAGCCTATGTACTCTTTAGATATAATAATATATATATATGTATATATTTATATAAGATATTTATATATAAATTACAATGTAAAAACAAGAGACGGACATATTATTTAAAGATCTAATATGAAGCCGCATAGTGATTTTTTTGTTTCACAATCTACAAATGTGTAATTTCTTTTTTTCATTTACTGAAAACTTGTGATTTAGCAAAAATAGAATACAATTTAAAAGAAAGGTCACATCCGTTGAATTCGGGGTGCAGACAAATATAACGTTATCTTTTTTTTTTTTTTCTAAATACGAAAAAAATATCACAATTTACACGAATACTTTTGAAGCTATTTATAATTAAAATTGTGTAAAAAGAAAGAAATAATTATAATTTTTTTTCTTTATCAAGCGCTATCGATGCTATTTTGAGCAATAAAAAAGTATAAGAAGTCAATTAATTTTACACGTATTTGTTTTTTTCTTTAATTTGAGTTTTCATTTTCATTGTGGTTATAAATCTTGCTAAATTCTCAATCTAATCTATTGGTTTTTCTTTTGTAACAAATTTGGCAAATTCCAATAAGTCCTCGTTTTTTCCCCCCGTTTTTTTCTCAACTCCTCTTCATTAAAACGATCCATACTGTTATAGAGTGATGTTGCTTCTATATGTGTGTTGATTATTATATACCAAACAAGTATAATTTTCAAGTAAAAATGCTGTTTTTTTTTTTTTTTTGCTCTAAAGCGTGTACGTTCAAACATTGTTTTTTTCTTTCTTCAGAATTTATTTTTTAGTAAAAAAAAAGAAAATGCTCTTGAGGACTTCCTGATAGTAATCTCCAGCCTCGTTTAATATTCAAGTATTGAATAATAGCACGAATGCAAATTAAAACACCTGTAAGGGAAATTTTTTTGATTAATTGTGAATCAATTATAAAATAATTATAAATTAATTATTATTAATTAGTGACAATTAAGAAACAAAATTCAGGATTGACAAATAATTATATAATAATTATATAATAAATAACAAATTTCTTTTAATTTCTTTTCCTAACATTTCTTTGATTTCCAGACATTAATTAAAATTCTTTAAAAAATTTAATTATTTTTTAATAGTATTTTAGGAAATTACAATTATTTCAAAAATTTTTAATTACTTGTTTATAAAAACTCAATTACCTTTAAAAAGAGAATTGAAATATTTTACAAAAACAAATTTTTTAGAATTTCAAATATTTACTAACTATTAAATTAAAATTTTTCGAAAATTCAATTTTCATAAGAATTTGTAATTAAATTCTTTAATTAATTCAATTATTTCTGAAAATTAAAAGTGTTTTTTATACTAAAATCTTTTGAAAATTAATTCAAATTAATTTTAAGAAAGTTATTCTAGAATTTAATTATTTAAAATCGAATTCAATTATTTAACGGAAAATTAAAAAAAAATCATGGTATTATTTTTAAATTCATTGGGATTCAAAAGTTTTCAAAGTGAAAAAAAATTAAAGGAGAATTCAAGTTTTCTAAATAAAAAATGTTTTTAAACACACAGTTTTGATAAAATTCCCTAATTTCCCTGAATATTTTCATTTTCCCCAATTTTCTTAATCAGTAGCATCCCTGAAATTATTAATTTATTGTTTACCGAATGCCATAATCAGGAACCATAACCAGGAATTTTCACGAGAAGCTAAGTCAGTTGAGTGTTTGACAATTAATGTCCATTTTGTCAAAGAGAGACCAAAGCCTGCCAAGGCTCCATATCGAGAGGCAACTGTATGACAGAAGCACATCAACAAAAGGAATCCAATCCAATTGAAGAGAAAAGCAACTGAAAGAAAGGTTTCGTATTTTATTTTTCTACTCTCTTTCTCTAAAAAATAATTCAATTATTTTTATAAATAATAATTCGCAAGAATTCGAAAGAATTAAAATATTTTTATAAATAATAAAATCCTTCAAAGGAATTCAATTATTTTCATAAATAATGAAATGTTTCGGTGGAATTCAATTATTTTCAATTTTAATAATATTATTTAAATTCAATTATTTTCAAGTGTTTTAATAAAAATTCAAATATTTTCAACAATTTTGATAAACAATTCTTCGAAACAATTAAATTATTTTTATAAATTGTAAAATTGTTGGCAAGAATTCAATTATTTTTGTAAATAATAAAATTCTTCTGAGAAATTTAATTATTTTCATAAATATTAAAATTCTAGAAAGGAATTCAATTATTTTCAATACAATTTTAATAAAATTTCTCTAACAGGTTTAATTATTTTTAAAAATTGTAATAAAATTTTTCTAAACAATAATTTAATTGTTCACAAAAGTTTTTAATAAAATTCTTTGTAAATTTCAATTATTTTCAATTAAAATTATTTTTTAAAATTACAATATTTTTACGAAATTTAATGAAATTCTTCTAAAAAAATGTAATTATTTACCAAACTACGATAAAATTGTTTAAAAGATTTAGTTTTAATTTAATTTTCGATGAATAATTTTAATATAATTTAATAGAAAAATTGTTAATTATAATTAATAATAAACACGATTATTTTGAAATTTTGAAAATTTTAATTACATTTTCTCGAAAGAATTCAATTATTTGAAAAAATGTTGATAAAATTCTTGAAATGAATTCAATTATATTCAAATTTTTTTCATAAATACTTTACAAGAATTCAATGATTTTCAGTACATAAAAAATTTAATTATTTCTGAAAATAATTGAATTCTTGAATAGAAGTTTATTAAAAACTTTCTAAAATAATTGAATCCCTGCCAAAAAATTTATTATTTCTGCAAATAATTGATTTTTTTTGTAAAATTTTAAAAAATAAGTGTATTTTTGAGAAGAATTTTATGAAAATTACATTTAAAATATTTGAATTCCTGGGAAAAATGGACTATTTATTGATATAATTGAAATTTTCGAAGAAATCATTTAAAAATGGAATTGAAAATAAGTGAAATTCAAATTCTTATATAAGAAGTTTATTATTTATAGAAAAATAATTGAATTTTTTTACGTAGATTTTTATTATTTATAAATTGACTTTTTGCAAAGGATTTTTATTACAATTAGTTAAAAATAATTCAATACTTCATAAAATTCAATTACTTTAAAATTTTTCAGTAAAAATTATTAAAAAAAAACTTCACTATTTTCAAGAATATTGAAATAAATTATTAAAAACAATTTAATTATTTTAAAGAACTGTAATAAAATCTTGCCAAGAATTAAATTATTTTTAATACAATTTTAAATACATTTTTCTATGAAAGAATTCAATTATGGAAAAAAATGTTGATAAAATTCTTGAAATGAATTCAATTATGTTTAATTATTTATTATAATAATTAAAAAATTGTTTTGCCAAAAAGCAAATATTTTGATATAATTGAAAGCTCACCCAAGAAAGCAGTGAAAAACATAAAATCTGTGCCGAGCATTCTACTTTCGGCCAATGCATCGCCCTCGACTCCATCGATGTCAATTGTAAGAATTGCTGACGGTTGTTGTTGTCTGATTCCACTAGGCTATGAAATAAGAAAAATTAAAAAAAAATAAGATTAATGGAGGTTAATAGATAAGAATAATTACCACATGAATTTGAGGATGTATGTGAGGAATTGCTTCTCCTTGAAGTGTTTTTTCACGTTGAACTTCCTCATAACTGGGTAATTTTGTAGCCACATCGTATGGAGGAGGTGCAGAAAAATCTGGCTTCGGAGGTGATATCACATCTTCCTCTGCCTACATTGAAAATGATAAGAAAATTATTTTTGACTAAATTCTCATTATACATTGGCCTTTATCACAACAATTAAATATAGAAATAAAATCAAGTTTCACTCTAAATTCGATTTTAACTTCAATTTCCACTACTTTAACGATTTAACTATTAAACTATAACATTTACAATCGTAAAAATTTAATGACATTCATAAAACATTGCATTGTCATTGAATTATTAAAATAAAAATCCCTACAATTAATTGACAAATTCAATATTAATATTTTAGCTATTATTACCATTTGTGTTGTTGTTGTTATTGTTGTTGTTGGGGTTTCAGAATTAGGCTGATTAAGTGTCATATTTGAAGTAACACTAGCAGAAGCAGCGGGTAATTCTACTGTCAATGTTGGAACGTCTTTTTGTGATGTTTCCCCCGAACTATTATCGTTCTCCTAACAAATAAAAAAAAAGAAATATATCAAAACACTCGAAATGCTTAATCAATAAAACAAATTCTCCGTCCCCTTAATAATGCAAATAAGCACCAAAATAAAAGCACACATTATGTTATTATTATAAAAATTTCTAAATATTTACCAATTTACTCAATTTGTGAAATGTTAAACAAAATCGTGAAATAAGGAAAGAAAATTGTCAACACTACAATCTGGTGGAATTGTTACATTTTAAAAACATTAAATGAAATCGTAAATATATATATATAATTTACGACTTAAAAATTTCTAGTGCTCGAAAAATTATTTTATTAATATTTGACATACCAAATTGGAACGATTATTATTATCCATAATCTGTAGATTTTTTAATTTCAACTTCAATATTGTTATTAATTCTTTTTTAATATGTGGAAATGTTTATCAGTTTGACAACTTTTATTCACTTTAAAAACCTATACATTTGATGGCTGACAGATGGATAATATTCTAGTATAGACAAGAATGGATAAAATCACTTATCATTGACAGCTCTTTAATGCCGTGTATTTATTATTATTTCTGCTACAACGTCAAATTATTTCAATTATTTTCAACGTACTTGTTATTTTCTCACAATTGTTTCTAAAAAAAATTCTAAACAATTTGGAATAAAATCACTTGGGAACAATGTCAAAGTGTCAAAAGTGAATTTTTAATTTATAACCTTTTTAACCTTCTAATGATAAAATGGATAAAATGTCAAAAAAAATATATTGAAATATTGAAGAAATTTTAGAGATTCTCATTGGTTAAAAATCGTTCATTCACGGCTTAGTATTCAAATTAGTAAAAATGAATATTTTAGAAATTAGTCTTTACTAAACAGTTTAATTAATTTAGATTGAAAAGTGAATTTTAAAAATAACATTGATGGTAAGAAATTATTTATAAATATACTAAATGAATATTTAATTTATTTTGAAAAGAGTTGTAATAGCTTGTCCAAATGATGGTTTATTTCTATTGGCTGCGGACTGTATTACCGACAGGGTTTACCGGAAGTACTTTGGGAATTTTTTATTCTCAGGGAAAAATTCAATTGAAATTGTAAATATTTGTTGTTTATAGATAATAATAAAAATAATATAAATAATTAAACAGTAAAATTATTCGCGATCAATTTAATGCGAATTTACTTTCTTGAATGTTATTAGAAAATTTTATCGTTTTACAACGAAAATGCACTTTTTCCACAAAATGGCTGACGTATTTGTTGGAAGATGTTAAATAGGGCAAAATTAGACACCAATGTAATATTTCGAGAAAAAAAATTCTTTATTTGACGGAAAAAAGAATTTTTTAGTCGATCATTTGACTAAGGAGTTCTTTTGGAAGTGTTTGACTAACGTAGTACAAAACGACGCGAGCTTGCCGTTCTTGCGAGTCGCTTCAGTCGTGTTTAGTCGCTTGTGTGTAAAAGAGGTGATAAAGTTTTTTTGGTTGAAATGTCGGAAGTTTTTAAATTAGGTGATTTAGTATGGTGTGTATCAAGTGCTTTTTAAATTACGTAATATTTCCTAAGCAATATTATACAAGGATTATTGTTCATTTATTAATCGAATATTCTATGGATTTCAGGGCAAAAATGAAGGGATTCTCGCCGTGGCCTGGTCGGGTGAGTTGCATTTGCCGCTTGTTAACGGCTCCACTTTACCTTACACACTTACACAATTCACTGTTGCGCGTATAAGCATCATTACTGTCATGGCTAAGATAATGTATTTTCATTAAATTTAAATTTCATTTAATATTTTAGAGTTTTTAAAAGTTTCTTATTTGTATATCCGTTGACGCTGCTGTTTAGCCGTAAAATGTTACGTCTCCCGCCACACCCGCCCTTCGAATTCAAATTGGCGCGCAGACAGTGAAATTATAACCTAAATTTGACGTGTTATTTTCATTATAATGCATTTAGTTTCTTTTATTTATAAAAAAAATGTTTACTTTGTCGTTTAGTGTAATTGTTTTGCTCTCTAACATACTAGAATGATTTTGTTTAACTGTCAGATGTTCTTTTATTTTTACTCTCGGTTTGTTGGTTCTGACGTTTGTTATTATTTCTTTTCAATACTGTAAATCTTTAATTATTGTAATTTTTGTAATTACTAAAAATGTTATTTAATTGTTGAACTCTTTAATTCTCACGTAGTTTGAAAAAAGGGGGATTTATTGCAAAGTCAACTGAGAAGGGTTGTTTTGATCTTGTTTTATTTTTTAAACACAATTTTTGTCACACATTTTTATTTATTCGTATTCTTTATTTTGGTATTTGAATATATAAAAGAAAATATAAACCTAACCTTTATTACTAATTATTTGTAATTATTGTGAATACTAATTTTTACAATATTCGAAGGTATCGCTTCCCTCCAAGGATTTAAAGAGACCAACAAATCCGAAAAAAGGTCCAATTCAGTGCATTTTCTTCTTTGGAACAAATAACTAGTAAGTTTTTTTTCTATTTTTAAAATGGTTCTTTACTATTTGTTGTTAAATAATTGGTTGTTTTATTTCTAGTGCCTGGATAGAGGAGGCGAATATCAAACCCTATCATGAATTTAAAGAAACTTTGGTTAAATCAAGTAAAACTGGTCATTTTAAAGAAGCTGTGGGAGCAATAGAGGAATTTATTGCCAAAGGAGAGGCGAGTATTTTTAAATAATATTTCCCTTTTTTAAATTTTATTGTTTCACGATTAAAATTGCTATTCGAAATTACAAGATTTTTACTTGGCAATTTTTATTTTAGATTTTCGAAGATGGATTGGATCCTGATTCGTTATTTGATCGACTCAAAGAAGACACAGTTCCCGCTGAAAAGAAAACACCCAAGACTCCAAAACCCCGAAAGGTTAGTTTATTATCTTGACTATTATAATTTATTACTTTGACTGATTTTATCTGAATAATTTCTATTTACTGCTTCTTTAAATTAATTATTATTAGGTAAAAGAAATTGTTGAAATTAACGATATATATTGAAACCGTATTTACAATTATTTTCCACTTATTTAATACTTTCTAATTGATTTAATACTAATTTTTCTAATTCACTTAGTACTAATTTAAGAAATGATTAATTTACAAAAAAATGTAAACAGTGTTGAAAAGTAACATGTGAATTGTCTTCTGCAGGAAACGCCAAAAGTAAAGAGAGTTGACAGTGCAGAAATTCGTCGTCCCGCCAAGAGACAAAGACGAGAGTCAAGCACAAGCAATAGCATTCGAGTAGGAAGTCTTAGTCCAGCTTTAAATCATTCTGCAACATCGAGAAAATCAGGATCAACATTATTGAACAGGCCATCAAATATCGCCAGACCTGTAAGTATTTTTTTTGTATGAAATATTTTTTTTCTTTTACCTTTACCCAAGGCAATAAAATAATAGTTATTTTTCCGGAGAAAACATTTTTTTTTTTAATTTAATTTGAGAGTTAATGATTCAACTTCTGTGCAGGGGGTTTTGCTTTTTCAACTCTCAATGATTATCTTCTAAAGAATACCGTGAGCGCCTCTAACGTCAATTATGTGTAACCAGTATTATTTCACGTAATGAAAAATTTAGTCCCCTGATTTTACTCGACATTAACAATTTTATTTTATGAGAGTATAGAATTTGTTTATTAGTCGATGAAATGCATTTTAATCTGATTTTTTATTATTTCATTCTTGATTCCTTTTGGGAGGATTTTCTCCATATTTGGAAATAATTTAATCTGTTAATGAAAGGCTTGGAAAAAGCTTCTTTGTTCAGATGTAAATTGTCCACTAAATGAAACGTTTTTGATTAGTTTATAAATTATACTTAAATTAATTGATTTTAAATTACTTAAATTAATTAATTCTAAATTACTTAAATGAATTACTTAAATGAATTTCTTAAACGAATTACTTGAATTAATTTCTTAAATTAATTGCTTGAATTAATTTTCTAAAACTAACAAATTTGCTATAAATAAAAAAAAATCGTTAATATTATTGAAATGTTTTATTTGAATCTTTGGAAAATATTTTAGTCATTAAATTATTAATTATTGAAATTTATTTTACATGGATTGTTCTTGTATTATTATTATTAACAATTATTGACAATTAATAATTAGTATTCATGTAATATTTTACAGGAATAATAATATTATTATTTAATAATACAGGAATAATATTATTTCTCTTATTCTATCATTTCTATTATTTTATAATATTATTCCAGTAGAACAATGTATAGAAATATTTCGCATAAATTTGGAATATTTGAAAGCATTTGTGAATATTAAATATTAAATAAATAAATATTAAAATATTCTTGAAATATAGATGGAATATTTTTTAATTATATTGCTGAAGTATAAAAAAAATTTAAAACCGAATATTAATTCTTTTACAGATGTATATTTTTCTACTTAAATTTTAATGCTTTAATACTTAAATTATTATTTTCCTAATAGAGTAATATTTTTTATAAATAATTTGGAATTTGAAACTAAAAAACTTTAAAAAACTTAATAGAAATTATGGGAAAATTAAGTTTAAAGGGTTATAAGATTAAAATAGTTTAAAGAAAATGATTTGAAAAAAAAACACTTTTGCCTTTATATAATTTGTTATCTGCTTTTAGTTCTCTTGAATAAATATTTCATATTCCTGGATTTCTTCTCCTTGATATACATTTGAATTTTGAAAATATAGATTTTAGATTTACATTCATTTCTCCATGTATTTACATCTTTTTGGATTTATACATTTTTTTATCGGATAAATTTTGAAAATATATTTTTGGTAACATATTTGTTTCATATTCTTTTAACATTTAGACGATCTTACCCATGGCTTTGTGTTCAGAAATTTGTAACAAAAGTTTTAGAGTGAACTAAACGTACAGGCAAAAATGTTCTCAAAAATCGTCTATAGCTTTAGATTAGTCCTTTCAATTTAATTTCTGTTCAATCCTGAATTTTAGAAAACGAGGTAAAAATACATTCTTGTTGCACAATTATTTATTATTATTATTATTATTATTATTATTATTATTATTATTATTATTATATTTTATCTTTATAACGTTTCAAGTTTATAATATTATATATTTATAATAATTATATTTATTATTTTTATAATATTTCATCCTTTTGAAGTTTTATATTTATAACGTTTTATATTTATAATATTATAATAATAAATTAATTACAATGAAGAAAATGAATAAAATTTAAATTTAATTAAGTAAATTACTCATTAACTTTTTACATTTCCAACGAAATATTTAAAAAAAAAACGTAGATTTTTTTTAATATTAAATTATGGTTTCTATTTTGATGAATGGAAGAAAATCATTAGAGACAATTGGACTTTAGTATTTCTCTCCAATGCAGGTGACTCCGCCATTGGACGTGGAGACTCTTTCTCAAACGCTGAAGGAGAAGAACATCATGCCATCAACGCTGAAATTCGGATTTCTGGGACTTGGAATTATGGGCAGTGGTATAGTTAAAAATTTAATCAACAGTGGTCACAAGGTTATTGTCTGGAACAGAACACAAGAAAAGGTATGTTCAATCTTATCTTTTTTGTTCAATTGAAAAAATTAAATTATAATTCGCTATATTATAAATTATAATTACTGTAATTATAATTTAATATTATTAAGCAGAACTATAATTTAATATTAATTACACTAATTATAATTTAATATTATTAATTACTGTAATTATAATTTAATAATATTAGTTATAATTATTATAATTTAATAATATTTGTCAGAATTATTATAATTTAATAATATTAGTTACAATTATTATAATTTAATACTATTAATTAGAGTTATATTTTAATACTATTCAATTAAAATTATTGTGATTCAATATTATTCATTCGAATTGTTATAATTTAATTATTACTTTCCATAAAAGGAAAAATTTATTTCAATTAATAGGAGTTTTATAAAATGTAAAAATATGCCTTTGATCAAATGGTGAAATGGAATCCTTGAGCGTTGATATTATTCATATGGTGCAGTGAAGTTATTTTATTTAATGAGTTATGAAATTCTGCCTTTAGAAATCTGTAACAAATTTTTGAAATTAAGTTAACTTTCAATAAATATTTATCTAGATATTATAATATTAATTTAATATATAATGTTGAAGAATATTATTATATAAATATAATTTATATATTAAATTAATATTTCAATGTCTAGATAATTATAATTGACTAAACTATTAATTTTATATATTATAAATTATAATATTATATCGTATACAATATTGTATAATATAGTAATTATATATTTTAATATGTATAATATATATTATATTTTCATCTATATTATAAAATGTGCAAACAGAATAATAATAATCGTTACGATTAATTTTTTACAGTAATTGACATTAAACAAAATATTTAAATTGATTATGATTATTTATTAAAATTGACAGATACAGATTTTTAATAGTATAGTATTTCGCTCTACAAATTTTTATAATTTGAAAACTGCTTTTTTTAACTTTTACAACTGAATTTGTTTTAATACACCTTTAATATTCAGTTATTTAATTATTTAATATCACAGTATTTTTATAATATAAAAATAATTTTTTTAAGTTAATGATGTTTCCTTTTATCTTTGATGTTTTAGTCGCACTTTAAATTTTATTATATTTACTCATGGTTCCAAACTCTAGTTATATTACGGCAACAGATTATAAGCCATTTAATTTTCTCTTTTTAGACAGTTTTTAACAAAGATAGAAAAGAATTAATTTCAGCTACTGTAAATTTGATTATTTATTTCAACTAGAATTTTTCTTAAGGAATATTAAGTTATAAATATTAAGTTATATTTTTTTCTAACTTTTTCCGAAAAGTTTTATGGATACTTTTAATTTCTCTTTAATGGACTATTTAAGTTTGTTTCATTCTTTCCATTAAATTTAATTTGTTTTTCCGTTTGGCAAAAATTCTTTCCATTAAATTTAATATGCTTTTCTGTTTTCTTTTTTTGTCAAAAATGATTCAGTTTTTTGATTAAAATTTTTCAATAATTATTAAATTATTGAATAACAATTCAATATTAAATTATTAATACAATTATTAAATTGTTTGCAATAAAAATGTTACATTTTTTAATGATTTTGTTTTTGAGAAAAAAAATTAAATTTAATGGCACTTAAAAACTAATTAGTTAATAAAAAAGTGGATCTAAAAAGTATCTCTATAGCTATTTGAGAAAAAAAAAGAAAGACAAAATTAGAATATTAAGTAAAAAATATTTTATTTCAAAACATTTATAGGTGAAGTTTCGAAAATTATTTTTTCAGATAAATAAAAAAAAAATTATCGTGTTTTTTTTAAATTAATGTACAATTAAAATTGACTTTCTTCGCAATCTATATTATTATTTATAAAAAACAGAGTTTGAAAAAAGTAACAAAATTGGGCTCGATGTTATTTAGGAGGTAAATCGATTCTATTGATTTCTCACGCCTTATCTATATGTATATTTTGTGCAGAATTAAACTCATACACTTTTTTTTTCTCTTCATCGTCGTTCTAGTTTCGTTACATCTTTTTCTTTTCATTTTTCCTCTCTCGCTATAATATAGGTATTTTTGACGATATTCTATATTTTTTTTTTAAATTGATGTAATAATTTTTACATTTCTATTTTTTCTCATTGTAAATGTATTTTTTTTCTCTTCAGTAAATTTTTTCTCTTCTCGTTTATAGTGAAGAGGAAAAGTTTTTTCTACAATTATTATGGAAAAAAATGTAATTTTTGTTCGATAAGGAATTTTGATGAAAAATAATATAAAAGATCTCGTGATTGTCACTAATAGAATAGGAACTGTAAAAAATATTGTTACTTCTCTGCGTTTGTATGTAGATAATCTGAGCACCCAACGAATCATTTGGACATTGACACTGATTGTACAGTAGTAGGGATTCAGTTCTCGTCAACATTGTGACTTCTCTCTTTTCTTTCTCTCGATCTTTTTCCCTCTCGAGTCGTATAGCGCAGTAATCTTGATGAAGCTTTACATTTAAGTGTACGTAGTTTTTTTTTTATTATTTCTTTCCGGTAGTACAACAAAATATGTACAATAATGTGCTTATCGCTAAACGTAAAAGGCAAATGTCTCCAAGTTAGACATTAATACATTCATGAAATATTCGCTTTTTATTTTCTTTGATAGTTTCTCTCTCTCGAACAGTATTATAGATTCAATTCAATAGATTTGTGAGTATTTTTCTCATAGTCAAAGATGATCACGAGTTTCGTTACGTAATTTCTCTATTATTTACATTTTATCTTTTCTTTAGTAACTTTTTATATAATTTTTTTTTTTGTTATTTTTTTGTAATTTTTTTTTATTTTTATTTTGTAAATTGCATTTACATTTTTAATTTTATTAGAAAAGAATTTCAAATTTTTAAATACATAGGAAATTGTTTCATTCAATTATAGAAACGAATTAATTTTTTCTTCTAAATATTTTTTTACTTCTGAATATATTTTTCCTTTTTTTGCCTCTAAATTTTTTTTTTTGTTTTTGCTTCTAAATATTTTTTTACTTTTCTTGCTTCTATTTATATATAATTTATTATTATAATTGTTATTCAATTTTATTGAAATAAAAATGAAAATATTCGGCTTTAAATTATAATTTATTCATTTTTTGAATGTTGCGTAAGTTTGTGATAATAGTTTGATAACGAAATTAGTTGCTTTTATGATACGAAGAGATTTTTTATTAAATAGATCGTTTGAACAATTGTTCTCAATGATATTTAATGTGGGCTGTCGTAGAAAATAAAAAAAATAGTTACAAAACAAACAACTGGTAAAAACCTTGTAAAGTTTTGACACGCTCAAGAGTTGAAGTTAAAAATTTTTGTTTAATTTAACGAAAGTGTTAAAGGTCATACACGATGGATCGCTTGATAAAATTCACATATTCCTATTTGATGGTCCATTATTTTAATTTTAAAATTTATTTAAAAGTGAATTTTTCTTTTGAAAAAATTCAGATTTTGCTTTTTGGAAAAATAAATTCTCTTAGGAATTTGTACTAAAATGATTCGAATTTAAAAAAATGGGAGTAAAAAATGATCTAGAAGTTCCGCTTGAAGAATATTTTTTTTTTTCAATTGTTGATCATAAATGTTGTGAACTTCACTGAAGTAAAAAAAAGTCAGGATTTTCATCTCAAGTTGGAAAGTTTCGAATTTTTAAAAATCGAGCGTTCAGATATTGAGAATTGTAAAATGAAGTTGAGAATTAAAATTACAAATTAAAAACTAAATAAAGAGAATTAAAATTGTTTCTAAATAATTAAAAAGAATTTCAGTTTTCGAAAATTCGATAGTTTTTCAAATTTTTAAAAATCAGCTCAGATTATTGAGATTTGAAAAAAAATTTGTGAATTTGAATTTCAAATTGAAAAATAAATATATAGAGAATGAAAATTGTTTCTAAATAATTAACGAGAATTTTCAGTTTTCAAAAATTCGAAAATGTTTCAAAATTTTTGAGAATCGAGAATTGAAATACTGGAATTTATAAAAAGTTGAGAATCAAAATTGTAATTTAAAAATAAATATAGAGAATTAAAACTGTTTTTAAATAATTAAAAAAGGTTTCTCCTTTCAAAAATTCGAAAATTAAAAAAATTAAAATTGATATTAAAAAAACTGAAATTGAAAGAAATTTGATATTAAAAAATCGAAATTGAAAAAATTGATAAAAAAAAACTGAAATTGAAAAATATTGATAAAAAAACTAAAGTTGAAAAAAAATTGATATTAAAAATAATTGATGTTAAAAAAAATTGAAATCGCATAAAAATAAATTTGAGATGTTTAGCACACGATTCTCTTTATTAAAAATCGCTTACTTTGAAATTAGCGTTTTGCACATTTCTAATTTTAATTATTCCACAAAAATCTCTCGACATGTGAGATTTGAGGCTTTTTATAATGAGATTATTATATATAGAAAATATTTTAATAACCAAGGAAGCATAAGTACGAGTCTTTGTGTAGTCGCTAGATTCAAGGAAGAACGTCCCGTTGAATTCGATGTGATACGTTTTTTGTTTTTATTCTCTTGTTCAAAAGAAAAAAATGTTTTTCACAATAACGAAAAACATTTTTTTTTGAAATTACTTTTAAAGAAGTAATGTCCGAATCCACACGAATTAAAGGCCATTTAATTAGGTGTCAGAAGAATTTTCCACATTCAATGGAATTTTTTTTTTCTATATAAAAATAAATATTTAATATAAATATTTCTGATTATAAATTATTTCCTACGAATAAATATTTATATTCGTTTGTTAATTTAGGAATATTTATTCGTAAGAATGAAAAATTGAATTAATGTTGTGAAAAAAGTCTTTCGATTTAATTATTGACGAATAATGGGATGAAAAAGAAGTCTTATTTTTGATAATAGATTTTTGCATATTTTTTTTTTTTGATAAAATCTTTATTTTGTCTAAAATTGCTTCTGAAGAGATTTTTTTCTGACTTTACGTACATTTGCCGTTTATTTTAAAATTTCTTTTAGTTTTTTTTTATCAATTCGTAATATTTATTTTAATTATTAATAATCAAATATATTTTTTCATTTGTCAAACAATCTTACAAGCACTATGTTTAAAAGAGAGTAATAAAACTCGTTTAACGAGAGTCCTGAGGGTGTGAAGAGAGAACTTTCTTTAGCACTCGCCTTTTGTTGTTATTTTCTTTTAAATTTATGATAAACGAGAGAAAAGAAAATTATTTAGGAAGATTCGCTGAATGCGAAACGAAATAAAAGTCAGTCTTCTGTCACGCCCACTTATAAGCAGTCATAAGAGAAATTGCGAATTTTTTCTCCTTTGATAGAAAAGATTTTGCGAAATTGATAAATAAGGGAGGTGTTCTCTCTCTCTCTCTTTCTCGCGATTTGTTTATTTTTGAAAAATATTTCCTTGACTGTCTGGCAATTTTTCTTCTTTCCTTCATTTTTTTTTACACACAAACACACTGTCGATGCATCAATTATTGTTTCTTGGCACAACGCTCTTATTTTCCTTTGTACACTTCTCTCAGGTACTTGTCAAAAAAAGGGGAAAAAAACAGGAGTTGACACTCGCGAGGAAGCACACAATGCACATGAAACACTGTCACATTTCATTCTTCTTTCCACAAAAGAGAAATTATAATAATAATTATAGAAACTAATAAAAATCCCCGAAGCAAAATAAAAAAAAAATAGTCTTGCACAGCATTGATTAATGTTTCTTTTTCTTTTGTAGTAATGAAAAACTGATGTGTTGTCTAGACTAGAGTGTTGTCTCCCTTGGTAGATCAGGAAGGCTCGTACTCGGTGCAAGGAGACTTAGAACTTCAGGCGTTGCTTTCATTTCTTTGGCGAGGAATTCAGCGCTAGCACCACGAAACATTGGTCTATCATATTCGGAACCATGATCAATTGTCGTTGTACTACCAAATTCCTCGAAACAATGGAGAAATAATTTTGATGATCCTATCGGTGGATCGAGTGGTGGCGGTGGACCAGTTTCAATATAATTTATATGAATTTCCTCGAGTAAAAATTGTCCCCTTGGACTTGACGATGATAATTCTGTTGGTGTATAATATTCACTGTTAACATCATCAAGACTACCACCTGCCGCGAGATCCTCGAGTTTTGCCTTAAAATAAATATCAAGCTCTGCTGTACTTATATTCTTCGGATCAAATACTGCCGATTCACTTTTCCCGCATGAACCACTTCGACAATTGTCGAAATAAAGATTTGGCAAATTCTCGAGAACTTTATTTAATGTTTGTTGTTGATATTTACAACTTTCTCGTAAGCGAAGCACTTGATGAGCACTAAATTTCCTTATCTTGTTCCGCTGGAAGACGTAATTTTCACGCACCCAATTCAATTGACCTGTTGAATAGTCACGCACTCGTTTCACCTGCGAATTTATAATTAAACATCTGTTTAGTTTGCCGTTACTTTTGCCCTCTTTTTCTTTCTTATTATTATTCTAGCAGGAAAAATTTACTTTTCTGATAAATAATAATTTTAATTTTTTACAATAGAAAATTTGTTTTAAATGTTTGTATTGTTTCGAAAATAATTGGAAAAATGTATATATTATTTTTAAATATTAAAAGTGTTTAGAATTTACTTTGTTATACTTTCATTGATTTTGAGTATAAATTTGAGGAAAACAGTGTTGATGATTAAAGGAAGCCATGTTGAGGTGGTAACAATTGTAGAATTGAAAGGCTTTTAGGAAAATTGGGAATTACCTGTTCGTAATATTGATCACGTAGTGTTGTTAGGTGATTTGTTCCGTAATCCCGAATATCGCGTATGTGACGCATTTGACCCTCGTAACTCTCTCTGATCCATTCCACCTGCTGAGCGCAATTGTCCTTAATTCTGTGCACTTGTTGGGTATAATTCTCCCGTAACCTCTCAAGTTGCTGACTTTTGTAATTTTCAATATTGTCCAGCATTTGATAAATTTGTTTTGCCCGTGGCGTTGCACCCACGTGCCTACAGCAGAGACACCATTTCTCCAAACCACATCTGCGACAAAATCCAAAAAAAAAAGAAAAAATACAAAAGAACAAGAAAAATCTTTTATTAGCAATTTCTAAATTTTCAAAAATTTTTGTCCTATTTCTTAATTAGAAAGAATGTGTTTAGAAAGAGTAAAATTAGAAAAGAAGAGGGTAGAAATTGGAAAAATGAAATTAAACAGTGGGTAGAAATCGGAAAGAGTAAAATTAGAAAAGAGGGTAGAAATCGTAAAGAATAAAATTAGAAAAGTGGGTAGAAATTGGAAAAAATGAATAAATTAGAAATAGATTTTTCTAAATGAATTGTTAATAAGAGGTATTTTTTTCTCTAGCGACAAAAAATGGTTAATTGCAGGTATTACAGGGTCGAGTGTCATTCTCGTAAATGAATTAGAAGAAAGATTAAAATGAACATCCTTGTTGAAGACTAATTAACCAGGGTGAGGCTAAATGAAAAAGCAAATCGAATGGAGTGACGTTTAGGGTCTAATTGAATATAAGTTGATTAGAACTTTTTGATGAATTCTCGCTCGACAATGTCTGGTGATCACTGTGATAGAGAAAAAAAAATTCTTCCAATAATAACCGAAAATTGAAATTAATTGTGAATTTAGTTTTTTCTTATCGTTACATTGAAATTATTAGTTGGGAATTTGTTGTTTTATCGTTACACTGAAATTAGTTGTGAATTTAGTAATTTTATTGTTATATTCAAATTAGTTGTGAGTTTTGTTAATTTATTTTATTATTGTGTTGAAATTAGTTGTGAATTTAGTTATTTTTTCGTTATATTGAAAATTATAGACAAAATTTGAATTATTTTTATTTAAAACATTGAAAATTGAAGTTAACAAGGAAAAAATGTTTTTGACTTTAAAAAATTAGGTTCTTAAAATTTAATAAATACATAGAAGAATTGAAATTTATTTGAAGAAGAATATTTTGGCATCGGGCAAATACTCAGAAAAAAAGTTTTTTTCTTTTTCAAAAACTTTTCCTTTCTCTGCAAACGATTAATAATTATTCCTTGGTTGAATAAATATTTTTCTTTGTTAAATAAATACTTTTTTAAAATAAATATTTCTTGTTAAATAAATATTTCATTCATAAACAATAATTATTTCTTTCATAAACAATAATTATTTCTTTCATAAACAATAATTATTTCTTTTATAAAAAATAATTATTTCTTTCATATAAATAGTTGATGATTAATAATTAATTAGTTTATTTCTGTTAAGAGTAATAAGTATTTTGCAAAAATCATTCAAAACGAAATATTTAGTTTGATTTGAAAATTTTTAATTTGAAAGAACAATTTCTAAAAAGAAATTAAACGAGCATTTTTAATTATCTCTAGCATTATCAATTAATTAGTTTACTCCCTTCAATAATGAATATTGGAAAAAAAATTCTCTGAGAAATAAAATTTGTAATTTGAATCAAAAACTGTTTAATTGAAAATAATTCAGATCTGCAAGAAAAAAATAATAGTATAAGCTCTTTTTGGGAGATAGAATAATTTTCTTTTGATTCTTTTCTTTGATCAAAAAATTTTTGATTAAATAAAAAACATACGTGGTTCTAAAAAAATCTATTTTTCTCGAAGGAATAATTCCAAATTGTCGAAAGGAAAAATTTTAGAAAAAGGGCAAAAAGTTTTTTTCTGGGTGTGAAGATGAAGAAATATCGAAAATTGGAAAACTTTGTTTTTCTTTCGAACTTTTCCTCATTATCGAAAAATTGAGAGAAGAAAATTGGAAGGAAATTGTTAATAAAAGTTTGAAAATTGTCAATTTTGAAAATAAGTTCGAAACTCTTTCTCGTCTTAATCCTAAGTTTTAAAATTGCCAATTTTGAAAATAAATTCGAAAATGTACCTCATTCTCTTTTAATTAATTTTATATTTGTTCCTCGTTTTTTCATTTTATGGAAGAAAACTAAGTTTCTATGTTTAGTGAAGGAATTTATTAATTTGTTCTTTTTTTTGTTGAGTAGATTAGCGGTGAGAAAATGTTGCTGTGAAATGATTGAAAAGAATTACTTTTTCATTGTGAATTTTGTTATTTACTTACTTGAAAAAAAGATATCGTAGGAACTGTACGAATAATGTTAGAAGTAGAAATCCAGCCGCGCTGGCAGCACCCACAACGTAACTGAGAATCTTAATGTTGTAATAAGTAACTGGATCCATATAAAGAGTAACATAAGTCGTTGAATTTGCTATTGGATTCATCGCAAAACATTTATAAAGTCCAACGTCCTCTCTGAGCAAATGACTAATATAAAGTGAGCCATTTTCAAGTAAGCGTATTCTATTGTTTGTGAAGGGTTTCTGCGGTTCATTGACAAGATGCGCTTGAGGATGTTGAACGAATGTGTCAGGAAATGCAGGATCGGGATTCCAATGAAATGTTATTAATTTCGGTGTAACCCAAGTTAAGGCTGGCGCTGGATTTCCATTGAATTCACATTCAAGTAGAACTGGATGACGAAGAACGTGAAGTTCCTTACCAGATGTTCGCCATAATGTTGGTGGTGTACAATTTAAGTAACGTAGAGCTTGTATTGTATCAATTGTTGCCGATTCATGTGAGCATCGCAATCCAGAATCAAATGCAGTTCTATGTGCATGATATTCGGCCCAACGTACAAACCAAAACATTCGACAATCACAGGCCCATGGATTGCCCTGTAATTGCAATTCCTCGAGTTTCTTTAAACTCGCCAAATTTGCCGGCAGGAATGTGAGATCATTATCGCGAAGATCAATTCTCCTGAGATTTGGTACATCGTCCAGTGAACGTAATCCAATTTCCCTTAATGGACCATTTGTCATTTTGAGAATTTCCAAATTTTTCAAATTCAACAAATCTCCATTGCTGATGATCTCTATTTTATTGTCTTCAATGAGGAGATTTCTCAAAGACGGCACATGCTTCCAAACACCTGGGGGGAAATTATTGACTTGAGTGCGACTCAAACTTAGTCCTTGGAGATTTCCAAGACCCTGGAAGGTGATGTCCATCAAACGATTAATGGGATTACCGGATAAATCCAATTGTTCGAGATTTTTCAATTCGGTGAAAAAGCCACGCGGCAGAACGTCAATTTCATTATTTGCTAGTCCTAGAATGCGAAGATTTGAGAGACCTGAAAAGAGGCGCGATGGTAATCGTTTTAGACGATTCGATGAGAGATCGATTTCTTGTAAATGTTTATTTGGCCGGAAACTGTGATCGGGCAGGGATACCAATTTATTACCGGCGAGATCAATGACACGCAATGACCACGCTGGCTCGAATACTTGATATGGTATCACGGCAAGTTTATTGTTGGCGAAATGAACTTCGTCGAGGAAGTCGAGACTTTGAAACCAGGTTCGTTGAAGGCTGACAAAATTATTGCCAGTTAAATTGAGAATACGAAGTGAATGCAGTGGATGAAATAGATTGCTAGGAAATTCTGTTAAGCGATTGTCACCTAAATTTAATGTTTCTAATTTCACGGTACTTTGAAATGCACCGATCTCTATTGCTTTGATTGCGCTTTGCGTCCATGTGAGATGGCGAAGTTCGGTGTTGATTTTCAATGAATTTGCAGTTACTGTCGATGCGCGTACATCCTTTAATATCACATCGCGAACACTTGGGAATAATTCGAGACCCATGAAATTGCGATCCTCGCAATATAGTCGCCATTCTTCGTTTTCGCATTTGCAACCAGATGGACAGACGACATTTCTTTTTTGAAGAACACGCGAATTCGATGACTCTCCGATGACTAACAGTCCGGCCAAGATCAACCACCATGGTCCCCAAACCACCCTCATTCCTAATACCTGAAAATTTATTTTTTTATTTTATCTTTCTTCTTTCTTTTTTTGCAGGAGAGAATTTTTTTTTTTTTTTTGGACCTACCTATGTTCAAGGCCAGTGTAGGAATTAAATTTTAACCATTTGCAAAGTATCCATTGCTGGGAATGAGAGAGTTACTTGTGCCAGAGTTGTCGACAAACGAAGACATATTGCCGTCGCTTTACAGAGAGGCGAACAATGATAATTTCTTTTATTTTCTTTTTTTTAATGCTCGTTGACCAATCAAATCGCGACGATGAATTTTAGCAGCTGGCGCACGATAGATCCCTTGAATTCCACAGGGGAATTAGATTTTTGATTATTATTATTATTCTTTTGTCACATGATCGCTATGAAAAAAATTGGAGTGAGAAAAAAAAGGGAAATTATTTATATAGAGCGCGATAAAATAACGAAACATTCACCGCGCAGTCTGTAGAAAAACTGACTACTCGCATTACCACTTGACTGACTGTGACTCCCTCGTGGAGAGAGCCTGGTTGCTTTTGGTGCTGAACGGCAACGTTGCCTCGCGCCGACGCTCAAAAACCCTCGGCTTCCCTCGACGAGGAGAGCTCACACAACTATATACATTGGACGAGGAGAAAAAAAAATTATGAAAGAGAGAAGGAAAACCGTGCACGAAGGAGAGATAAATTTATGCGACCTCATACCTGAACCTGGATTCTCAACCGAGGACAAAGGCGGCCATTACCTTTCGCTGTTTCTAATTCTAATATTAAAATTATTACTTTTTTGCTGATATTTTCGATTTGGATTTGAATTGATTTCTTTTCAATGGATATATATAGAGAGAGAGGGGGGTTTTTGTTTCTTGTCTTTAGAATTTTGCTCTCGTGGGCCTTGAAATTAATTTGACGTGTGCACGAGTTTTCGGAAATGATGGAACATCAAATTTTTATTTGCTCTTTTCTTCAGCTATTATTTCAATGATCGTTTTCGATTTCAACTTTTTTAGTTTCTAAAAATATGGCAATTTGTTTTGTGCAATTTTGCTGAAATTTAAGTCTCGAATTTTAAATTCAATCATTGCTTTCTATTTCTGCTTTTTAGCTTCTAAAAATATGGGAATTATTTTGCGAAATTTTGGAGCAATTTTTGTTTTTGGATTTTAGTTTCAATGTTTGATTCAAGATTTTAATTTTCTGAAAATACGAAAATTCGTTTTGTAAAATTTTAGAGCAATTTTAGTTTGAATTTTCGTTTTCGACCTGAGATTTCAATTTTCTGAAAATAAGGAAATTTGAGATTCTAAAAATATGGGAATTCGTTTTGCGAAATTTCAGTGTAATTTTTGTTTTTGGATTTTAGTTTGAATTTTCGTTTTCGATTCCAGATTTCAATTTTCTAAAAATATGGGAATTCGTTTTGCGAAATTTCAGAGTAATTTTTGTTTTTGGATTTTAGTTTGAATTTTCGTTTTCGATTCCAGATTTCAATTTTCTAAAAATATGGGAATTCGTTTTGCGAAATTTCAGAGTAATTTTTGTTTTTGGATTTTAGTTTGAATTTTCGTTTTCGATTCGAGATTTCAATTTTCAGAAAATAAGGAAATTCGATTTATAAAAATTAAGGGCATTTTACTTTCGAGAATTTTGATCTGAATGTGTATTTTTGAAATGGAAGTTTTAAACTTCTAAAAAAGAAGGAAATTCGTTTTTGTAAAATTTTGAATCAATTTTAAGTTTAGGATATTAATTTCAATGTTCGTTAGCAATTTGGAATTTTTAAGTTTCTTTTTTTAAACTTTTTAAGCTTCTAAAAATATGAGAAATCGATTTGGAAAATTTTGGAGCAAATTTATATTTTGGAGTTTAGTTCGATTTATAATTTTCTATTTTATTTTTTAAGTTTCTAAAAATATCGGAAATCGTTTTGTGAATTTTTTAGATTTATTTATTATAATTTTAGTGTAAAATTTTGTTTCCAATTCGAGATTTTAATTTTCTAAAAAAAAAGAAATTCGATTTTAGTTTTTAAATTTCTAAAAATGGAAATTCGTTTTTTGTTTGTATATACAATTTTGAAACTAATATTCAAATTCAAATTTTTCATTTATCAGAAATTAAATTTAAATTACGTAAAGTAGCAAACGAAAAATTTAATTAAAATTTAACTTTTAAATTTTTATTTTTCGTTCTCAATTCGAAATTTTATTTTCCTAAAAAGACGAGAATTAGTTTCTATAAACTTTTGCCCCAGTATAACTTCCAAATTCACTGAATTTTGGCAAACAAATAATTTTTTTCTTTTTTTTTCTTCTTGTCTAATTTTTGTAAATTGTTTGGAATTATTTTCATTTTCTGGCAGAATTTCTATTTAGTGCGATTTTTCGTATTATCAAATATAACTCACGGATGTTTTAACGATTTTATCGCCTTTAATTTTTGTTGCAGTGGATTTGTTTCTGTCTGTTGTCAGTTTCATGCGCGATAACTTATCTTTCATAATAGCTTGATGATAATTCTCCTGATATGCAAATTCCAACTACATGGGAGTAATTTTTTTTCCTACACTAGCGACAAAAAAAAAAAAAAAAAAAAAAAAAATAGAAACGTGAAAAGATTTTCAAAAATTTTTCTTAGTTTTTGCTAGAATTTTTTTTCCTTCTTTTTGTTTCCGTTCTAATATACGATTTCTACTAAATCTCATTTTATAAAATCTATTATTAGATTTTCGCGAATCTTTTAGGAAGTCTTGCCATAATTTAGGCATTTCAAAAGTTGAAATTATTTCTTCGGAATTCTTTTTAATTTTTAATTCTTTAAATTATTTATTTGAAAATATTTAATTCGATTTTAATTTAATTGAATTTTGGAAATATTTAATTCGATTTTAATATAATTGAATTTTGAAAATATTTAATTCGATTTTAATTTAATTGAATTTTGAAAATATTTAATTCGATTTTAATTTAATTGAATTTTGAAAATATTTAATTCGATTTTCAAGATGAAAAAGATGCAATAAATAAATATTTACTAAATAAATTCTGTGTGGGAATAAATAATTTAGGACACAAATTTGTTGTGTAAATAAATATTTCTTTGTAATATTATTGACACAATAAAATATTATGACAATATTTCAATAGTTTAAATAAATATTTCAATAAATATAGCCGTTCATTGTTGAAAAAAATTTAAAACTAGAAAAAACGTTAATTCATGGTTGCTGTGAATTGAAGACGATTACCAAGGTTGTAAAGTGTAATCTACTGTTACGTATACAAAAAACTCGACTATTTTTTATTTAAAAAATATTGTGAAATGGAATTTATTCTATCGAATCGTTGCTTTGTTTTGAAAATAGAGAAATAGAGATTACTTTCAAAAAAAGAAAAATTAAAAACAAAATTTCCTATATATAATTTAAAGTATAAAAAATATTTTTATTTTCAAAAAAAGAAAAATTTAATTGTCGAAGAAAATATTTTTGCTAACTCTTTAAATTTTATTTGTGATTTATAATTTGTATTTGTGATTTGTAATTTGTTATTTATTCTCGAATTTTCCAAGAAACACTCATCGTTTTCTAAATTAAAATACAGGAAACTTTTTTTTTCTAATTTTATTTTAAAGTTACTTGGAAATTTAGTAACGAGAAGAATTTAATTTATAGTTTTGTTCAGGACCAATTAAAATTTTTATGTCAATTTATTGGATTATATGCAAATTCATTGTTATGTCTTTCAGGTCTGTTTAAAAATGATAAAACAAGATAAATATTTTTTTTAATCATTATGTCTAATGGGGAAATTATAATTAATTGGTTTTTCAATATTAGTATTCATTATTTTCTAATTAGTAATTATTATAGTATTAATTATGATTAATATTATTAATTAGTTTTCCACGAAAGGTCGTTTTTATTTTTTAAGCTCTTTGATAATAAATAAATAAATAAATAAAAGTAATATTAATATAATATTAACATAATATTAATTAATATTTAATATGTATAATTAATATTATATTAATTAATTTTAAATTATTTTTATTAAACAAAATTTTTTTGAACAAATAACAAAGAAACCTGGTAAACAAAAAGTGAATGAATTTTCAAAAAATAACAGAAATGTAGTTAAAATATATAAATTGAATTAAATAAAATATTTATTATAAATAATTTTTGTATGCCTTTTCTCAGTACATGTGCACTTGACGAAGGCTTTCAATTATATCTTCTATAACTTAATATATAGTATACAATTATGATAAAAGCAGACTTAAGTTATTATTCTTAACGAGCGTTACAGTGCTGCGAACCTTAATTACAAAGTAAAGAGCAGAAGTTGACAGAATCCTCTTCCTCTGTTATATTTAAATTTTAAAATAATCTCATTATCGATTTATTATCTCCAATCAATATCACAGTTGTCAAACTCAAATATTTTTTATTTTTATACATTTAAAAAATTTTCACTTGGAGAAAAGTATTCAATTTTTCTCTCTACTCTTTTTTTTTATTAGCGTTAATAATATTTTTATTATTTCGAATTTTAATTTTTCTAATAATAATTTAATAATTTAATTTAATAATTTAATATTAAAATAATTTAATTAAATTTAATAATTTAATAATAATTAATAATAATTATTATTAAATTATTATATTTTCGTAATAAAAAATAATAATTTTTTATAATAATTTTTATTATAATTATTAATAAATGTATATTATTTTTCTGTTATTGTTATAGCGATTTATAATTATCATGGTCATGGTACAATAAATATTAATTCATTTCTTTTATTTCGATAACAATAGAATGTTTTGAAAATATATTCAAATTAAAAAGAAGATAAGTCTACTACTTGAGAGGAATTTAAAATTATTATTTATGTTTGAAATTAAATGCAATGCGACAATATGTAAATTGATGTTTTTTCTTTTTCTTTTATTAACAAAAAAAAAAAAAAACGTGCTGAGCAATTAACTTCTTTGTAGCTTCGAATTGAATATGTATTTTAGTAAAATTAATGTTGGTCATGCACAATGTACATTTTCCGTATATTATGAGTTATATTGTTGTCAATGAAATTTGCTTCCACCCTAATTAAAAATATCGACCAAAAATAAATATTGTCTGCTCGCTTGGCCTACTTTCACGAACAAAATTCAATATGTAAATAGACAGTCAAGTATCCAAGAGTTTTAACTTAATAATATATACTGGAGTTCTAAAATCGATATTTTTTCTCCCCTTTGGAGAAATTAGAGGGGGTAAATGAAAAATTGTATAATAGGAGAGGAATTCTTTTTTATTCTTAATTAGTATCGATATTTTTTTTATTCTTTTCGTTAAGTTTTTATTTTTTTTCGTTATATTTTTATTTCTTTCGGTATACCTATTTCCTTTTTTCGATATAATTTTTTTGGTATATTTTTATTTCTTTCGATATAATTTTTTTGGTATATATTTTTATTTCTTTCGATATAATTTTTTTGGTATATATTTTTATTTCTTTCGATATAT